CTTTAATACTAATAAAAATAATTGTTAATAAACTAATGTTATAGTAATTTAAATAACAAGTTGGCTGGTTTTCCTGATAAAAATTTTGATATTTATAAATAATAGCATAACAAAAAACAATACCGTACTAAGAGAAACAATTTTTTAGCATTCATTTTATTTGCTGTATTTGTTATGTAGTAGGAAGCTCAGGGTCGATAACAAAACGAAAATAAAAACCGTCCGATAAAAGAGTAAAATGGTACTAGGATGCATTAACAAACTCGAAAAACTATACCATAATATTAATTGGAATTTAGTTTAGTAATAAGGGGTCATCCAAGTATTATGTAACACATTTTTTGGCATGTATGATATTACTTTATTATTTAATATATATACTTTAATATTTGCCAAAAAATGTGTTACATAATACTTGGATGACCCCTTATTACTAAACTAAAGTACAGTATTGTTTTTTGTTATGCTATTATTTATAAATATCAAAATTTTTATCAGGAAAACCAGCCAACTTGTTATTTAAATTACTATAACATTAGTTTATTAACAATTATTTTTATTAGTATTAAAGTTTATTTTTGTTGCTATATTACTTTATCACTTGGTGCTATTTTTCTTCTTTTTTTTACAGAAAAACGCAGATGTTACGAAGTTGACTGAGTTTGAGATACGTTTTCTTGTTGCGATATATATATATATAGGTCTATTGATATAATTTTTAATGCTTAAATCAAATAAAGAAGTATAGTCAATAGATTAGTTTTGCATATATTTTTTTTCTTGTCTGTTACGTTTCCATTTACCATAAATGTTCTAACCATGTTTATAATAAGGAAATATGTATTTTCATATTTACATTTTCCATATAAAATTATCAATTTCATGTTTATATAACACAAATCATGATCATGTTTATATAATACAAAAATAAATGGATAGTAAAATATTTTTGTTATATGATTTCATGTGTAATGTAAATAAATATGTATAAATTATACATAATATTATATATGTATAAATGTATATATATATGTATGTGTATATAGGCCTATATATATATATATATATATATATATCTATATATATATATATAGTTGTTTCTAGGTATATCCTATATGCTTATAAAATCATATATATTCATTTATGAACTGCACAGGGGTATCAAAGAAAATTAAAGATTTCAAATGAAGAATGATAATGTGTGTATTATTCGTTTATTTCTTTAATTGTGTTTCCTTCAATTCTTGATATGTTTTATCCAAACTCTGGAAGCTGCAAGAAAAATAAATAAATTTCTTGTATAAAAAGATCAGATTAAATATTGTAATGATTGTTGTTTTAAATAAATTATGAAATAGATTTCCGATGGCAACAACATTCAATTAAATTAAAATCAAAGATACATTTTATTGACCATAACTATAAAGTAGTACTGTATAGTATGTGAAAACACAACAAAAAGAATAGCATGAAGCACATACTAAATTCCATTGTTTCAATCATGAGATCATGTTTCAATCATGAATATATCACCGTAAAAATACGTAAAACGGAAATTAAAAAAAAACAAAAAAAAACTTAGGCCTATGATACACCGATTGACGAACTAATTATAATAATATATATGGCCTACGTTAGGCATATTAAATTTTGCGTTTTCGCAACTCCTTCGGCGCTCCATATATTTGTTCGAAATAAACCGTGACCGAAGTGAGGCGCGACCGAAATGATCGGCTACCGCCAAGCCCAGTGGCGACTCCAGGATATATTTGGGGACGGGGGGACGCGCTAAGTATAATTTATGGGTCCGAGTCAGGGGTGGGTATGGGAGGGGGAGTCCACTCCTCCCATAACAAGATTTTTTTAAAATTGGGACTTCTAGATGGCCGGAGAAATGGCTGGGTTGGGAAAACGCTTAAGGCCCCCCACTGGCGCCGCCAATGGCCTAGGCCCTTTTTTAGGCTAGCGCACCAGGGTTGCCAGATAGTCGACAGGCTTCATGGCCAAACGCGCCATCTCACGGCCAAATTCGGCCAAACTTTTTTTTCGATATCGGCCAAAATTTGGCCAGATTTTCATCCGATTAGAAGACAACAGTGGGTACATATTCATTTGAAATACTACAAAAATTTAGAAAATCAGCGGTCATTCGTTTGAAATTGAAGGAATTCAAATGATATACACAGAACAATGTTAAACTTTCACTGTTTTTCTTTTAATTAATCTATCACCATAAAATACATGCCCAGCCCAATCATAATATTAAAGAGCCTATGTTCTTTAGTTGCTGGCATGTAGGCCAATTCAGTGGCAAATCCAGAGATGTCCGAAAAGGGAGGAGCCGGGACCGAAAAAGGGGAGGGGAGGGGGCGAAAGTGAATTTTTTCATCAAACATGCTTTCTGTGTCTTAGACAAATCAGTTCTACAATATATCAATTTTTATTTTAGGAGCCTGACTTTAAACGTATGGCCAATTGAAGTATAATAGTTCTGATTCTTTTTTTATTATTATTATTATTATTATTATTACTACTACCATAAAACCTTAAATTAAAGCCCTGGGCTTCTTTTTTGCGAAATTTGGATGGACTTCTTTTCAAGGCTACTTTTGCAAAGTAAAGAGGGGGCTTCCTTTCAAAATGAATGCAGTAAATTTTGGGAATTACTACTACAACTTGCCTAAGTCGAATCCAAAATGGCATTGAAAAACTGTTCGACTTACTGTCTCAGATGATTAATTAATTAATGGAAAATACACAATTTGGCATGTACAATAAGATTGATTTAGAAATTATTTGAGTTAAGCAAAGCCGACTTAGGTAAGTTTAACTGTGTAAAACAATAATTAGGGCCATTGTAACATCAATCAGTATCATGGTGTGTAGTAACTGGCATTAAATTACCTAAACTACTGTATAAACCAAGCATGTTTTTACTTTTTTTGTTTCTTTGAAATTCATGTACAGTGTGTAAATTACTATCTCGAAAAAAGAAGAGCCCATTCCATCGGCTTTAATAGAGAGATTTGGCGATGATTGTTTACAGGCGGTCACGTGACCTAACTTGGGTATACATGAAAAACAATACAGTGCAATGGCATAGGAAAAGATAATGTTATGGTTGTGAAAACAACCACCCACTGTTAACGTGAGAAGTAAATGGCTAAGAAAGGCAATACGATTGTTCAAAATAGTGTTTATTTATTTATCCTAGTGTTCTCCTTGGATTGTATGCTTTGAAGTTTAAGTGATCCTTCCTAAACCCATAGCTGGCCCTAACATCGCAGTGTAGTTCGCGGGTCAAAGACCTTCATGCATACCTAACCATGCCGTAGATGTGCAGGGGACAGAATTAGCAAACCATTAAGGCAAAATTCTTAAGTTTAATTTCCAACCAATTTGGTATAGTTTACTGGGATTTATGATCTTTACAGCAATAACACGGGATGACCGCCAAAGCAATCTCCATGTAAAACACCGCTGTGCCAGTCGACCGTTTATATCCAACACCCAAGTTAGGTCATGTGACACCCACCGCCAAATCCCTCTATTTGAGATGGGCTTCTTGTCAAGATTTAGCTTATTTGAGGTTTTACCATATTTGACTGTATAATTTGTATGGATTAATCTGAAATAAAGTGAGTGAATGAATGAATGAATTGTATTAAACCTTGACAGTGATACAGTGGCATATCTACAAGCTTCATCAGCATCTTCAGGGAACCCCTGCATCTGCTTGTTCTCTTTTTTATTTTTCAATTTCCTATACACTGCAGTAGTATTTTCACCTCATTGCTACTTGCATTTCTGGCGTTTAGATTTATGTTGCCTGTTTACTTTTGGCAGTGGTTCGAAATATTGAAATGACACTCCTCTGCTTGTGCTAGCTATGTCTGCATCTGGTAGTGTAGTATCAGTTTCAATTGGTGCAGCAGGAAATGCAGGTTGTTCACTTTGGGTATCCATTGGTTCTTGCTCCTGCTGTTGGTATGGGTTTGCGCTTTCTGTCATCTCAGTAATAAAGTATGCTTCTTCTGGAACCGCATCTGGATTGAAAGGGTACACACCACAGGCACAAAAACCTGAGGTTGCATTGTCAAGTGTTGCTGTCTTTGCCCATGCTCGAGCAAACAATGAGCTGAAACGGTACTTAGTAATGTTCGCTTTTGGATTTGTGTGCTTGAATAAACTGGTGACTTTTTTGAAAGTTTATTTTTAAAGATCTACGAACTGATTGATCTAATGGCTGGAGGTACCTAGTGGTATGTCCTGGTACAGAAACCAAAATGATCCCATTATCAATGCAGTATTGTAGTATTGCTGTGCTTTTGATATGGGATTCATGGCCATCTAAAAGCAGGACTTTACCTTGGACGCAGTGTCTACGAAAATACTTTAACCAGTCCAGAAATAAGTCATTGTTACGGGAAGAGGTATCTGACATGACTAACTTTGATCCTGGAGGCAGCCCATCTTTGTACTCTTCTTGCATGCACTTCCCTTTCATAATGACATATGGAGGGATGTAGTGTCCAGTAGCACTACAGCACCCAACCACAGCTACATTTTCATCCTTCTCTGCACCCACAACAGAACGTTTTCCTTTTCCTTGGCTATTGGTTATTGAAATGCGAATTTCATCGACATTATAGAATTTCTCTGGTGTCTGATGCATTCCTTCTTGATCCAGTAACTTGCCAAGTTGTTTGAAGTATTTGGCAACCACTTCTTTTGGTTTTGCCTTTGCCAGATTTTTTGCCTTTTTCAGCACAATATTTGGATGTCTCTTTAAAAAGCCCTCTAACCAAAACCTTCCAGCTATCTTCGTATCTTGGTTGAAGTCATGGACAAGTTGATTTTGTTCAGCAAATTCAAATGCCAAAGACCTGACATCCTTCTTAGCTAAACCAGAACCATGTCCTTGCATTTGAATTATCAATTCTGCTAACTTAGCCTCTTGTTCCTTTCCCAGGCATGGTTTTCTTCCGAATTGAACAGATATGTCACTGTCTGCTGGTAGTTTCACTTTGTTTGCTATTGTTGACTTCGGTATATTGAAAACCTTAGATGCTTTCCTAATGCCCATTTCACCTTTCCTACAGGCATCAATTGCCTTTTGCATGTTTTCATGTGACCATGATGCACGATCAGTCTTCCTTGTATACTTTTGTGGCATCTGCACATATTAAAAAAAACAGAGGAAAGTATGTGATCAGTATTTTATTATAATTTACCCGGACAGGTACACATGTTTAGAGTATGAAAATCATTCAAATGTAGAAATAGGGTATAAATTTGTTAAAGAAATGAGAATGGTTTGAACCGTCTTAGAGTTTGACAACTTTTGGGCTTAAAAAACATTAATTGCTGCGAAGCAGCCAATTCATATTCTTGACAGCAATTTGACTTCTGAAAGGTCATTGTTTGTCAAAAAACAAGTCCCTAAGACGACTGCCGGGTAAAATCAATTACTTTAGGCGACGTTTGTAGACTAACCTACTCGTACCAACGCCCGCATGTCGCGCTAGCACTCTAGGCATAGACTAGCTAGGATGGTATAGGCCTAGCCTTGAAGGGACGAAGGTCCCAATGAAAAACAACGTCGCTCTTTGATAGCTAACATTGTCTATTTAACATCACAATAATTCATTATTAGACCTATAGTTGTTTTTTGAATTGTACTCCACAAATCTCAGCCGATACCTCGCATAACTCGTTAACGTCTCTATCTATTGTCGTGACGCCATGGCTCGCTGGCTCACACTTGCGATGTTTCGCACTTGTGATCACATAACACGCTGGCTCGCACTTTGGCAACACTCTTTGGCAGTCAACTCGCCCCTAGAAAACCCGCCATTGGAAACTTGCCCCATAAAAAAATGTACACTTCCTAGACCATGCAGTCTTCAAAATAAAAANNNTAATCAACTACATTTTCCACATACATAGAAATTTTTGAAACTTTATTAAAAAAAAACCTAAACCATAATTCACCACTCTATAGACACTTTTTGACAAAAATGAAAAATTACGACTTTGAGTTCTAATATAGACAATGGGTCGTGTCTCATATTATTTGTTATATTTTTATTATTCATTATTTTCACTTGACTCGCATAAATAATTTTGCTTGAACAACATTTATATGCAGTTGTACTTTGCAGCACTTCACTTGCAATTTGCAATTTCTAGTTTTTACTCATAATATGCAACTACTGAGAAAGTAACTTCGTGTTACTGGGCCGTCCTCATTTTGAAGATACTTTGCCATTATTGACATCAGTTAAACTACAGTATATTACCATTTTAGTTTTACTGAGAGAAATCATGAGAACAACAGATTTTAATACTGTAATTAAGTTTCTATTCTAAACTTATTCCGTCTACAGGCCCATAGGCAGAATTTTCGATGGGGAGGTGCATTTTGCAACCGAAGTAGACCTTACGATGGGCGACTGTCTAGCGATCCCTGCGAGGGTGGGGCGAATCTTCTGGAAGCTCTGACAAATTAGCATTTTGAGGGCCTTTTAATGCATTTCTAAAATGTGTAATATCCTATTTAAATTTTCATTCATTTGAGTATTGTCTAGGGACCTACAGTAAAGCAGGAGAAATAGAGGGTGGGGTGGTGGCACCTCACAGTGGCCGGAAATGGTGCACTCAAACTTTAATTAGGATTTTTCTTTTTTCTCCATTTCTTTTATAATTTTAGGGGGGGGGGGTTCTCCCTCTTGAATCCACCTCTGTGAAATTATAATTTTTCATGTCCTTTACATCTGTAGGCCTACAATCACTGGAGCTGATAATTTCCAACAGATTTCGTAGCACATTATTAAAAATCAACGGGTAGAAGAGCAGGCAAAAAAATGTAATGTATAGTATAGCATTTTGCAATAATTAGGAACGATTTCAGTGAAATAATAGGTTTTAAAAAGTGGACTTTTTGAAATTTAGTGTCCAGGGGCAGAGGCCTGGAGGGGGTTTGTGAGAAAAGCGACAAAGTAGCATTTTGAGGGTCTAAATACATAATAGATTTCTTAAACACATAATTCATGAATATTTCATTTAAATTTTCATTAATTTGGGTATGTTTGGGCCTGAAAAAGTAACGTTATTATGTCCTGTACATCTGCAGGCCTATAGATAACATTCTTCATATTATATAGATCAATCTGTAATCACTGGAGACCATCAATTTCTGACAAATTTCATACATTATTAAAAATCAACGGAGATTAAAGCTGGCAAATATATAATGCAATGCATTTTGTGATAATTAGGAACGATTTTGTGAAATCATAGGTAATATATCCATGATCATGTACCACTGTTAACACTGTCTCTTATACACATCTAGATGTGTATAAGAGACAGACACACTGCAGTGGTGTTTAGTTAGTAGAACCTAGCCCTGACTTTATATGCCTAAGTCCCTCTCTGATGATAAAAAAAAAACCAAAAAAACACGTTTCTATAGTAATATAGGCCCTATACTATTAGGCCTAGCTAGGCTACACCACGATGTCGATGTGATTGTGAGGAGGGGCCTGAGATTGTGTACACTTCAGCAGGCCTAGGCCTAGTTTAATGTCAATGATGCCAACCAGTATAGCTCTTTCCTACATCCTACAGTCACATTTTTCGAAAATTCAGATTTTATATTAGGCCAAAATGTTGTTCGCAAATACTAATACTGTACCTTCCTGTAACTTTTTTTTTTTATGATTTTGAGGGACAATACTCGCACAATTCAAACAACCAACAAAACAACAGCATGCGTACGTACACTCGCAAACGAAATATAGATGGCGCTGTTTTAATTGTTCAGCAAATAATTCCAATAAGCTCCGCCCCTTGGATATTGTTGCGAGGGGAGACTTTTATTACCCTGTTTCGCGAACTTGCTATTTTTCCCCTGTCGGACAGGCCTGCCACCCCCTCCCCCTCCAACGAACGACTAGGTCATCGGACCAAATATTTGAAAAAATAATAATTTACCATTCAAAATAACATTATTTCGATTGCCAATCCCTAATATTATGGTCTAAAAGCACATTTAGGACCAAATTAAGCCTTAAAAACTCTCCCCATGAACCCTAACAAGGATTTTTTATTTACGGGCCGTCGACCGATTCTTCATCGTCGCCTTTGTTCGGACCACTCCGTCGAACACGTTGGACCTCTTGTCGGCAAATTTCTGGCGATACCGCTGTTTGTGGGACTAGTCTTCAAAACCCCTGAATTGATTTCTCTGGACCCCTTTTACGCTCAGCTCTTTGGGGACCCAACCCCCTCCCGAATTCAGAAGCCAAATAATTCAGAAGCAAAATAAGACCATCAGTCGAAGACGTGTGACAGCTGCATGTCTGTTGCATCTCCACATACGTCTGCTGGTAGTATTATTGCCTCACTGATGCCTTCATTTCTCTATCCACTGAAAAATTGCACTTTCAAAAAAGATTTTCTTTTACAAATGTTGCCTTTTATTTTCACTGCGTAAATGTACAGACTATTGTACAGTGCCAACGTTTAATGCTGGACACACAGAAACGTTCATACTTCATTTAAGTATTATGTTGATCAAGTATCTTGACCAAATTATCACTGTCTAAACAACTGTTGTGTGAAATAAAATGTAAGCCCATAATGCCCAATCAGATTTATAGGATGTGATCACATGCTGATAATCTGCTAAGCCGAATGGCTAATTTCTTTTAGTATTCACAACTAACATATTAATAGTAGAGGCTCATTGCATCATTTACAAATATGTTGGCAATAATAAAAACTAATTATTACCAATAGCCAATGAGATTAATGAGAAATGATCACATGTAGACAATCTGCTAAGCTGATTGAGTAATATTTGGAGGGCTCTCTGATTCATTAAAAAAAAAATATATATAAAGATAGTTATTAACAAGCAAGTATCCACAATGATATTAGGGAGCATCTGATTGTAAGACGACGATCTAGAACATGATCTACGTTGTGCGGAGAACGCAGGAAGTTCATGGAAAAGTGAATCCGTCCTAGGGTAAAATTGTTGCGCAAATCAAAAGCTTCTATACCGTTGACAATCGGCAAGACATATTCTTGGTTCTGACATGGCAAAAATTGTCATCGTTTTCTCCAAGAAAATGCTATCCATACAAAACTAGTATCTAACTCTTTAGACACTTTTATATATACATAACACCAGCCTTACATTTAAAAAAAAAAAAAAACCAAATATAAATATACAGTTTAGACAAATCAAACAACCCATACTTTACCCATTTTAAGTTGAAGGAATATGTCAGTCAGTCAAAATAGCACAAAATTAGAAAGGTTTTCAAAATCTTCTCAGAAGATTAATAAACTCAAAACTACGGAAATAAACACATCTTAATAAATAATTCTCATACACATCCCTCCATAATTTTTTTAAATATATTTCTCATTTTTATATTAAAATTTTTCTCACAATATATGTGGATATTTTTTGCACATCTTATTTGATAATCCCTGTGCACAATTACTTTCATAGGGCTACAAATCAATAATCGTTGACATTACCAATTCTTTGACTGATAATTGTTACGCACAATATAATTTTATTTTTAAGTCTTATAATAATGATTAGAGGCCAGCAAATCAGTTTGTACCATAAATTTAAGTCTCATGATTCTAGCATCCAATATCCAATCTAGCAACAACATAAAAATGTCAAGCAATCAAATACCCATAAGATGGTTGCTATCTAATTGAGATCAGAATTCAACTAAATTTTTAGTACAGTAATTGATTTTCATGTACATTGAAATAAATAATATTTAAGGTTACAATTGCATATCAACAATAAAGTAGAGTTAATATGTGTGTCTACTACCACAGCAGCTGTGCCTAAATAGAAATATTTCCTAGTAACAGGAGTTATGTTTCATGGAGTAGCAGGTGTCCCAAACAGTGGCGGCTTTAGAATATTATATATTCTGGGGGGGGGGGGACTAAGCTGTCCGACAGGGCTAAGCTGTCCGACAGGGAGACTTGGAGGAAGGGATTGAGAGAGGGTTCCCCCTCCCAAATGAGATTTGAATAGCAACCTCTGGATGGCCGGAAATGGCACTCTCAGACTGTGACAGACATGTGCTGGCTTGGTGTGGGCCTATTTATATATTTTCTATGGTCTGACTGCCCAACAAGCTCTGTCCGACAGGGGGGTTTGACCTGTCCAGTGGGGACTTGCAAGGTATAAATAATGCTAAAGTGGCATTTACTCAGAACAATTGATTACAGTACTTTATTTACTTTTGTTCCTTATGTTTGCAAAATAAGGTTGTTTTTTTTTATCCAAATTTGGGAAATTTAAAGAATAAACAGAATTAATTGGAAGAGCTAAGGAAGACAAGGGTGTGTTTACAAAAAAAGAACAAAAATTGGTGAAAACTTGAGATAATTACCACCCCAATCTATTAATAAACACAACTTTCTCAATCAAGCACCATAATAATAATAATAATTAAAAAAAACAATACATTTGCAATCATGAATGCAGTACAAGAGTGTAATAAATTTATTTAAAGTTGTGAATTTTTCAGGATAAATTAAATAATTATGTTTAGATATGTATGCAATAGTTTCCAGGAACGTTAGGTTCACTAATTTCCTATGAATTAATATATCCATGATCATGTACCACTGTTAACATTTTCATTGAATATAACAGATAAAAATGTAATATACTTTTTGGTGACAAAGTGACACTTAAATAAGTGAATCTTAGCATTGCAGACACAACAAAGTTTAAATAGAATTAAACAAAAATAAACTATATTCAAAAGATATATAATGTAATTATGAATAAAAAATTAATTGATAAAACATGGTTTTTAGAGGCTAACACAATACAGTAATTTAATTTATAATCAATGATTCTCGCTCACACCTGGGTAAAAATACCAGCTATGTTGCACTATCAAAGAGAGACAAATTGTGAGATTAAAATCTAAAGTATACAACATTGTTGCGTTCTTAAATATTATGCTATTTGATCAATCTATTTCGCTTACAATGATGTATATCAATAGATAATAAATTCATGATTTAAATACACATGATTAGATGACAATGTGATAATGCCACCTTGATTTTGTATATACATGTTTTTTTTATGTAAACCATAATAATCCAATGTCTATATTGCTGATATCATCAAAAAACTGCAAAGAACTATACTTAGGTGAAAAGAAATACACACACACAAATAAAAAAAACAAAACATTTACAACTGAAATTGACAACCACAAGGCTATATTGACTGTAGAAATACAAGATTAAGGAGAATTGTTTGAGAACATTGTAACAGATATCAGGATACGACCAACAATTCCAGTAATTGGTAAGTTTTACATTACTGAACAAAGTATTGATGTATACCCACCGAAATTCAAATCTTGAATCAAATAAGTATTTTTGATAGATGTTTGTATTTATATCTTGAAGGAAAATAATTTATTAGGATCTCCTCCAAGCGAATTTGATTCGGCCTGGTTTTTTCACATTCGCTGTACATTATTTTTATAGCCAGCCATGCTATGCTTTTTTAAACCATGATATAAACATGGAGCTATAGCTCCAGCATTTAACTATGGTTAGCTTTCAATGGTGATGACCTTTAGCCTTGTTTGGTGAGCTTGCATCTCCCCCACCCCAGTGGTCTCCTTTGCGATCTGAGCTTGAAGACCGGCGCTTGTCAGAACGCTCAATCTTTCTACGTTTGCTGTCTGTGTGAGAGTGATGAAACCGGTCGTCTCGACTGCCTGCTTGGTGCTGACTGTGCGAGACATATTCTGACTTTTCGCTATGGTGACGATGGTCATCACCACGAAAATATTGGTGACGACTTGTATTGGAAGCTCCCGAACCAGTACCACCACGCTTATGGTCTGAACTATATCTGAAAAGATACATGTATATTAAATATTAACTAAATATCCTAGTACTACAACATCACAAATTTTTTTTGATCCGTAGTTATAACTTCTGTTAAAACATTGGAGAAAATAGAAAAAATAAATTCATTAAATCAATTAACTACTAATATAAAACAATAAAATATTCAGGGGCGGTTCCAGAAAATTTTAAAAAGTAAGAGCGAATATTTCAATTCATAACATTGATATGCATTGAATTTTTAAAATTTATTACCAAAACGCTTATGTTTCTAGTGTGCTTGCAAAAACCTTTATGCACTGTTTTTACACTTCTTTTTGTTCAATTTTAATATTACTTTTACAGATAAGTTGTTTTATGGCCAGAGATGGTTTTTAATTTGTTTTTGTGAGCTGCAACAAAAACTGAGGGAGAACATGTGGGCTGCAGACTGCACTTTTCCCACCTGTGATTTACAGCATCATTGATTGATTTCAGGTAAGGTTGAAATAGTCAAAAGTAAAAAAATTTCTTAGGACAGTAATGAAATGCAAATTGATTATACTGATGCTTACTCACCTACTGTCCTCTCTATCCCGATCTCTTCCATAATTTCCAACCCTTTCCCTATCATACCAGTGGTTGTCGTGATGATGGGTACGATTTGAGTGAAAGTCAGATCTGGAGGCAAAAAAGGAGTAATTGATATTAAGTATATATTGCCAAAGTAAAAGAGCTACCTTTATATTGTTGTAAGCATTTTTTTTTTTATTGTTGTGCAAAATTAGCAGTCTTTCCACCAAAATTATGCTACTGTTAGCACCATTAGGACAGGTGTATTAAGCTTCCCATTCACCTGCCTCAACTTTAACAGCCATGCATGGGAAAGCAAAGTAAAAAAAAAACAAAAAAGTAAGCAGCAATTGCTTAGCAATTAAATTACTACAGCACTGCACATTCCATGCAAGAGAATTAAATGTACAATAGGAGAGAACTAAAATAAATATATATTAAAATATGAACTGCTCAATACTTCTTGTGAAAAAAAGCTATATGCGCAATACTCTGGCTTATGATTGGAATTGACAGCAACATTTTTTCATATACCATATTTCAGAAATAGACATGGTTTTTCCTAAGACTTCTTTGTCCATGCTCTGTATGAGCATTGCCCTATCAACACCCACTGAACACTGGTCACAGCATCATTACGTCAGTCTCATAGGACCATGTTGGCTTCAAACACCAGTGCATTCTCCACCAGGCTTTTAGACTATGGAGGGCCAGAGTAAACATCAACACAGGGGAAGAAGTAATTTCTGGAAGATCTGGGAAATGAGCTTTTTTACACATCTAATTTCATTTTGCTGGCATTAGTGATACCCATTAGCACAGGCTTCCGTGAGATAACTGATAACGAAGCAGTGAAAACATGCAAATATTATGAATTTGCAGGAGGTGGGTTATTTTCAGGAAGATTCTTACTTGCTTGTGGGAGTGCAGAAGGCCATCCAGATTTCCAGAGATTCCCAGAAGTTGCAGAAGACTTTGGAACCCAGTTAACATATTTATAAATTAGGTGTTGCAGAGTATTTTCAATTTGGGTGCAGGATAAATCCTATATAGTTATTTAAATAACATTGCAATGTAAGATATTATGCATATTGCATAGAGAGAACTTCCCCTAGTTGACCAAAAGCGAGATAACTATGCTTTCTACCGACAAGTCACACTTTCTTAAGAGTGACATTGAATAAGGATTGCTCATACATAAAGCAGAGAATCCAGCAGAAATTTTAAGTAAAAGATGTTTGCTGACTAATCATTCACAAAGATGTAATGCTAACTACAGTTTGCAGATAATTTGCTATGCAATAAGAATGAATTAGACTAATGAAATAATCCAGTGACAATGGGTGATGGCTATAATGCTAAAGTAAGATCAGTGAAAGCAGAGCAAGAAATGAAATGTCTGCATTAAAAAAAAAAATTATTTTGCAAGTCAAAAGTAGGCGGGTTACCTATCCCTGGCGGAGTGGTCCATGTTCTCCCCATAGTCATTATGGGGCGGTCTCTTGATGAAGGGTGGTGGGATTCGAATAGGGTGATAATGAGCTGCACTACCAGTTGACACTGGTATATGTCTAAAGCAGGATCAGTGTAAGAAAAACAAACACAATTTCAGTACAGAACTGAGTGTAAGTTTGAGTGAAGGCTGAATTGTGTTGTGAGTACAAAGCATCTGATTAAGTAATGGTTTTTAATTGAAGACTGTTTTTAAGCTGGTGATTCAGTGGAGCGTTATGTTGGGTTGGGTATAAAATAAAAAATTCATTTTCAGAGAAATTTTGAATTTGAGGAATGTGAATTATTTATCTGCATTTAATAGTAACCTACTCTACATTGTTTCAGTGTACTGAATATAAAGCTCTGATCACAATATAAAAAAAACCCCAGTAGTATGCCCATAATATAGTCATGACATTTCTATATATGGTCATGATATGATGTCATCATGACCATATTTAGGAATGTCACATGTTTTTGTCAAATTAAATTTTATAGTCTGGACATTAAATGGCATTAAATATATATTTACGGATGAAACATGAAAGGTAGAGTATAAGCTACTGGCCGGAAAGATGTTCTATACACATTAGTGTTCACGTATCCTAACATAGTGAGTAGAGAGGTGAGTTGTTCAGCTCAGGGGAATCATGTGGGAAAAAAATTAGAGAAATAACAAGATAAAAGGCAATGAAAACAACAACAAACAAAATCCACAAGTTGTTAATGGTTGGCAGCACACTACACATGGCATATACTGGATGAACCTGCAAGTTAAAAGGCATCTTCAGCTTGAACAAAATATGAAACATTTGATAACAAATTCATAATGGAGAAACTGAAGTTTGACCTACCTGTCACGATCTCGACTAGAATCACCACTGGAATGTAAACGTTTGGTCCCAGGACCATTTGGATGAACTTCTCCTTGCCTCTTCTTTGATACAGCACCCGATGTAGGCTTGGTTGGCTTGGTCTTTGTAAATAAGCAAAAACAATTGAAGAATCACTTGGCAATGCATTTTTTGTCTACATTATGTTGTTATCATCATCATTAAACTGGAATGGCCTCATAATTCTTGATCTAAAATGTTTTAGACTGACGTGACTGGTGTTAATGAAGATATTTATGATACAGATGGTGATGATGTTCCAGATTACTGTGGTGATGATACTGATGATGTCAATGACCACTTTACTAAATAGTAATGATGTCAATGATGATGATGAAGGAAGCCCAACAATGATGAAGTTACTGATGCACTTAATTAAATGACAATGATGATGACGATGAATGTGTGAAATGATGACACAGATCTGAAAATGATGATAAAGGTAAACATAATCTATATTTAGAGCATACTTATACAGTCACAATAATTATTTTTTTTATAGTTTTTGTTGAAGTTCCTCACCTCTACATCTTTGCTTCTCTCGTCAGCTCTTTTCTTATTTGCATGCTTATATAATTTATAAAGTTTCTTAGCATCAAACTCGGTAAATTTTGCTACAAATGTCCACAAATACCTGTGATAAATGGATCAATGATTCAATCAGTCTGTCAATCAATCAATCAGTCAGTATATTAAACAGTCAATTAATAAGTCAGTGAATTTATCAATAAAATAATCAGCTAATATTCAATTCATTTGGAATTTTAGATAATTGTGTAATTAAATAATTAGATATTGTCAAAGTGTTAAACAATTAAAAGAAAACTATACTAAAATATTAAAATAATTAGGTTTGACAACAAAGCTAAACTGTGAATTAATTATTATTTCCTATACACTTACATTTGAACTTTTTCTACTTGTCTATATTTTATATATGACAAAATAAATGCATTAAAAAAATAATATATATAAAAAACAAAACTATAAAATATTAATAATAAACAGCTAACCCCTTCCATTCTGACATTTTTTCAGCTCCTGTGAATTCTGCGATGCACTCGTTAATACGATCACCGATCTTCAATAAGCATTGACGTGTGTGATTCAGTTGATCGCTTTCTGACACATCTTCAGGTGGGTTGTCCAACAGTTTGAGTGCTCGTTTTACTGGTCGCATTCTCTCTTTACACTAAAAAAATAAAACAAAACTTTCTATATAGCAAAAATTCCCTCAGTTTCCATCTAGTAGTGTATATTGTACATCCCATTTTGTCAGATTAGCTATGGGGTTGTAGTTAACCAGTGTGTGTATGTGCCGAGACATACGAACCAACTGTCATCCTGGTTCAATTCCATCAAGCTGTTCTCGTGATTCCCCATTCACGTAGCCAATAATTGTCTAGAAAAACACACACCAAAAAAAAAAACCTATGGTTTAGCACTGGAGTGTTTGAGAACATACCAAACTGAATGTTGTCTCATCAAGATCTCCTTCAGGTTCAATGAACTCTACTAGTGGCACTGGTAGAGTGTTTGCAGTGAAATGCATGGGTGCTGACTGGCTACCTTTGCCCCTTGCGCCACCCTTTGGTTTTATCTGAAAGAAACAGTTGAATGAAAAGCATAAATCAATTAAGTTATCCATGGTTGTTTTCTCACATAATTTCCTGTATATTGGTACAATAAAGTTTATTGCAAGTCCAAGCTACAATAGGGATTGAAAAGCAGCATTAGCGCCGCGTGATCTCTTGCGCAACTACGGTGGTGGTGTGGTGCCGTCTGACGAATGAAATTTTATTTCTCAAAAAAAACGCTGAATTGCACTTACGTTAGCCATTATTACTACGTCGGCGTATATTATTGCATAAAAAAAAACTATCACAAATAAACTGTGTCACATGTAAATTAAAATTAAAATGTAATTTTTTCATGATTTTAAAATATAAAACATACAGGTTTTTTATCGCCATCTTCTTCCTTCACTTCCTTGTTTTCTTTTCCTTTCTTCCCCTTAGGACGTCCTTTCTTGGGCTTTGCAGGTGGGCTGTCATCATCCATATCATCATCTGGGATTTCTCCTTCTTCTAAATTTTCCTTCCGTTTTCTGTCCTCTTCATCGCTGTTAACCTTTCCAGATCCTTTTCGTTTTTTCTTTGGTATTTTTCCTTTAATTGGTTTGGATTTAATTGTTGCTTCCTTTACTTTGCTTGCTTTTAACTTCTCTTTGTCTTTCACTCGTTTCTTTGTCTAAAAAATATACGAGGAAAGAAATACTTAATGGTGGGTGCATATGATATAAAATATCTTTAAAGGTGTATTGTCCCTTAAAAATAACAAAAAAGCATTTAAAAAAAAAATTGAAATTAAGTTGCTTATTTTGCAGTAACATAAAAATTATTAAACCGAGCATACAAATTATTGAATTGATTTACCCTGATTTTTAAACTGGATAATTATAACAAAAATAATAACACATTCAGGGAATGGAAGTGTTTCTATAATTTTTCGCTGTAAAATAATTGGTAAAAATGTTTTAAATACACTAATTTCTATGTTCAATTTGATTATTTTTATGTTACTTCAAAATGCGCAAGTTGATTTCAAAAATCATTTTTATGTTTTTTGGTATTTTACATGGACAATACATCTTTAAATCAGTCTTTTTGGTTATTCCATTAAATAATTCAAAGTTCAAGAATTTTTATTAGTCTATATAAAAATACAGAAAATTGTACTGCTTAGCAAAAAACTATAAAAAAACAAATCATTATTTCAGTACAATGTCAATAATTCACATAAAGCAGACAAGATCGGTACATAATTAGATGCAGCAATTAATAAAGAAAAACAAAACACATAAATACTTGGTAATCAGGTTTTATTTATTGTTACTTGACTACTGAATGATTGAGAAGGGCATTTTAGGTAAAAAGAAAAGCACACAAAACTAACTAAAATAATTTTGTTATCATTAATAACTTACTTGTTTTAACTCTTGTTCGGACAACATTTCCTTTTTGAGCAGTTTTATGATATATTCTGACCTTTGCTGCAGCTGCTTAGCTTGGGGCTTTTTACTCTGATCATCAAGAAGAATCTGATGTAAACAACAAGTGATTATATGTCAACTGTTACATTCTCATTAGATTTCTAATGCCATTTTTCATTAGATTTCTAATGCCATTTTTTTTCATAAAGCAAGGAATAAAATTAGTTTTCAAAAGAAAAGGAAAAAAAAGGAAGGGAAAGTCAAAGAAAGGAAAAGAAATGAAACTACAATGTATTTTTGATAATGATTCCAATTATAATTACCTTTTTATCTAAATGTAATTGTGGGTCCATCTTGATTGCTTCCCAGCTACCTAAACCATACTCATAAACTCCCTTAATCAAATTAGCATCATCCTCAGGTTCCCAATCCACATTCCAATTTGTTGCCTTCAACTTACAGGAAAGCTGATACCTGAGAAAGTTAATTCATAGGTTAAGGCTATTATATAGATATACGATGTGAAAAAAAAATCATGACCAAAGTTGCAAGTTACTAATTAATGCGTCAAAGAAATAATTATCTATAATCTGACAGAATTAAACATATTTTTCATTGATAAAATTTGCAATATGCTTTAAAAAGGTGGTTACTAGAATGCATTTAGATAAAGGTCAATGTATATATCCTGTATATCAACTCTATCAACAGTCATTCTGTCTCATTTTTTTAAATATAAAACATTAAAATACACCAATGTACAAAATTAATGTACAGCATAAAAAATGCAATGAAAAACAATACAAAACAGAGTTGAACAAAAAGACCTGATACTGGGATAACCCATAAAAGTTGACAAACACATCTTACTTCCAAAGTTGCCCAACATTTAGAAAATAGAATACAGAATTTGACTAATATGTAAACAGTTTGTGGTCAAAGATCACCCTTGTAAAATCTAGAACAGACTGAGACGAGGCCTCAATTTTGAGAGCCAACAGATGCTCCAATGGCTGATCCAATAACATCAAATTAATTCTAGAGTGTTTCATGGTATCGAGGGAATGTTTGATGAATCAGAATATCAATTCTATAATGCCTGGTACACACTGCATCGTCTGTTGGTTGATTGGCCGTCATCCACAACAAATCTGTTCTACTCTGTGTGAGCATCTTCAACAGCTGAAAATTAAGCAGTGTGTGCAGGGGTCATGTGTCAAAGTTTGTTTTGCTTACTTTTTTCTTTGTGCTGGATCTGCTGGTATCATAGCAGCCAATGGCTCCAACTCCTCCTCATGTTTCATCACTGACGGTGCATTGATGATTGCATTTGAGAGTTTCAAGGTGGCGCCTCGCTTCTTACCTAATAAAGAAATTTTGTAAATACACTGTTATACTAATAATTAAGTTTATTTGTTGTATTAATGTTTGGGTAAAAAATATACAGCAATGATTGTATTTATTAAATGCATAAAGGGACATCAATGATTATTGATATCCTCCCTCTAAATCCATGCTTTGTTTTATAAATAACCAATTTTGTCCATATACCATCAAATTCTGAATCTTGCTTTAACCTCTCCTCATATTCTTGTATTACACGCTTACAGCCATTGTGCAACGTGTCTCCAAGCCTTTTTAAATCAGCCTGTGATTTTTCTTGCAGCTCAGCATCTCCGGCTATTGCTTCCAGCCTGGATTATAGACGAAAAAAAAAAGAGTTTATTATTATATACACAATACAGTGGCACTGTTCACTGTAAAGAACTCAAAATGATTAGTGATTGCTGAGTTCTTCTCGTTGGGGGCGCTGACCCTCATGGCCTCCACTCTTCGACTGGCACCACTACTTGTCCACATTTGTTGGAGGTGAAGATACTTTTAATCTAATATCCTATTAAACACGTAACAGAAGCAGACCTACCTTGTTAGAGGCCTTCCGAACTTCTTATAACTTTTAACAAACCTGCAACACAAAATGTTCCACATCGAAATCAAATGGTGATTTTTAAAAAAAATATTTAATTTTTATAGTACTTCAAAAAACTTAAGCTTCATGAATTCTATTTCACATTGTACAAGATTCAATCTGCAAACAGCCATTAATGCACAATGTCAATAATGAATACTATACACAATAAAATACACAATACTACAAACAAGCTGCCATACAGAGGACACTATATATGCTGAATAAGGATAGAACAAATAATAACCTTATCAAGTCTTGTTCTTAACTACTGTGAATGTGCTTAATTTTTAGTACCAACTAACATTTCACACATGCAGGCTTTCTGAATTTCTAATTTTTTACACAATATATTTTTGTGCAGACTTTAAGTTAGCAAACTTTAATTTCTATTGTAGTTTCTTGTAATGTGAAAAATAATGTTGAGTGAAAATTTTACATTAAATTAAAATTCCTTTACCGTCGAATCTCAGTATCTGTAAATCCTGTAATGGTGTCGCGTGGTACAGTTCGGGGTCTTCCCCGTGGACGCTTGGTCTTCTTGCCTGTGTCACTATCTTCAGACTCGCTGCTCGTTCCTGATGAACGTCGACCCTTTCGTTTCTTTGATGAGCCCTCAGAATCACTGTTATCACGATAGGACATCTAGGATAAACAATTTTGAGAAAAATGAGTTTAAACAACCAATTTGTTTAAGACTACATCTGGCAGGCAGTCAACCCCTTCTTTGATACCACTAAAGAATTGTCAACCACTTCTTTGATGTTGCAAGAGAGTGGTCAGCCACTACTACAGCAGACATCTCAACCAAATCATTTCTACTGTAGTCCCACCACTATTAGAAGCTAAATTGTATTTATGAGATATTAATCTAACAATGTCTGTCTCTTCCCATAATTTTTTTTTAGTAATGAGTTCATGCAATTTACATTTTGCACTTGTTTTCTCACTCTAGGAGGAAGATAAAAATCCATCTTCTCCTTCTGTTTCTCCTCCTCTTCTACTTTACTCCGTGCTTCCAGTGGAATGATGTCTTCCCAGGATGCACCCATCTCCGAAACTTCTTCCTCCTCTTCCATTGTTGAGAAATTGGCCACCTGCAGATATAGATATGGACGATTTGATGAGATAAAGCCTCAACAATGTATTGGTGATTGAAGGCATGATTATGTGACTGCACACAGAAATATTCAAGGCTTGCCGTCCCAAAACTAGCACACTATCGCTATATGTTAAACTGAGTAACTAGCATAAGAATGTTGCAGAATTGTACACTTTAGTGCTGAGAAGCTTTCATACTTTTCTCATAACTTTGGCAATAGTAAGCGGATTCCAGTAAACGACCCATCATTTCAAAGCTTACAATGTTGAGAATAAGAATATCAAAAAGGCAATTTTCATTTTTTTTTATCACTGATAATGGTTTTTGGATGGCAAGCTTCATTTGACCAACAAGGCAGAGTTTCACTAAACGTCTATAAAGTCAAGCAAAAGTGAATTAGTCGAGACAGATATTAGGCAAACAATGGTTGAGAATTTTGTATAAAGCCAAGATTGTTTTTGGCTTTCAATTTCACATTGTAAAGTACTTTGAGGCCTTGTGATTCATTCATTCATTCTTTATTTAACCTTATAAAAATCACATTACAATTTGCACATACAGTAAAATAAAATAAAAAAAATTTAAAAATCTCAATACAGAATAAAAGTGAAAATCTATGGAGGCAAGGATTAACAAAAACAATTAAAATCGCTGTAGCTCACAAGCTAGTTAATCCATCCTTAGAGAAACAGCAATTTAAAATTGAAGATATAATAAATAATAATACTATATAATACTTAGGAAGAAAAACACAAGAAATTAAAAATGAGACTTAATCATTATTGCAAAAAAAAAAAAAAAAAAAAAATTATACAAAATATATATTATTCAGTAATATTATACAGAACTTGATAAGACATTAAAGATTACATAAATCTTCTTAATTCATTTTCATAAAAAGAGCTCACCTTGAATTGGGAAAGGAATTCCATACCAGCAACAGCATTTTCAGATTCATGAGTCTCAGCACCCTCCAGAATAGAATCAATGTCAAACTCCTAAAAAAAGAAAAATATTGCACAAAAAAATGTTTTAAATGTTTCATAAAAATTCAATACTTAAATAAATCAATAAATTCAATGAAGGGCAGATGTAAATTGACAATGGTGTTGTTTATGTTAACAGGTGTTATTCATTTATGGTTCACCTGTAGCAGGTGTTATTGGCATTAGACGCACCTGTAGCATGGGTTAATAATCTTTGCTGTCACCTATTGAAAGTGTTACTAAAAAAACAATCCTTACCTGTAGCTCCGACTCCTCGCCGTCAGCTTCTTTGAAAAGCTCTTCAGCTCCGAACTTGAGAATATGAGAGAGTTCCTCACGGGTAAATGGTGTATTACTTTAAATTTAAAATATATCAATTTATACAAATTATGTAAAATTGAAGAGTGTCAGTGTATCACATCAATATCTCTAAAGGCCAACTCAGACAGCATCGTACGACGCAGCCCGACGCGATTCATTGTCTGGACAGTCTTGAGGCAACTACCCCCGACGCACATTATCGGGTCTGAGTTTAACTCGTCGTACGACGCTGTCTGAGTTGGCCTTAAGAATGTGCCAGTGTCTCTGCTCCCAGGATAATATACCACAGAGTCCAAGCTTTTTAGTTAAGTCACAACTTCAATTTACAGGACCAATAACAAGACTAAGTTAAGACAGCATCATATACATTTATTTCTCTCACATATATTACACCATCAATTTTGCAACAAATCATCAGTTACAAACTAAGTATAACACTTGCTTGCTGGTTAAATTACTTGGCTGTGTCATGATGCATTGTTCCACCTAGTAATTGGCAAGTTCTGTGCTTGCCGTTGAATGTGACAGTAATACAGAAAAATGTGGAAATTACTTAAACTATAATACATTTGTCCTTACCTAGCAGGTGCTGATGTCTTTGAAAGAACTGTCCTGCCAGAGGTATCCATCCTCTGGATCACCAGATGATCTAACACCATCTTCTTTTTGGCCCTTTCAATTATCTCTTCCTCTACGCTCACCTTTGTAACTAGCCTGTAAATGTTTACCTGCAAAGATTACAAAGTAAAGGTTATTGTTTTGAAAATATTAAATGAATAACACTCTCTCATTAACTTCAGTTTTCCAAGAAAATGTATAAATAATTTCTGGAAATTGTGGGTGCTGCAAACAGGAATGATCTATATCCAGTAGCATCCAGGGATGTATTTAGGACAAGTGAAAGTAAGCCTATATAAATTGAGTTAATATAAAATTTTTGGTCAAATGTGATTGGTGCAGAAGATGATGAACACACTTTTTTCCTTATTGATTTTCTAGTCAGATTTGAAGGGATCAAATGAATACATATCTAGATGTCAGTGGCAATATATGTGATATAAATGGTTTTGTCTTTTTCTTAATTTCTATTGAGATATGTAAAGGGAAGACAGCAGGCTAAGAATTTATTACTCTTGACAAAACTAACAGAAGGCTGTGTTTAGGTTTACCAGCTTTCTTTGCCCTATTGTACGTGCTCTTGACATGGCTTGTTAATAATATTAATCCCTGATAAAGAGCAGTGTTTAATCCCTGTTAGAGGGCAGTGTTTAGGTTTACCTGCTTTCTTTGGCCTATTCTATGTGCTCTTGACATGGCTTGTAGATCATTCTGTGGGTTCCAATCTGAATCGAAGATGATAACTGTGTCGGCTGTTGCCAGATTTAATCCGAGTCCACCTGCTCTTGTCGACAGTAAGAAGCAGAAATCCTGTAATGAAACCACTTACATCTTATTTATTTGTTTATTTATTTACATAGTGACTTTCTTTCTAGGTATGAATATCTAATTTTACATACATTATGGTTTGATAGTGAGAATGGTGCATTTAGGTAAAACAGTGTAAATCTAACTTGTCCTGTTTTTGTTACCCGTTTTTTGGCCTCATTTTAGTGATTTCTGTGTTGTTTTCAGAATTTAAAGAAACCTTTCCTTTATTTCTTTTCCTGTCTTTTGCTTTGTGAAGTATTACACATATAATGCATTATATAAGAAAAAAATGATTATTATAACTACTAATATTATCAATACTTCACACTATAATCAATAATTATCTTTGTGCAAGAAAAATGCAAGGCATACTGACTTACAAGTGACTTCTCAGCATTAAAATGGTCTAGCGCCTGCTTCCTTAAGTCACTACCCACTGATCCATCTAGCCTCTGTAGGTACAAGCAGAAACATACAAATATGATTAGATGTTGGTACATCATAAGGGCCTTGTAGTGGCAATAGGCAATATACCAATGCAGTAATTCAGAGACAATAAACCACTGAACGAATTATGTGGAGATTGAGATGGTACATTATGGTCAATCACTTTGACCCTCCTAGGCCTAAATTTTGTATAACATGTACTACTAACATTCATCATAGACATCTCAGCATAAATAGCTTTAATACACTAATGTTGGGTCAATATTTTTTGTTGTTTTAGGAGATTCAGTGACTGCTTTATTTTGCACCCAGATGAATGATGCAGTGCAAACTACCACACTGATTTATCATCTTAAAGCACTTTTGGAAAAGAGAAATCAAGTCTATTACTGGAAGATATCAGTCAATCGCATCCGATTCTGTGAGGATACTTTTTCTTGATAATAATAGGTTACATGTTATTTTTCTGTTACTACATTCACATTCAATGAAAATCACACTTAAGAAATCATAATGCTTACCTGAAATGGCCAATGTTTATACCGAAGGTAATCAGCAAGTATGTCCAGCATGCGAACCATTTGTGAGAAGATGAGTACGCGGTTACCACGTTCATGAAAGCGCGTCAACAGCTTGTCTAGCAATACAAGCTTCCCACTCATACGAATAATTTTCTGCACATATAAAGCAGTAGGAATTGGCTTAGTTTATTTGCTTTGACTTTTATTTTTATTATCTAATTTTCAAAGTGGCAAACATTGGCTGAACCATTCTGTGGACGATCAAGAGCAACCACTATCATTGTGGCTCTCATATGCATATTAATGAGGTAAACCAGAATTAGCCAATCACTGGAGGCTAACAAAAATAAGGAGTCCGAATTTGATCTACTTGCAAAGAGTAGTGAGGCATAAATCAGTACAAGTTCTTGTGAATAAATAAAGATGGTTTCACAAAAATATCACAGTGGTGGATCCAGAAATTTGAAATAGAGGGTACCCAGAAAGGGACTTTGGCAGATGGAGTGTCTATACCACCTCAGCCCCACCATGTTTGGGGTGAGGTAAGAAAATTTACAATTATGGAACCTCTAGACTTAAAATTTGAAAATAAATTTCTTTTTTTCTCTAATTTTTTACAATTTTGAAAAATGTGGGTGGCCCCCCCCCCCACTTTTATCCGCCATTGTATCAACATGGTACTGTCCAAACTATCAAATTATATGTGAAAATTTGTGTAATGTGACCATATTTGGGAATGATGATGTCATATTACACCCTAATATGGGCAAATCAGTTGTTTGTCACACAAAATTTGATAGAGTGGACAGAGCGTTAGGGCTTGTTTCAGCTTGATGAAATAATAATTTACCTGCAGATCAACTGGACCATCTTCCTGTCTAACCAGTAATGGATGGTTACAACACTTCTTTAGTTCCATAACCAGATTAATAAAACCAGTGATGCTTCCTTTTACTCCTTTGCTCAGTGCAAGGAAATTCTTTGTTAGGATCCACCTGGAAACAAATTAAAAAGCGTCAACACATGGCCGCGGAAGATTCAGAATGAGAATGAGGTGCGTATTAAAAGCATGTGAGCTTAAGTTCACCAAGCCTGCTTAGAAAACATCTAACCAAATCTTATTGAAAAAGATAATAAAGCAGACGAAAAGAAGAACCAAAACCTTAGAACATAAGTAACACCACAGCCTTTCCTTCAACCTCCTCCCCCAGCCAAAAATACACAAATCAATCGTGATGCTCAGCCTTGCTACACGAGCGACACAACGGGCACTCCGAGTGCCGGTCGAGCTTAACACTCGGTTTAGGGCCCCCACACGCCGAGCACAAAGACTTGCGAGCGGACATGCCGATCGAGACTACAAAAACAAAGGATATCTTGTCAAGTTGAAAATAAATCCAAGGCAAAATAAGACAGAATAGCTTGAAAAGACTGCTAGAAATTCAAAGGCTGGGTGTATCCAACTTCGAACAACGTCGAAAAGGGAATGAGGACGTTTGTTAGGGAGACGGTTCGCACGTGGCGCCTTGGGTCGGTCTGTTCCATTTTTTTTCGAAGGGGTGTTCCGTTTTGGGAACAATGGCAATTAGTCGGTTATCCAGGTAAGTATTCACGAAATAGACTATGAAGACAGGTTATAATGTATGACAAACGACAGTGTCCTGCTCTTTCATGTATAATATTTTTTTATTCAGTTAGGGTTCCTCTGCAGCATGGAATGGCTCCTCTGATAGAAAACATGGCACTAAAAAATAGAAAGCAGATAACAGGAAAAGGTTAAGCAAGGAATGTTCAAGGATCAAATAAATTCCCATCTGACGACATCTAGGAATCAATCGAAGACCAAACCCACTATACCAGGCTGGAAAAAAAAAGCAATTCTTACTTATAGTACTGCTTCTGAGTAGCACTCATTTCCACTCGGAGGATCCTCTCCACTTTGGCTGGTAACGACTTCTCCACATCCTTCTTAACCCTCCTCAACAGAAACGGCTCAAGTTCCTGGTGCAAGCTGGCATAACCATTCTTGTCAGCACATTGATGCTGCTCTTCAAACTCTTCCCATGATGTAAAGCTAAAAGGAAAGCCACAGGAGCATTCTTAATGGCATTTTAACTTATTGTGATCATATTTATCTATTGGCCATCTTTACAAAGGGTGTTCATTTAGCAGAGATAATTATTTTGGAACATTCAAATGAATACAATAACAATTGAAATAGGCCTATTCATACATCAATATCCAACCAATTACTGTAGGTTGAAACCATTCTAACAATCTACAAAACACTTATAGCAATCAGTCTAGAACTAAAGCCGGTTTCACACTAGGCAAGTTTTTTGCACGCGAATCAAAGCATTAGTTTATGCGCATTCACATTTCTTTTGGATTTTTTTGCGCTTCAGCAAAATCTGCAATTCAAACCATCTCTAATTTTTGCAAAGCGAAAAAATGCGCAATCAATCAGAGCTCAGGAAGTGAACTGACGCTTTTGATTTACGTGACTAAATTCACCTAGTGTAAAACCGGCTTAATGTAGCAAAAAATAAAACTAAGATGCTTACTCATCAGGCATAATAAAATGCAGGAGCGACCACAGCTCCTTGAGGGAATTCTGTAAGGGTGTTCCTGTGATCAGTAATCGGTGGTTAGTGCTGAAGTTCATCAGAGTTTTGTAAAGTAAAGAATCATCATTTTTCAATCGATGGGCTTCATCAACTATTAGATTAGCCCAGTTAATGCTGCCAAGGAAAGACTGAAAGGAGACAACAGAACTTATCAAGCAAACAAAATTGAATATGAAGGTCACAATCGGTTGAAGAGTTACTATATGTTAAAGATGTACTGTCCCTTACAAAAAACAAAAACAAAAATCATAAAAATCATTATGGAAATTTACTTGCCCATTTTGAAGTAACAAAAAAATGATCAACTTGAACATAGAAATTAGTATATTTAAAAAATGCTAACCAATAAAAACCATCCTTTTAAAGCGAAAAAAATGATAGAAATTCTATTATCTTTATCATTATTATCCAGTTAAAAAATCAGGGAACACACTTTTTTAATTTAATAATTTCTATGCTCAAATTAATAATTTGTATGTTACTGCAAAATGAGCAAATTAAATTTAAAAATTATTTTTTGTGATTTTGGTCATTTTCAAGGGACAGTACATCTGTAAAACCAATGGGCCTTTATGGAGTGTCAACCAAACTTAACTAACCAATCACAATAGGGCTAGGAATATGCGCTTTGCCCAAAAATGCAAGTGTGTAATTTTGTTTACACTTTCGTTTTGTGGGAAGAAAAACCTCTTAATATTAACAATCATTAATGAAATGGTTATTTAGTGCTACATTAATAACAAACATTACAATGATTTATATGATTGTTATATAATTTATATGGTTGTCAGAAATGAACATCCACTTACCTTGTCTTTTAGGAGTATTTCATATGTTGTTACAATAACATTGAATTTTAATCGGTTCCGATTGTTGTTGTGACACCATTCATCTTCTCTAATCTATGAAAAAATAGTAGAATAATAGAATAATTAATTTATTACATGATTGTATCCTCAGTTAAAACATATGCTATATATAATTTAGCCCTAAAAGTATTATATCATAAGCAGCTTATATTTGAATCCATTTTCACAATATTAAATTTAGTTTTCATATGTTTATGTTCCTAATGGACGTATGCCAACATTACATTTTTGTCTATTGTGCAACAAGACTAATACTTTGTCTTGGAAGGTGACTTATATACAAGACAATACATACTATATTTCTGCTTTTAACATCTCCAATATACATAATAACATTCAGCTCAGGAGCCCACATTTGGAACTCTCGTTGCCATGATGTCATGGTTGATAATGGCACCACCACAAGAAATGGTCCATAAAGCTGATGGGCATGGTGAAGGTACGATAGAAATGAAATGGTCTGGATGGTCTTGCCAAGTCCCATCTCATCAGCAAGTATGATACTGTTTTCTCTATATAAACACAATAACATCAACATTAGCATAAGGTTAAAGGTCACATATATAAGTAATTAACATATGTGAACCTATTGTTGATCACATCTCATTTTGAACTGTGCAAAATGTAAAATTGACATGGGTCAACTCAGAATGTGGTTACAAGGTTAAATCTCCAACTGACCTGGCTAACACCAAATATTGACCTAGGTCACAAACTTGATCTGGTCTAAACATAAAATCATCTACTTTATTTAAATGTCCAAATGAATCATGGTATGTTAAACAAATTGTTACAACTTACTTGCACCACGAGTGTGCCAGCCAGTTTAGGCCGTCTAACTGATAGTCTCTCAGCTCAAGGTCATCTCCACCAATGTACGAGGGCTGCGCTTTGAGTTGCACGAACCGAGGTCGGATCTTTAAAACCTGCAAAAAATATCCATAAAATATGATGAAAAAAAATATGACTAAGGGGAACAAATTATTTCTAAATTTCTTTTAATATGTTCAGGAATGAGATATATTAACACTAACAACACATGTATTACTGAAGTCTATACTGACTCCCATTAAAAGCAGTACCTGAGTACTGCTTTTGCTAATTTGTCCTATTGTACATATCTTCTTATTGAGAGAAAAAACATATTTTTTTATATTTTAAGTAAAACCACATACCCTAGTAATTTTTGATGGTATTCTTGTGCATTTGTTTCTTTTATGATATGCATCAATGCACTCCTGGTTGTTCTTGGCGATCAGCTCTCCATCCTCCATGGTACACTCCGAGTATGGATATCCCTGCCACTTGCACAGGTAATCTGGGTACCCAGATGATGTGTTCTGATGAGCTATTTTGATACACAAGGGATAATGATATTTTGAATAAACATCTATTTATTAACCATTCATATTTTATATGCATATATAGCTTTTTTCAATGTGTGTTTGCGTCAGGAAAATATCATAGGAGTGATGTTCTGCTCCACCCGATGTATTGCCATACTGAATACTCAGTACATTTCCAAATACTTATCGAACCCACAACCTCCATAGGTTGTGGGTTCGATTCCCACCCGAATCACTGGCAAATTCTTCTCACACAAGTATTTGGAAATGTTGGAAATGTACGGAGTATTCAGCATGACAATACATCGGGTAGGGCAGAACATCACTCCTATAGCCTGGTATCATAACCATTAAACGACAAAGCTTACACTTAGTTAATAATGTTGAGTCCAATCTGATCCTCATTTATAGCTTACTATTTATAATTTCTTTTCTTTCGAGCTTCATTTTGATCGATATATATTAGTGTTTTTGATTCTGTACATAAACACTGAATTTCCCTCATTCATCATCATTCTTCATGATCATCGCTATCAATGCATTAGCGTAGGAAGAAACCAAATATAATAAGTGATTACATGATACTTACCAATAATACGTTCTACTTTTTGGTACTGTTCAACCAGCTGGAGGGACATCTCCTGCTGGCATTCATAATACTCTACATCTTCTGGATTTGCCACTTTCTTCCTGAAAATCAAACAATCTTATTTTAGTTTTTTGACAAAAAACTTGGGGACCATTAATGAGAAACAGATTTTTTTGAGGAAAAGGGCAAAATGGTGGTTACACCCCATTTCCCCCAGTTTCCTGACCACCCAGTGGATTGTATTACACCATATTGTCTAGACAATAAAATAGAATAAAGAATAAAGTCAGAAATTCAATATTTTCATTGAATATATTCTACAGCAGCTATTATACAGCTAAGCATTACACTTGGATGTCTGAACTAAAATATCTGCTATTTCCAAAACATGAAGCCTTTCCTTCTTACCATTCCATTACTTCTTCCTCTCTCTTGATATAGTTTTCTAGCTTCTTCATCCCTTTAACTTTCTGTGCTTTTAAAGTATCTTCAGATTCCCATGTATTGTGTATGTGGGCCCATCCTCTCCACTTAATCAGGTACTGCGTCTCTGTTTCCTCTGTCTCCATATCGATACCCTGGTTTGGATCACCATTTGCTTCCACATAATAGACAGTAGTTATTGCACCAGTTTCTAAACAATTCAAAAATCAAAACTCATAAAATGTTCAACACAAATCATATTACAGCACATGTCTAATACATCAATGAGCACTCTCCTATGATGAAAACAACAACAAAGACAAAGATTTACAAAATAATGATTTTTTTTTAATGTGTATATAAATAGGGTAGGTAGGTAGGGATTTTTTTTACTGCCACAATAATTAGCAAAGTCCTTGAAATCAAGGGTGGCATCAGTGAGAGGGGGAGAACTGGCGCATTCCCCCACCACCATCGGGGTGGAAAACCCCAATTCATTGGGGAGAGAATTATAGGCCTAGGCATATGTATTTCCTACATATTAAATAGATTAAATAAGCCTTGGAAACCCCTACATTGTCATAATTTCCTCCCCTGGACCACTTTCGAAAAATTTTTAGCAACGCCAAACTACGTACACTTTGCTCTCGTCGGGGACCCAACAGTGGTAAGCTGTCCAGGAATCGACTCAGAAGTTTAGTTTTTTTTTAAAATTATATTTCCAGTCATTTTTGCATTGTTTTTCTATGTTGTTAAATTTAGTATTGTGAATTTTAAATAAAAATGTCGACCGGGTTACGCCAACATAACAATTATGTTTTTAGTCCTTATCGCACAGACATGATGCTCTATAACCAAGTCAATGAGGCTATGGGAGAGAAGTTGTTTATGCTTAGCAGAAAATTTATTATTTTCTTTTACCAAGATTGAACCCAGTTCCTTGAGACTGGAAGGTAATGTTACTCATTAAGCCAGAGTTCCACTCCTAAAGACATCCTCACAATCTAGTACTTAACATCAATCAATCAATCAATCAATCAATCACTCAACTTACTTCCTTTGCGACCAATTCTATGATTTAAAACCTTCTCGATGACCTCTGCATCATCGTTTCCATCAGTTTGTCCAGTTTGTTCGATGATGTCATCAGAGTCGGTGGAGTCTTCATCTTCCTCAAGGTAACTGGCAAAGATGGTGAGACAAAAAGATCATACAAGTGTATAATATTGAATGACAGAGAAACAATAGACACAACTGCATACAAAATAATACTCCCAAATATAGACATAGGAGGTAGATATAAGTAATAGGAATACTTATGATTCCCTAAATTTTCACAGCTACACTAATGATATATGATATTATACAGTGTTCTGATACCTAGGAACTGCTTTTGTACCTGACTTTGGCAGTTGCTGTCCGCTGACTGCGTTGTGCACGTGGGTAGTCACTATCGCTATCAGTCACTTCAGAGCTCGATGCACGTTTGCGTCGATTCACAGACTGTTTCTTTCTTGCGCCGCCTCTTGCAGATGCTTTAAAATTAAATCAATTGAGGAATATAGAAGATGAAGATATGTCGCAATAAAATTACTGAAGCTTTTGGTTTCTTAACCAATGACTAAAAGTTACGGTAAGTGAATTAAAGAAATATAATACTACAAATTAATGAATTATTATTTATCTCAAATATGATTTGGAGAGGAATTGAATAGCTTTATAGTTAAGATGCTTGCCTTGCAATGCCAGGGTTCTGGGTTCAATTCCTACTGCAACTCTACCCCGTAAAGCCGGGCACTCACTGTGTCGTACGACTGTCGCACGACAAATTCAACTCCGACCTCTGTGAGCGCTAGACAACGCAATGCAGTCTACTGATTGTCGGTGGTCGTCTGAACAGATTGTCATTAAAAACAATCAGTTACGCGCACATCGTTGCGTTGTGTTCTTCGTATAATCGCATCGGCCGACAACCGTCGGTCCCAATGAGTGCCCGGCTTAAGTCTCATTATGAGATTTGTTATTAAAGCATAACTGGGCTCTGTAGGACAACGGTAGATTTCTACTGAAAAGGATACCCAGTATAAAGAGTAATGGAAAAAAAAAAATTACTCAAATTATCATCATAAAAATAGACACATTCCACTAGGTTGGTCATGTGATGTATAGTGTGTATAAATTGTAAACAGGCAGCACGAGTGACGCTTGGTAATAAGAAAACGCATGGCTTCTTCAGAATGTTGCTGCTACAAAGCACATATCTGATGTTGAATAATGTTGGTTGGTATATATCAAATTGATTGGAAATTGAAATTGAGAGTTTTGCCATAATGGTTTGCTAATACTCCAAAAGACACTGGCCCTGAACATTGAGATTTTTCAACAAATGCTAGGCCTAGGCACTGCATTTCTACTTCCTGTTTAGGTATGCACGAGGGTCTTTGATCCGCGGACTGCGATTTTGACATGCTACGATTTCTAGGCTAGCTAAGGTTTACGAAGGATCACATAAATTACAAAGCATAAAAAGCACATGGAACGTTAGGATAAGTAAATAAACACTACTTTGAACAATCATATAGTAGTGCCTCTCCTTGACAGTTATTTCTCACGTTAATGGTGGGCAGTTGTTTCCGCAACATTACCTTTGCTATACTTTAACACTGATCGCACTGTAAATTCTCCATAGTAATACCCACTATATATCACATGACTAGCTGTTAACAAACCTCACGAAATGTGTCTATTGATCTCTATCCTAATTAACTTATACACCATTAAAAATGATGTTCTTAATCTTAACACATTTACTAATCATAATCTGAACTTGAAAAAATGAAAATGAATCGCCATCTTACCACGGTTTTTAACAGTTGATCTTGCATTAGCTCTTGATTTACCTCTGGATGCTGGCTCAAAGTCAGAACCACTCTCCTCACTTGAGGAGTCGCTTAAACGGGTTCCTCTATGCCATCCATCACTATTATGTGAATTAAAACATTGTTTGGTGTAATGTAATCATCTTTGCATGTTAATGTTTTCTTTATCTAAATATTATTATTGTTACTGGGTTTGTTACAGCTTGGATTGTCCATAAAAAGGTCTTAAGTAAACACCAGTCAATATTAATACCAATTAATCATTCATGACATAGGGTACATAATGTAATTGCCTTCATGGTGATTACCTACATTATGACCTGGCCATTTATATACAGTAGATGGAAAACAACTTCAGGTTTGACTTATTGGGACCTCCTTGTCTAATAAACTACCACCATCACCACTTATCCCATGAAACAGGTGCGCTCACAAAAGCCCAGAATTTAAGTCATTATAGTGATGGTTACAGAATTGCATACGTTTTATTGTTCCGTCTCCCTCTTGAAGATCCTGTCACTGATTTCTTTCTTCCCCTGCCGCCTTCTGGTTCATCAGTCTATGGAGGAAAAATATTGTGGCTAATGTAATGTGGAGAATATACATTAGTATATCATCATTCTATATTTATACATTATCATGACATAATAATTGTGTAATCATTATTTACTTTTATATTATCCAACATGGGGCAATTTTACGGGGGCCGAGCCAGCTCCTCTTTTGGAAAGAGAAAAAAAAAAGAAATTATTGATCACCCAAAACGCCTCAGAGGTTATTTCCGGGGGTGTAGAAAACCAAAAAAGTAGTGTTGTCTCTCGATGCCACCCCCTCCTTTTGGACCCCTCACCCCTTTTGGATATCTCTGGATCCACCCCTGCAACACTACATTTACTATATTGCTTTACAGGACAGTATTCTGCTATTCCATTAGCAAGGATTGGGATTGAGAAGACTTATGGAAAATTACATCTAAAACCCATAAAATCAACTCTAAACCCTAGATGAATAACCTTTGAACTTACTGGAGTCATCTGATATCGTGCTACTTTATTCTTGCAACGACTTGACCGCCGAATACCATAAATATCTGGAAATTCTTCCATCATCTTTAAATTCAAATATAATATAAACAAATTGAGATTTTGAGTACTGTAAGATTTTAATATCGTCCAATCATACTGTCTGACACTTAGTATCTTGGGAGTCCGCTTCTTCTGCATCCATAAAGTTGTTGAAGGCTGTTGAGAGCTTCTTTCAAATGAGTCATTGTCTTAGCCTGGTGAATGTTGATTCGAATCAGGCCCAGAATATTTTTTAGTAGACTAAACCAGCGCTTCCCAAATATTTTTGCTGGGGAATCACTTTAGTGATTGGCAACCCACCTTGTCAGAAACAAGACAAAGGGCACAGTTTGATTATTGAGATATAAAATTTATCACAACTTTTCAAAGAGATGGAAAGAGAAGCATTTGTAGTAATTGTAGGGGTCCCAAGTTGGAAGAAATCATTTCAGGAGATCTGGGTAAAATGAGTTTTCTTAAAACATCTAATTATATTTCGGTATGCACAGTGAAATCCATCGGCACTGATTCCATGAGACAATTGATAATAAAGTAGTAAAAAAGTGCAGATATTATGAATTTGTGAAAGAGGGGTAATTTTCTGTAAGATTCTTGCCTTTTTGCAGGAGGCTGTGCTGATTTCCGGACATAAGCTTAGCCAGCGAGCTGTCCGGCTGTCTTTTGGACGGCCAACAATTATTTAGGACGGCCACTTTTACCATGACAACTTGGACGGCTTGGTCTTATCAGCTCGGCCTAGCCTAATTGGGCCTGGTCTACCTTTAGCATATTCTTTACATTCTTCAAATCTATCGAATGTTACATTAAACTTAAGCTAAATTATATTTACATTTGACAAAAACAACCTTTATTGATTGAATGTATGTTGTTTTCATACCAATATTCGGTGGAGATTCCCAAAAATGTAAGACTTAACCATTGCCTACCCGGTGAAAAGTTCACTTACAACACGAGTTGTGTTAAAAACATTATACCCCACTGGAAAATGGACGGTTCTGAGTCACTAACAACGCATGTACATGGCTCTGCAAATACAATACTGGAGATTTGGTTCCCCGACATAATACTATTGGTGTTCGTAACTATCTGGTTATAATTAATTTATGAAATATTGTAAAGAAGATTTGCTGTTAAAGTCACAAGTTAAATTTTATTAGTGAACAAAATACAGTAGGTCTAGGCCTATCTCTCGATTCGGAGGACCTAGAGTAGAATTTACACTAGGCTAAGGCGAGAGATGAAGATGCATTTGCATAGTCTAGAAACAATTTATGTGAGTTACAGTAGCCGTTCGCAATCTATGTCTGTAACTAAAATATCTTTGTGATAGGTAATTCAAGACTAGACTATTCCTTTGAAGACAAAATTCCAACATTTAAACACTTTTAAATGCCCTCTAAAGATTCATAATTTTTTTTTAATGTTTGGAAGGAGACGTGGCTTGTTATCGGCTCAGGGCCACTCCTATTGGCATCCATTTTGGACGGCCTATTTTGTTGTTCTGGCTAAACTCGTTTTCCGGAAGACTCCCACGACTTCCAGGAGACTTGGGACTATGGAAATTGACAAATTAATGGCTCGCACTAAATTTTACAGGAACATGTGGGAGTGGTAATTAAGTTTTAAAGATTGAAAGCAAATCTAAAGTACCTCTTTGATATCTTTGGCAGTGGTGACTTTGGTAAACCATCGCTGCTCCTTGGTTTCATCATCCTCATCTTTCATTTTACTTGGACTACCACTCTCATCATCATTCTCGGAGTCTTCATTTTCATCCTTCTCCTCATCATCGTCATCGTCATCTTGCTCATCCTCATCATCTGAATGCGCATTATTATTTTCCTCCATGTCCTCATTAGATTCGTCATTTGACTCATTGTCTGATTTCTTAGATTCTTCTGATTCTGATCGTGTTGCATCGTCTGAGTGTTCATCAGCTGAATGCTCCTCCTCCTCTTCTTCCTCTTCTTCATCATCCTCATCGTGATCTGCTACTGCTTCATGTCCCTCTGATCCAGAATCTGAACTATTGTTTTCACTGGATTGAAATAAAAAGAAAGTTTCACTATAAGTAATGGAAATCTCTTAAGTTTATTACTCATGTTAACATCTCGAATGATTGAAAAAGGAATCTACAGAATCTGTAGTAGACCTGAAAACGTCCAGGTAAATCCTTACTGCTTTTATTGGTTAATTATACCTGGGCTGAAAATTAGCGGTCCCCAGTGGCCACCTTTTTTGGCGTTGGGCGATAATAAATTTCATGGGTATCATCCGCCTGGTGACCCTCTAAAAAAATGATCTTTTTTCCATGAAAAAAAAAAAGTGAAAATACCGTGGTTGTGACAATGTTTCTGACCTTTGACCTCTGAGATGACATTTGTATAATTAATTGTACATTTTACTTACAGTAGTAGTAGTGTATTACAATGTAATAAATATCAAATTATTAAACCAATGTCATCTTGCTGGTTTTACTGATTTTATTTTTTCGTAAAATTATATTTCGGACCTTAAAAAAGAAATAAGAGGACCAGTATAACTTTGGAAGGGCCAGTATCATTTTTTTTCTTACTGGCTTTGCTGGCCACTGTGATTTGGGAGTTAATTTTCAGCCCTGGTTATAAATAATTTATCAATTATTATTATTATAATATAACTGTATTGTCATTATTATTATTAATTCAATACATAAAAATAACAATAAGATTAATAATATACCTTTAAAGTTGCAAGGCATTATTGAAAAATAAACTTTAATATTAATTCCGATATTGCAAAATCTAATTTTAGTGTAATACCTAATGATCAATTATGCTAAATGTGTCACACTTCCCAAAAGGTCTTTAAACAATTAATAGTTATAAGTAAAAAAAAAAAAATTAAAAAAAAAAAAAAAATCAAATAATGTGAAGGCTGTATTTCCTACTGAAAACATGTTTGCAATCACACATAAAAAAAAAAAAAAATCACTGTATACATTGCAATTCAATATTAATTGTATAATTCAAAATTCTAAACTATTATTAAACTATTATATTAACCTATGTCAATACTACTACAGCAGCTTTCAAAACTTGGCATCTGTCCAAATCTAAAGGCAATCTGCATAATTATGTATTCACAATTTCCTGCTATGATTGGCTAATCACTTGATTTTTTTATGCTCATAAGAATGTTCTCTATTATGACAACAATATTCTGCTCAAATGACATATGTGTGGCAGTTGTATTTATTGAGGAACATTAATTGTGAGAGTGGTGGTTTAACAGTGTAGGCATACTGCTCTAATCACAACTGTATTTTTAGCAGACTTGCAACTTTCACAAATTACATTTAATCATAATTAATAATCTACTAATGATATATGTGGACTTTACATAGTTAAGGACAATACTATTTGTGTTTAGCTAAAAAGCTCGAAAAATAAACAATACTTTAATTTATTTTTTTCTCTTTTTATTTAACTTATTATCTTTCAATTAAAAATCTATATTTCATGTTAAAATATTGAATTATTTATGTAAATAATTAAATATTTTAACGTAAATAAATCAAATAATACACAAACCAAAATAAATGATTTTTCAATGATTTACAGATTGTTGACTATCAAGTCCATAAACCAAAGTAGGGGTTGGATATACACCCCCACCACTCCCCTCCCCCCATGCTTTTTGCATATCTTTGGGCACAGCCCTGTACCTACTTTTGCCTCTTTCAAACAAGGAATACATGGGTACATGCTAGAATGTTTTGGCAGGAATGTATTAGTCAATGCTCAATGCAGTGTTGCTACAGTGAAAATTCCCAAGAAGTGGAGAAGGTAGCAGGTCATGCAAGTTTGCAAATTTATGAATACAACGCCCAAGGGGAATCACAAGCACTTTGTATGAGTTGGCAAAGACCATGATATAAATTCCTATACTATTATTATTTTTTTTATTGCTATTATTATTAAATTAATTGCCAGCCAACTTAAAGAGTCTAATTAGATATTTTTAATGAAAACTTAAAGGACTGGTCAATCAAATTTTTTAACTTACACTTTATTCAGAAAACATTATATAAACCCATTTTTTTCCATTATTCCAAATGGAGTTCACTGACCCATATCAAAATTTAACATTAATATAAATCTTTCAATTGTTGAAATGGGGAAAATTCTATACTACTAATAACAATATTTTTTTACATATCCATTATATTACATTACACACAGTAATAATGAGAGGGTTAATGGGCTAATTAGCAAAAACATTTTCTCATCAATAACTTACTTTACAAATAAAAGTCTATAAGCAATTCAATAATCAATTATAGTATTCAAGTTTAAACACTGACAAATTAAAAATGCTTATGTTTCATTTATAAATTCTAGGTTACAATATAATCACTGTTTTTCTTCATAAAAAAGTAATTTCATTCCCATGACAAAAAAAAATGTGACTTGATACCCTGTTAAACTGTTTTTACATTTGCCCATTTTATAGTACTCAAATTCTGTAGGGTTTTCTTCACCCAAAACTGTTCCTTAGCAAGGCCAGTAAACTGTTTGGGGTGCAATTAAATTACATTTTTTATATGAGTGCTTTAATGAATTCTAAAAAAGTGGGAACAGGCTATAAATTTATTGTATTGTTTATGAGAAAAAAGGGGGAAAAGGGGGTAGTTGGGATTTGATAAACTTAGATGATCTATCATTTAACAATAAAATTGAAAGGTACAATTTGTAAGGTAATTTGGAGCCCATCAAAATGCTACAACAGTGCATCGCATCTGCTTAGGAGGGAGTTAGCCATGAATGGTTTCTATTATCAGCCAATCATGTTTCAGCTATTAGGGCAGCGTTAGCAATGAGCATACCTTAAATTACATAAAGGAAAATTCCTATTGATCCAACAGTTACTACATGATAGCCTTTGATAAGTCAATTTTTCAATGAATTATATTTGTATAGACTTTTCATCATTCTGATTATACTTTTGATACATAATGTACTGAAGCATTCAACACTACGAAAACACTAAGATGGGAGAACAATTCCAAAAATATCTTGTACAACAGTGTTGCCAAAGGAACAGGAAGTTTCTACAACATATCAGAGATTCCATGTTACACAAATAGGCAGGTGCAAGACTTCTAAAAATCTGGGCCCCACTAAGGGTTATGGGGTGGGGGATCCCAACATCACCTTTTTCACACTGGCATGAGTTAGCGGTTTGTACGCATCTTCGGATCTTATCTGACAGCTCTTTATAAAACGACATTTACAGTGTTAGTGCAGCTAGATGGTATACACAATGTTACCATGATATTTTAAGTACTGTTAATGGAGAATTTTTAGCGCTACAAACGTCACCAATAGTATGTATATACTTTATAATGTATTACTATACATATGCACAAGGTCCTTAAGAGTGAGAGTGACACAAACGACAAATACAAGAGTCTCACACTGAATGTGCAAAAAATGGTAGGTTTCACATATGCAGCCTTTAATTTTAAACAAACATTTCCCACAAGCTGACTAATTTACATCTTTTTCCATAAGTCTATGCTGACTTTATCAGGATTCCTGTCTCTTATACACATCTAGATGTGTAATATCCTGAAAAATATATAAAGATATACTAAAAGATTAAATACTGTATATAAATTATCTATAATTCAAATTTGAAAATGCTCTCAAAATTAGCTTCAGCTTCTCAGTTTACGCCCTTTATTCCAAGTTGGATGGCCGAGCGGTTAGTGCAGGGGTGGCGCAACCTACAGCCAAAATATCGGCGCTGGTTCGAACGGCATGCTCTCCTATGGTTCTGGAACAAGTCTTCCAGTCAATGTGGCTTGTGTGCACTTAAAAGAACCCAGTACACCTTTCGAGAGTAGGGGGTTACCCCGGCGGTGTGCTGGTCCATATAGCCTCTGTTGTGGACAGACGAGAGTAGCTGGTACCGATTTACCGGGTAGCTCAAACATGAAGAGACACTTAGGGGAGAAGAAAGTTACTGCACAAGCTAGTCCACAGCGCTTTGGGACTCCAGTTTAAAGCGCTATATAAATTGAACTACATTAAACATTAGACTTCTGCCATTAACCCACCGAGTGTTTCTTTCAAACCTTTGCATATCACCAGTGGCAGATCCAGGAATTTGAGATAGATGGGGCCCTGGGAGGTCTTTCACAGATGGAGTGTTTAGACCACCTCAGCCCCACCATGGTTGAGGTAAGGCAAGACTTTTTTTATACCTTGTTTAGCCCGCCAATAAGGATGGTTTTGAAAAAAATAAAATTTTACTGTTGGTCAATTAGCGGACCTGTCTCCACGGAAAAAATGGAAATTTGAGGAAAAAATAAAAGCTTTTAGAAATTCTTATTACACCTGCCGTGAAATTCTCCAAAAATAAGATATATTTCTTCCTAATTATATAAATTTAAAGTATTTAACCATCTCATTACTACACCGTTTACATTTCCAATAAAATGTTTTTTTTATTTTCTACTCTATCTGGATGTTTTTGGCAAAACTATTTGCCAAATAAGAAAACAAAATTAAATTTTTACTTTCTTCCGCCTTCCCCTAGTCTGATGATCTTTGAAAACTATGTTTGCGAAACAAGGTATAAAAAAGTCTCGCCTAAAAAAATTATGATTATGGCACCTGTATAAGGACAGAAATGGAAATCTGACTTAAATTTGAATATAATTTCCTTCTTTTCTCCATTTTTTATGTCCTGTATGTAAGCACAAACAAATTTTACTTACAATATAATATGCACAAAAGAGAAAATAATTTTAAGTTTATATCAGAACATGTAATATCTACTATTTAGGCCAGGGGTCACAGGCGGGCATAAAAAAGAGAATTTTTGATTTAACACTGAGAGCTGTTTTAATATTACTTTTTACAGGCGGTTGGTGTTGGGCTATAAAAATAAAGAATTTCTAGCCAAAGATGGTAGGCAGGCCACATATAGGCCTATAGGGTTTATAATTTATTTTGCAAGCAACAACAAAATTGCTGTCATACTGCATGTGGCCGTGAGCTGCAGTGAATCTTATGAGCAAGGGAGTGCTTAACCGACATCATAAGATCATCTAGGTTTCAGGCTCAACATAGCTGTTTCAAAACACAATCAAAATCTAAGACAAGTAAAAAACCAGGAAGACCTCAGAAATTTTAATATCATTTTTAATACAATGAAAATCATGAACTTGTTTGATAAAACATTGCTCAAAAAATAAGACTTTGTATGAAGGACACTGTATCAAGTAAGAACAATACAAAACAAGTACAAAAAAAACAACAAAAAAACAAAAAAAAACACAATGGAACATATCAGTAATACATGATATTGTTTTAATAATTGTATGTAGGCTTCCAGGTAGTATAAAATATAAAATTACATAGCAAATAATGACAATCCTTATAGTTGTTCTGTGTATGGTACACTTTAATAGCCAAGCTCTACAAAACATAATTGGAAAGTTTTTCCCCGAAGTCTAAAGGTGTAAAGGTACCAATGTACTTCAAACTTTGAAGTGGTTTTAAAATAAGTGGTAGGTCACTCACTCTACATTATTTAAAATACTGTAATGTACTGCATCACATACACACATTTGACTTAGTCGAAACAATTAAACTGTATGTTTTTATGTCTTTCAAACACAACCAAGAAATGGAGACTTTATTTTTCTAAGTCCAGAAAAATAAAAGAAAGAGAGAAAAATTTGAAGAATAAAAACCCAACATAAACTTCAAAATTCCTATAAGTCTACATGTAATATGGAATGATATACTGATAAAAGTCACACTATAATCAACTTTAATATATCCAGCAAGTATTGAAGGTAAGAACAGTAAATAAACAGCTTTCAGACAAAAATAGAGTCAAATCTAAACATTAAAAGAAGTTAAAAATCAATATCTTCTGGTTAGAAAGTTGAAAACTCCATTTAAAAGTGAATAACAATTATTAAGCTACAAAATCTCCTATTTGAATTTTTCCTCAAGTGCTTTGTTGGTGTTTTAAAATTATTTATTTACAAATACCCTGATAATAAACAGTGGCAGAGCACACAGTATCAAGAGAAAATTAAAATATAAAAAGGATAAGGGGAGTTCATTGTAAGGTTTTGATATATTTTTGTAAGTACAGTAAAATAAACATAAATACTTTAAAAAAATAGGATGTGAAAGTTTCTTAGAATAAAAATGTTGATCTTACCTGGAGGAATGACTTTCATCCGACGAGTTGTCTCCTCCTTCCTGAATATTCTCTTCATCTTCAGAATCCATTGTTGGTTGAAACCAGTTCTTAAAACTTAGACCAAATAAACTTAATCTAACGTACAAGTAAATGCAGCAATTTCTGAAGGAGCACTAGGCCTATGAACTTCAAATTGGTCTCCTGATCTCCTAGGCCCTACATTACTTGAAAGGCCTAGGCTAAGCCAAGACCTGCACAAGTTGACTGGGCTATGATGTATTGCAATGTAATGGTGAAGGCCTAAGTTGAAGGCTGTACAAATGTGAATTCTAGTTGAGCCACCAGAAGTTTCAAAATAGCTAGGATTATCTAGAATATATTTACCTGCAATCAAAATATAAATAAATGTTATTGGCATTGCATGAAGGCCCGTATAGGCCTAGCTTTCACACTGATGCTAAGTTGATGGGCGGGTTGTAAGTGGGTGGCGATGTCAGAGCTCGGCCGGCGAAACCACACACAGAGCCTAACACACAATCATTATTTTAATCAATTTTCTGAGCATTCAGCTACAAGAAAACGATTTGTTTGAATTGATAGTAACAATTAATAGTTTAAAATGTGAATACACATCAAAATCTAAATTTCAGAGAAACGGTTAGAACAATATAAACATCTCTACTTTTGTAACTAAGGCAATTTATTAAAACATTTGTTGTGATTTTGTAAGCATCATGATTTGGACTTCAAAAATATTTTGCGTAGGAAGGATACGTGTGGCTCGGCATGGATCGGTATTAATTAATCGTGAAGACGATTTAAACCATTATTTCATGTTAACTTACATAATTCATTAATACATTATGCTAAAATAAATTCAAAATGCACATTATAAAAAGGTAAAAATGGTTACGCGTGCTATATTTATATTTTGTTCGAGATCAACCCAAACAAAAATGGAGGAAGGCTCGTCATCGCTTCGTAAATTTCCAAACCCGCTTCCGAAAACATGCAATTATACAACAATTTTCACAAAATTTCTATTAATTACTATCACAATCTATTCTAAAGAGGTCAAAGACATAAAAAAGGAAAGACAGTACAATGCTAAAGGGACTCACATCTGTAACACAGAGATGAAAACCCACAACCAGAATTCGCTTTTTTACTCGATGGCTACCGCCATTCATCTGCGAAATTCACGAAATAATATTGCATTGTGGGATAGTTTAGGTTGTTCAAATAGATGAGTATTGATAAAGGTTAAATTCAGCCAGCTTGTTTTCGTGGTGTAGCGGTTATCACGTGTGCTTCACACGCACAAGGTCCCCGGTTCGATCCCGGGCGAAAACAGATTATTTTTTTTTCAAATTATGTTTTATATTGAACGTTTAGTTATGCTTTCCGTCATCATCATTCCACGGTACGTATACAATGTAATTGTTTCAAATCAAAATTTAGAGAAAATCTCAGTGACAGTTTCTATAAAGCTACTGTAAATGTTTTCATTTCTCTCACTCTTAGTTAGATGAGCAATAATTGTAATTATTCGTCCTACGTGCAACAATTTGTATAAAAGTACGATATTGTTCTTTATCCCTCCAGCTGAAACATGAGAGCAGCGGCAGCAGCGGATGGACATGAACCAGGGACGAAATTGTTGATGTTATTTGTTTAATTGATGACTTTGTAGTTTTTTTTCTTCGTAGGTACTGCAATGGCTTTGAATGGCAATTTATTTGAGAAATAATTGATGTACCTTTTTTCTGTATTTAATAACAATAATGATGACAATTCAAATAAAAATGTTGTATTAATAATTATTTTAATGATATAATATGATATTAATTGACAATTGTAATAATTTTTTTCTTTAATTAGGCCTAAACTCTCTTTTAAAAAAAATTTTCCCTTAATTTTTAACCATTTTTTAAATCTGGAACTTCTTTTGTAATTTGTTTAATTGATGACCTCGTAATTGTGCAAATTATTTAAGCACTGTAACTACCTACCTTTTGAAATCCAATATATAATTTTTATCTTCCTTCTTAACGAACGATTATTATTCTTACTATTTTTTATAGTGTTTTAATAGTAATTTAATAATATTGTTATATACTATGTATCTTAATAATTGAATGTTTGGAGCTTTATGTGTTTTTTTGGATAAATAAAATCCATGAATGAATGGACCAGTGGAGCACCAGGAAGGCAAGCTGTAACTTTACTCATGATAAAGTATCTGGTTCTGGTAGGTAAAGATAAACTCATAAGGACTCCATAAGTGTAGGAGTAAAACAGGATCAGGGGTAGATCAAGTGTCAGTTTATTTTGTTTTACAGTATACACACTTACTTTGCCTAACTCAAATGATTTCTAAGTCGATCTTATTTTACATGCCAAATTGTTGTATTTTCCATTAACGATCTGCAAGTTGAAGAATTTTTCAATGCTATCTTGGATTCGACTTAGGCAAGTTCAAATGTATACTCCTGTGAAAATGTAGTCCATATTGGCAGTGGTGAGGTTGTAATTTGGGGTGCTGGTAGTGCCCTGGTATGGGGATGCAATGTTCCTTTGGTTTATACCCATCTCCTCAACATTATTCAAGAACTATTCCAAGGTTCCATGATGCAATATAGCTCTTTCAATATTGGTTTATTGAAAATCAAAACTGACTCATCATCAACATTTTTATTTATTGAAATCAATCATCAAGCAACATATATGTTATGTACTGTACAAAATGGGTGAAACTACAGTTGTGTGAAATACTTCACAAATTTGTTTTGTAAACAAAAGCATAGCAAATTAAATACTAGCATACAGTACGTACTGGTGGTTTTTAAGAATATCATTTTTTTATGATCAAATAACTTCATTTAGCAGTATTATAAGGTTACTTAAGAGTGAGCCCTCTGTAGTGTACACTTACCGAGTAAGGACACATGAACCTGATACAGATATCAGATGATGATTATTCTTTGTCAACACTTGGCAAAATGGTTTAACTTATCATAAGCTTTATGCTGTCTACAACTTATTACATATATACCCTTATGTTTTTTTCCTTAGGAATGAAAGTCGATATTATATCATTTTACCTTGTAGTTTAAACTTCCAAACCATCCACCAGGGACTGGAAGTTTAATGACAATTTTTTATGACAAATCAAGAAGGAATTAGTTTAGATAATTCCTCCATGGACAAATACACACACATTCTAAATCTTATATTTTTTTTCGAACATTTTATACATTTCTAGATGTAGAAGAAATATAGTTATATTATATACAATAAAAATGTTGTATCATTCATAGAAAGCAGCCCAATAAAAAAAAATTAAATTTCTGAAACTACCAAAAACTGACAGTTTCTGGGAGTAACTTACCAACTCATCAATCTCATCATCATTCTTCGATATTGTTTAAAAAAATATTTCATTGTAACATTACATAAAATATACTCTCCTTATATTATATTATATCTTTGTTTTCTATGAGAATAAAATTTGTATCCTGTAGTACAGTACCATCAGACATAGAGCTTCTGAAAACTTCATGGATCAACTGAACTAGGAATTGTTTTAAATGAATTCTGTTGATGAAAAAGAAAAGACATAGGACCCCTGGAGTAGAGGGTCTCACACAGTTGGGCTAAAAAAGAAACAACAAAATAGATCACGAAAAATTCTAAGGGTTACAGCTTTGCATAGGAACCATAGATAAAAACGGGAAAATTTGGGAAACACACCATTCTAGCTGATAAATATTATATTCGGCAACCCTAGCTGGCTACCTGCCTATGAATTGTCTGAAGCAGATTCATCATCTCTGAACTCTAATGTATACGTTACCAGATGCCCTTTGTCCAGCGCATACAGTTTTCGGTCTTGGATGTTATACGTTAGCATAGTTAATTTACCATATTCAATGTTGAATTTTATATCAACATTGGGTATTTCTTTCCCGCTGTACAAATCAAATCCATAGTTGAAAGTTGTGGCACCTTTTGTGTAGCTTTTGATGGTATAAAGAACACCGCATACGATAATAGCCTCAGCTGCCAATTGCTTCTCGTGACCCGTTGTTATTGTTTTGATGATGCTTAAATCTTGACTGTCCAGCTTACTCACCATTATGTTTCCATTACTTTGTGGACTAGAATAAATAACCCACAATCCATTTTCATCCACTTCAAAGTCCAAAAACGTGTACCCACTCTTGTATGCATACTTACTGTTACGGTATGCGACAGAAGGAATATCCACCCTAGCAACAATAGTTTGAGATTTTAGGTCGTATCGGATGACTTGTCGCAGTCCACGATGATAATAGAATGAGCCATTGTACACAACATGGCCCATACCATCCCAGTAAAACGGAAGTGTATAAACAGCTGAGGTATTACCATCTTTGAATGCTGCCATAGAGTTGTATTCTATCAAAATGAAACAAAAATAAAATCAGTCAAAATCAAAGTATACCCGTAACCAAAGAAAGTTATAAAATATAACATAAAGTAATAATAATAATAATCAATATTAATATAGCGCCTAATGTTAACAACATTATAATAAAAAATAAAACAAAATTAAATGAGCAGCGACGCAAGAGATGGTGACATTCAAGTGGTCTCACCCAACGATATCAAAGTAACATTGCTGTCTCAATGAGCAATTTACACATAGGTAATCCATAAAAGGCAATATGCTGGGCTCCAGCACTTTCCACTACAGGATAGGCCTGTGGCTCCACTACCGTGCAGGCCTAAAAAAACTTGTTTTGTTTGCCGTCATCCGCCGCCTCTAAAATCTGAACAATGATGGGCGGGTTTTTTTTTTTCTCTTAAAAGTTTAAAAAAAAAAAAAAATTTTTTTTTTATTCCCCCCCCCCCCCCGACACTAATTTGATTTTACATGACCGCTGGTTCCATAGCACACCCACTACGACCGTTTCACGATTGGTTAATTCTAAACTTTTTTTATCCTCGTGGTTGGTACTACTACCACCAAGGTGATACAATGTCGGTTGTTGCGATTTGTACCTTTTTAAACACATTTAATATAAGTAAATGAAGCTCAGTTGAGCTTGACCTGATACATATTGCAGTAGTTTATTTTAATTGCGTGTCTTACTCCAATTAAAGATCCCTTTTCCAATCCCAAACCACAAACCAGAGCCTTGCAGGCGTCAACGTTCCTATGCATGATACATGACTTTATCAGAAAATATAAAGTTGGGTCAAATTTGTTTGGTGGTTTAACTTGAACAATTCAGGGGGAGTGAGTTTTTATGGTCTAAAATAGTGATTTTCGACCACATTGGTTATGTTATTTGATAGGCAAATTACAGTTAGTAGAATCATCAACAACAAAAATTTTTTTTTTTTTTAAATTTTGTAGTCCTACAGTATTTTCATTTTGTATTTGGAATGATATCGGGATGGGGGAGCTGGCATGGCCTACTAGACAACCATATGTTTAACCACCTTAACAGGCGTCAACGTTCCTATGCAGAATAATAGCGCTTATTCGAGAGAGGTCTTATTCAAATGGGACGCCTATTCACGCGAGTACGGTACAATACAGTATTATAATAAAAGTTGAAAAACTGCCATATTCTTAGTACAGTAGTATGAAATATTTTCATGAAGCTACAGCTTGGTGGTCAAGATGCTTTTCTTTCAAATGGTACAGAAATACTTTGAAATTATTTATTGAGATATACTAAACTGCAGCTTTTATATTACTGAATAAAACCATATCCGTAATCATTTGTATCGTAAACAAATAACATCATATATTATCCATATTATTGACACTATCACTGAAATCGTACCTTCTAATACATTTTCCAGGAACCCTTCTGCAAACCATAGTTTATCATCACTTCCTACAGGATCCTTCATCCATGCAGAATGATAAACACCTTGTTTAGCTTCCTTGCGGAATCCTTTTACAGCAACTAATTCGCAATCTATTCAAAAGATATTTAAAAATAATGTAGATTTATGGTTAAAATTGCCATATTGAAACATATACTTTAATTATCTGAATTTAATAAATACAAACTTTTGTCAGTGATAGAACTAATATTTTGGTGGATACAGTTCTCGGCTTAAAAATTGGCGATTACAGGTTCAATCCCTTCATAGCTCTGATGGTAGTAGCCAATGTGTGGGTATTGAACCTTGTAGATCCTTTAAAACAGGCGAGTTGAATTGATGTGGAATGATCAGTTAAATCAATTAATTTATTTAAATTTTACCTCCTCCAGGACTTCTTTCAAAAGGTGGTTCTTTGTCCTCTTCTAAATAATGTGTTTCTGACACACTTTCAACTTCTTCATTTTCTTATAAAATTAGGAAAAAAAAACAGGTGTTATAGTATCAAACATTTCTCTTTGACTACAAGAACTGAGGTGAGACTATTTTATACATTGTTTCGCAAACTTTTTTTTTTGTAAAAACATCAGAGGGGGGGGGGGGGGGGGAGGTGTTGCAGGGGAAAATGTTCTTATTTAGCAAATGGTTTTGCCAAAAACATTCAGATGGAGGATAAAATAAAAATAAAATTGCAACTATAATTCAATAATATAGAACCCCGGTTTTTAATTAATTTCTTTGGTGGGCCAAATAATTTTTAGAGATGATCTAGCGGGCCAAATGGAATCTGCGCCTATCTGAGGCAATATAAGTGACATTTAGTTAGGCTTTTGCATAACAAATATTAGTTCTATTATATGATGACACAGATTTTGAAGTTTAAAGTGCAATATTTTGAACAAAATAAAGCATTGTACATCTTATAATCATAGCAAACACATTTTATTGAAAGTCCAACACAAATAAAACATTCTGTTTTAATGGGAACTGTCAATAACAGTCCATAACAATACAAAAATAAGGCTAAAACAGAAATACTAAATGATTATCTATGTTTTTCGAAACAATCAATATCAGTGACTTAAATGACAAACGGAGGCCTTAGCAATTGCAGTAAAATCCGGTGTCAGGGCTGTTGCCAAAGATATAAGCATCAAGTCCCCAAGATACGCATTAATAAGTTGACTTCTATATCTGCGACTTCTATAAGATGGTGATGGCTAGCTTCTTCCACACAGGCCTTGCATTAATAGAAACGTCCAAGCACCAATATTCTATCGTCGCCATTGGATACAGAGTTATTAACGCTTACCGCTACTTCAAAGCAAGAACAGGACCAAAGAAAAACAGTGTCTAGCAATTAATTTATCTTCTGCGCTTTTAACACGCTCACTGCCTTCAAACCCTCCCCGGGGAACATAGCTCAGGGTTTCCATTTTGTTCTTCACTTTATTTCAAAAATATTCATCAAATTATTATTAATTTTTTTATTTTAACGATTAAAAAAAAATATATAATTTTTTTTGCATGGGCCAGACTAAGAACCGGGGATATAGAAATATTAAAAATTGTTAAACCTTGCAAACTGCATCCACATAAAAATATTTATTCTCAATTGCTAAAGATGCAAATTACTAAATAATCTGTTAGTCATCTTACCATCCACCGGTTCACCTGGTGAGCTTCGATCGCCTGGCATAACACCTTGAAATTAAAATAAGTGACAAAATGTGAATTTATTTAACTTTAATTTTGTTATTGGGGATGGCGGTTTGGTGCATCCGTTTTTTTATCCTGTATTTGGTAGTCAGCTTTTCGAACCACACTCTGACCTCTGACCATCCTCAACCAGCCATGCCTAGCTTGCATTGTTGGTGGCCTGTTGTGCTACATTTAACCATAGTTAACACCTCATTTTTATTCAAGAAATTTTTTCAATGTCTACCATGGTCAGTACTACACCAGCAGACATTCCGTAAGTCTTAGGTAAATTCCTAGGCAGAGCTAAACAGTGCAGATTATGCTACTTTCTCATACCCTTGAAAATGACAGCAACCAACTGTCTATTATTATATGATGAGTGGAATATTGTACAAACTAAAATAAGGTTGATGTTGTATTTTATTAGACTTTACCCGAAGCTCCTTTCTCCCCCTTTTCGCCTTGCAGACCATTCTGACCCGGTACTCCAATATTTCCTTTAGAACCTTTAGAAATAAAAAATCATAAAATAAACTTTCGAAACCATAATACTGAAAAAAAATACTGAAAAAAAAAACTTATCAATGTTTTGGTAACATATAGGCTATGCATAATCAATAAAAATGTTGATAATATTGTTGAAATTTTATCAATTTTAATTTGTATATAATAATGACAATAATTATGATAATAATAATAACACAATAAAAATGAGACAACCAACCAGTGGTTCTACTATGATTAGGCTATGCATAATCAATAAAAATGTTGATAATATTGTTGAAATTTTATCAATTTTAATTTGTATATAATAATGATAATAATAATAATAATAACACAATAAAAATGAGACAACCAACCAGTGGTTTTACCTTAAAAAAAACCCCCAGATTTTTACACATAGTTTGCCAAAAGTTTTATGATTTTGTTATTAATACTTATCATGCAAACCTTCAAGAAAGAATAATAATAGTAATAATAATAGGAGCACACAGTAGAGAGCATATCTCCACCCACCGCCAATCTCTTTCTATAAAAAATTCCAACCACCAACTACAATCTACTTTTAAAAAATTGCACTAACACGAAAGTCTCACTTCGATGAGTTGTTTACTTTTTGAGATATCTGATCTGTGACGTTTTGCTTTGAATGGTAATCAGACCTGTAACCAGCCTTGGTAATGGGAGTGGGTGGGGGGTGGTGATCTTTTTCAATCTATGAGTGGATTTTTTGGGGGCTAAGTGTTCTCTCAAAAAATGTTGAAAACCATTCCAAATGTTCTGGTGTTTTTGAGCTGCTTTCTAATGAATTTATACAATTTTTGTGAATTAAAACTGAATCAATTTGATATGTGCAAATATTGAAGAAACTGCAGTAGGCTATACCATGCAATATTGTTAACAGATCATATCATATACATCATCATCTTCGTTTACTGTGCAGAACGTCTTTTGAGTACAGTCGCACATAAAAACTACAGTGCATGTCATAGGCTTATAAGGCCAAGGCACAATGGCATTGACAAGTGCATGAATCGCACAAAGTTGTGTTTTGTGTTGGTCTAGTAGAGCAGAACTCCCTATTCTGTGCGGGGGATCGTCCGATCCCCAATCCCCCTGATAAATTATACCAAAATATAATCACTTCACTTTTCAAACACCTTTTATTGTATCAATTGTACACCTGCCAATTCCTAACATGTGCTGGCCTAAATGCAATGGTAAACTTTCCTCTTATACTGTAGCTGACAAACAAAATACATCGGTGTTGAAATGGAAATATTATGGAAATGTAAATATGGGGATTTGGTTTTTAGCGTCACATGTTTAAATGTAAAGATGAATTAAAAATATTCCCAATAAGTTCCGAAAAAAGTGAAGTTAGTACATATAAAACACTGTACACATTTCTTATAACTTTACTAATCCAAATATTCATCATTAGTTATTGTTTCTGCCACGTTAAAACCGTAAACTAATTCTTTAAATGGTCCTCATATCCACACCCTACTTTTTATTAAAACATGACAAACTGTTCTGCCAATTGTCATTTTAATCCATTGATCCATATTGATATTTAGGTCTGGGACCTTTTGGCCCTGAAATGCACACCCGAATTTGAATCGTCATCAACACTCCATAATTCCTTCCTTGTACCTTGGTTAAGCTTTCATGAAAGTTTCATTCATATCAGTTGATTAGTTTTTCAAATATCTGGTCTGGGACGTTTTTCTTTAAATGGTCCTTATATCCACACCCTACTCCGGATGGTCACCAAAATTTAATCACCTCATCCTTGGATCATACCTAACAATCCTTATAACTGGCATTTAAATCTGTGCAACCGTTTTTGAGATATTTTGAAAACAAGAAACATGCAGGACCTTAAAAATTACACACACACACAAACGAAAATATATGTTTCCTGGCGGAGATAATAACACTTCAGGAAAACATTTTTTAGCTATAATATTCCGGTAAAAATCACCCAAATATGGGCATGATGGTGTCACCACAGATCTTTAAAACTATAAAATTGTGATGGAAATAGAGTAGATTGATATTACAAATTATCAAATATGAAATATTATTAATGTTATATTGAACATAGTATTGCAATGATTCAATCTTACCTTTGGCACCTTTTACACCTGGTGGACCAGGTTCGCCTGAACCCTTATCTCCTTTGGTGCCTCGTCTACCTGGTTAAAAAATATAATTTTATATATTTTATGTCCGACGATGATGGACGTGCTAGGGAGGATCATGGGGGAAGATATTATAAGCTCTGTCCAGACTTTCAAATTTTCTTTGACAAAAAAATGTTGTATGCCCATATATAGTCATGATGTGCCTATATATGGTGATGATGTGATGTCATTATGACCATATTTAGGCATGTCACATGTTTTTGTTCAAATAAAATTTGATAGTCTGGACAAGGTTTTAGACTTAATGTGAATCCCAAAGATTAAAGTTGTGTTTGATTCCTGCCTTTTGTCTACACTTTAATTTATGCTCCTTTCACACTATCAACAAATATCTGCGATTTGACCACATGCGAACATGATGACATCATATCAAACCTGAATATTCATACTTCACAGGTTTTTGCCACAAACCCGGGCATTCACTACACCTGACGGTCATTAGACGACGTAATTGAAGAATGGGATGGTACAACACGTGTGCAACGAATCATTTTTAATTACGATTCACTCAGACTCCCACCGACTATCAGCTGATGGTGTTGCATCGTCTAACAAGTACATTGAACAGAGTTTGATTTGTCGACTATCATACGACTGTTGTATGACCATTGTACGATGTAGTAAGGGCCGCGGCTTCTAACGTTATAGTCTGGAAAAGAGCTTCCGGTGAACCAGCCCATTTTCATCTTGCGAAAGTAATATAAGGTTGATGTTGTATTTTATGAAACTTTACCTGAGATTCCTCTCTCCCCTTTTTCTCCTTTCGGACCATTTGAACCTGGTAATCCCTCACTTCCATTATAACCTTTAGATATAAAGAAATCATAAAATAAATTTTCAAAACCTAGGCCTAATGATATTGGAAAAAAAAACATTAATGTTTTGGTAACATATATACGCTATGGATACTATAATCAATAAAAAAAAAGTTGATAATATTGTTAAAGTTTTATCAATTTTAATTTGTTTATAATAACGATAATAATACTAACAATAATAATAATAATAATAATAATAATAATAATAATAATAATAATAATAAGACAACCAACCAGTGGTTTTACCTACAAAACCCCAATATTTTTAGACATGTGTACCAAAAGTTTTATGATTTTGTTATTGATACTCACCATGCAAACCTTCAAGAAAGAATAATAATACTTGGGGAAAACATTCTTTCGCTATAATATTCAGGTCAAAATTACTCATATATGGGCATGAAATGGTGTCACCACAGAGCTTTAAAATAACTATAAAATTGTGATGGAAATAGAGTAGATTGATATTACAAATTATCAAATATGAAATATTATTAATGTTATATTGAACATAGTAGATTGCAATGATTCAATCTTACCTTTGGCACCTTTTACACCTGGTGGACCACGTTCACCTGAACCCTTATCTCCTTTGGTGCCTCGTCTACCTGGTTAAAAAATATAGGATAGGAGAGGATAAGCTCTGTCCAGACTTTCAAATTTTCTTTGGCAAAAAAAAGTTGTATGCCCATATATAGTCATGATGTGCCTATATATGATTATGAATGTGATGTCATCATGACCATATTTAGGCATGTCACATGTTTTTGTTCAAATAAAATTTGATAGTCTGGACAAAGGCTTTAAACTTCAATGCGAATCCCAAAGATTAAAGTTGGGTTTGATTCCTGCCTTTTGGTTATACATTAATTTACGCTCCTTCCTATCTATCAACAAATATCTGCGATTTGACCACATGCGAACATGATTAATGCCAAAAACAAAATCTCTAACCAAACATCAGATCATTTAAGTAAGATATTGATATATGCTAAAATTGGCAAAAAACTCTGGAACTTCTAGGGGGTGTAGCACACTAGAGCACATAATTGGGAAGAAAACATTCCAAACCCTTCACACAGTATTGCCGCCCCCAATCTTCATTCCCTTTGGCAGATAAGCATCCCTGGATCTCTTCCTATTTCCGTGGGCACCTAATCTGGTGGTAGCCACTTGTGTGTGCGCTAAACCGTGGAGATCTCTAGGTTCCCGGTTCAATTCCCATCGCTGCCTCTCCTTGTGTTTGAGCTAGAGGGCTGGAATACAAGTTACAATAGCGCACCGTCTTTCGGATGAGACGTTTAAGCCGTTGGTCCCGTGTGCATTTATGGCCCATGTGCACGCAGTACACTCTTCGGAAAGAGTAGGGGATTGTCTGCCGGTGTACTGTTCAGTCACCACCAGAAGGACCCCACTGGAAATAAGTCTTCTTCTAGATTTTAGTGGGCTATCCTTGGTGTTTACACCGAATAAATCCTTTCCATTCCATTCCAACCAAATTTATTCAGCATCACATAAAAACAATTACAAGACACACACACACACATATATATAATGCTAAAAACATGGACAAAAAACATCTAATCGAGTAGCCAGTAGAAATTTTACTTTCACAATCAAAATTTTTCTCACCTTTGTCTCCCTTAAATCCTTTAGATCCCGGAGGCCCTACTGGTCCTGGTGGCCCTGGAGGTCCTTGTTGTTTACTAATATTTTGAGCAAGTTCTGTCAATTCAGCAACGTGTCCAAGAAGTCTCCGCTCAGCCTCCAAAAGGTAGACGTTCATTTTCTGCTGTAGTTGATATGAAATATTTTGTAGCTGTTCCAAGTGCAATTCTTTTAATTGGCTGCCAGCATGTGACTCAAAGTATTCAGAAACTACTTCTGTCTGTGTTTCGTAAAAAACTTCAGTGTCCAGAGAATCTACATTCAGACTTTTTTGTTCAGCAATTTCATCAATTATTTGTTCTAAACGCCGATCAAATATCTGTGTGAAATTTCTGATCTGAAAGAAAACCTCACCTGTAAGGGTAAAAAAAAAAAAATTGTAACAAAATTTACTTTTCTATCAGTTTGAACCACAGAATTTTGCCAAATACATGTATATCACAAAAGCCTATATCACAAGCTATATTATAGTCTGTCAAAAAATACATAATTTATTCAACATTGAATTGTCATTCTTGTCATCTTTCTCAGAAATGGAAATGACAGCTGTAAGACATGTTGGACAGGTTTTTTTGCAATTAATTTCCAACATTATAATGAATACGTAATGTATCAGGGTCTATAATGCTAGTACAAATTAACCTTTACAAAGTTCTCATTCGATTTCATTACCACCTCCTGTGCAATACTTACTTGAGCTACATTGGCAACTGCCAGTTTCACCAGTTGGCCCAATGGGACCTGGTTGTCCAGCTGGCCCAGTGGGGCCAGGTTGTCCATCTGGTCCAATTGAACCTGTTTCACCTTTTTGTCCACGTTTTCCTTTATGACCCTTTTCTCCCTTTTCACCTGAAAAAAATCATCAAAATTTCCTAAAATATTCATCTCTCTTTATACTGTATATTTATATTTATTTATTTTACATTTTTACTGGGTAACCTGTTCAGTATCAAACTACTGTTCTCCCACAAGCCCCAGTTATGCTTTATAGCATAAGTTTCGTTGTAATTCAAAATTTTATTAAAAAATAACTTTTTATAAATACTAACTATAAATATAATATTTAAATTCACTGTATACTACCACTTTTACCATTAAACACAGGTCATGCGATCTCAGTTTAGGATTTAACTCAGTGGGAAAAAATGCAGAGAATGAGATAGTGTTTATTTTGCTAAAGTCAATAAGGTAGTCAAGTGTTGTGAATTGTCAAGCCCTCTATATTGCAAAGTTCAACAATCACCAGATTGACAAGCACTGTTGAAAATTAAACTCTTATTGTACTTGGTTTTGTTTCTTTCAGTTTGTTTGTGTTTGCTGTAAGCAATGTAATGATTTATCAGTTAGTACCTTGAGCTTGCTTCTGCAAGGGTTTGTTGAGAGTAATATAAATTCCTTATCATTATTATTACAAACTTTAATCGTAATCATTGTTTTTATTATACCGTATTGTTATTTATTTATTTATTCAATCTATACTGTTAAATTTGTCCAATCCAAAACACAAACAGGAAGTAAACAAAAAATATAATTTAATGATAATAATCATAATAATACTTTTATATAACTTAAAATTAAAAATATATTACAATACAGCCTTATTTTTGGAATCTCTAGAAGAACCACAGTTTTGGTTTTTGTCATTTCTATTTAATCCTTCTGCATTTGATTTGTACAATGAATTACATTAGTAATTTAAATGTTTATGATTACAAAAGTTCCAAGTCATAACAGAATATAATATCTTAATCATTATTATTTTCCTTATATTACACTTCATAAGAATTGTAGACATTGTCTATTTAAATCTTTTTCTTACTGTACTACTATGTGCCAAGATTGGTTGATCTTACAATAATTATAAATAATGTAAAAGTAGAATAAATGATGATACTTCTTGCAAAACATACATGAAACAACATCGTATGACTTACAATGTGAGCCAAGAAATAGATTGCTGTAATTAAAACTTGGCCCCCTTTCTTAACTACATAAATTTATCCCCACCCCCACCCCAAATAATACAATTCAATAAATAATTAATAATTATTAATAAAATAAATAAAACAATGCTTTATTCTAAAGAATTGGATAGAAAGACATTTCTCGAAGTGATCTCTAACTCAATAGGTAAAGAATTCCATACTTTTGCAGCAACTAAAAAGTAATTCTAAATTGGCCTAAATTAGTTCTGGGTATGCATAAATTAAAATCATCATTAAATCTTGTTCTATAATTATGTCTAGTGTTCTGAAAATATACTATGTGGTAATCTACAGTTAAATAAATCGGAAATAAAATTTAAAATAAATAATTTATAGAGCTTAAATACATCCAAAATGAAACTAGAAAAAATGATGCACCTGGCACACATTTTTTTAGTACATAATAATGGTTTCATTCAAATAAGATTGATAAGTACTGCCCTATACCTTAAAGCCATAAATCAAATTAGGTTTAGTAAAGGAGTTTTAAAGCATAGCCAATGTCTCCTTGGAGCAGCTGTCTTTTTAAATTTTATTGTTTAATTCATAAATATGTTCTTAAAATCAAAAAATTTTATCAAGTTTTAACGCCAATGAAAGAGACAGAATTACATTCAGAAATTAAAGTTGTGTTAAACTGATGCAGTGATAACTTTGGTTTTTGATTAAAAAATTTTATAATTTGTTTTAATATTGGCATTTATTGTAAATTTGTTTGCGCGGCACTATTCAGTTACTTTTGGAAATGAAAATTGACAAAATTGACAATAAAAAGACTAAACTGGCTAGTCATCTATTCCAATTACCAGAAGACATGCCAGCAAGAATTGCACTAAAAGAACACTTAAGGAAATAAAGGACAACCAAAATACACATGGATTAAAACAAATAGCAACGACCTGAAACCCATAAACAAAACTATTGACATGCATGAAGATTATAATAAGAAACACGGGCATCTCACCATTGCAAATATAATGGCTTGAAGAAGCCGAATCGGCCGAGAGAGAGGATGAGAGGAGATGGTGAAATAAGGTACCATAACAAAGAAATTGAAAGAAGAAATTTTACAAAGAAAATATTTATGAAATAAAAAGTTTGACTGTAAACCTTTAAACCCAATTGGACCTGGGAACCCGGGTTGTCCTTTTGAAATCACCAGAAGCCTATTGGAAACTAAAACAAATGAAAGAACAACAATAATAAGTTTAAATTGCAAGTAAAATGAACAGACTTATAGTTAATTTAAAAGTAATAATTCTACATTTAATCAAAATAAATATCATTTTAATTATTTTCTTTGCCTTTGATTAGTCATTATTAAGATTTAAAGTAAGTTTCACATACATTGTGAAGACACAGGATATTCTTTCTTTTCTTCTCCTTGTTTTGATACTGGAAGCCCTGAAAAACAGATCAATATGAAAGAAAGAAAAATCATTACAATAAAATAAAATAAAATAAAATATACATACATTGTGTAGATCAAAAAATATGTACCTGCGGTAACAGAAAGTGATGATTCTGGGTCATCAGCATCCATCCTTTCCGGCAACAACCCTGCCAAATAAAAAGAATAGAGCAATAAAAGGCCACTACACACACACACACATACCACCAGGTGAAGCAAAAAAATGTGGGCTGCTGCAGAAATCTTCCAGACGCTCTACCAACCCAGCTCTTCAACCTTGCTGGCAATAAGACATTGTTCAGAATTTCTATTATTCAGAGGACAACAACTACCATTCCAACTAAGGTGGTTTAGCTCATATGGTAAATGGTCAGAAGTATAGAGATACTCCAATAATCACTGGTTTGATTACTGCAGTCTATTATATTTCCCACACATAACAATAATTAAAATTCCTGTACATGGTACATCACTACGAACTTACGTGTAGTATGTTCTGTTACTTCTTTGATTCTAGATATCACTATTGGTTCCGGTTGTCCAGTTGGAGCACCACTGTCTCCATCTTTCTCCAACAGACTCAATTCAGATGGAACTATTTTGGAAATTACTGTCATGCCAACAACTGGTGTAGCAGATGAACTCACAGTGCTAGTTGTGAATCGAAGTGGTGACGTGGCATCAGATTTTTCAGATGATTGGAAATCATTTTGGGTTAAACTGGGTCTAGAGGTTTGTTGGCCAATATTTTCTGACACACTAGTGCGGTTTTTGTCTGTCGTCTGTTTCAATGCTGGAACATTTTTTTTGGATTCTTCTTGTAGTTCGAAAGTGGTAGTATTAGTTGATCTAATTTTACTTGCTCCTGACACACTTGTATAATTTTTGACCGGATGCAATGGAGCATTTGTAGTATCCAAGATTTGCCCGTCTAGACCATCTACATTTGAAACATCTGTTTCTGAAAATGTATTAACAGTTTGAGTTATTTCCTCAGTGGCTATATCAGTCACATAAAAACCAGTAATATCTGGTAAAAGAGTGGTACCACTAGGACTTTGTATTTGTTGATTATTGTCAGCAGATTTTTTGCTGATCAATGTATTTATTGTTGGAGTTGTGCTGGACAATTCATCACTGTCATTTTTTGCTCCAACTTGGACACCTTCCTCTGGTGATTGAAGGGTTGAGCACACACATTGGCAATCTGCAGTGGTTTGATTTACACATGTTGTTCCATTAACACCAGGGAGACCAGGTGGTCCCACTGCACCATTTCTGCCAGGATGACCAGGTCTTCCACGTCTTCCTTGTTCACCATGAGGGCCTCGCTCTCCTTTTGGACCTTTCTTATCTGTTCAAAGACGTCAAAAAACAGTTATTATTATTTCTCTTGAATGTTGTCCAATATCAATATACTTCGTTTTTTTGTAGATAATTTGACATTACCTTAATTTGAAAAGAGAAATCAAAAGTATATATCTATACTAATTACTACAAATTGTTTTTTAAATATTTAAAATTATTCCTACCTTTACAAACCATCTGTGTTGAATTGCATATCTGAACCATTGATGATACCTTGAAAATAAAAAAAAATGTGTGCAAGTAACATGACCGTGACTGTATGCAAGCTGTAAACAGAACACATTGTTTATTAAGTAGGATCAAATACACATTATATGATGATATCAAGGAGTGAATTACAGTCCCACTTATTATGATGATGGTCTACTGGAGCTGTAACATCATTTTCATCATGATTGAATTACATTCTTTGAAACAGGGAATTTAAACTTGACCATGTCTGACTTTATTTGTTTTTACACAACTGTAAAAATACCTTACTTGTAATAATAAGAACAATGCTTCTATATGCATTATTAATTGTTACTCTCTAGGTCAGGGGTGGGCATAAAAATCGGTAGGAGGGCCAAAGTGAATTTTTTATTTAACACCGAGGGCTGCACCCAAAATTTGTTGTTTCCAGTGTGCTTCCAAAACCCCCCCCCCACCTTGCGCAAATCCTGGCGCCACCCCTGAACCAAAACAAAACAAGGTAAAAAATTAAATTAAAGCAAACCCACACGATTTACGTCCATATCGTTCAACTTCTTTTTCTAACTTTTACACCAAAGAGTTTACTGGGTGCAAAGTAAAATATGAACTATACTCAATTGCACACATTAAACAAATAAAAAAATATTATATAAGAGCTGAGATATTTATCTGTCATTTGATTAAAAACGCTAAAAAAAAATACAGGTTATATCTACTATATAGACACCGGACCAATTTTGGCTTATGACTACATTTGGCAGGTAATTTTAAAGCTAACAGTCCAGCCGACCAATTTTGGACCTGCACCAAATTTTTTCTGACAGACTTATGTTGATTGAAATATTGCCCTGGTTCCACATTTATAACCAGTTCACTGTTCACTACCATTGACCTTCAGTAGAACTCTAGTCTAATTTGGAACTACACAGGCCTCTTTGCCAGGTGATAGGGCTTAGAGTAGAAATTTCATGGGCAATTAATTGCATTTGTTGATGTATATGACTGGACCCTTGGGATCTGCACCTGAAACCTAGCTTGGATCTTTAGCCTTCCAGTTGAACAACTCAGTTTTGTTACAAATGACTGACTGGCAGTGCTAGTGCTTGACTAATATTGTTCACACTGAAGTTTCCCTTTTATGAAGGTTCATTTACTTTTATATGGTATTTACATGGAGTTCAGTGATTACTTGATGAGGCAGTAAAATAAACTTTAATAAGTCTATTTCTCACAATTCGTATGTGCTCACTTTACTAAATGAGAGAGAAATAATGTATGTAAACATTTTATTGACTAATAATATTCTGTTTATCAGTATAAATGTGAATGCCTATGTCAAGCATTCTCATGAACTAATTATTTTAAGATTTGATAACCTAGAAAACATTTGTATATCTTTTCATATTCTTTGTATTTACTTGCAAAACAGCCTTGTGAAAAACACCATTTTGGTGATACAAGTTTTTTTTTTCAACTGTAAAATAAAGTTATTATTCCTTTTTGTAGTTTCTTGTGGCTTAAAAGCGCCTTGAGACCAGCGGCATATATAGAAGTTTTGAAATAGGGGTGCTGATGTTGAAGGCAAAGTGAGGGGCTTGATGTGATCAGTTGAGAAGGTGATTTCTAACATCTTGACCATGATTTTTAGGGGCACAAATAATTTTTGAAAGGGAGTGCGCCCCCACGCACCCCCTATACGCCACTGCTTGAGATGGTTTTATTCTGGAAGGCACTATAAAAATGCATGACCATTTGACCATATATTATTACTGTATTTATTAAAATTGCTCATCATGTAGCATCATGTAAGCCTGTGCAGGTATGTAGTTTAAGATGAGCGCAGATGGGTGGGCCCACCCTGAAAAATTTTTCCACCCAGTCGAAAGCTAATTTCATGGCCATCCTTCACCCACTATAGTTACCAACCGTCTCGCATCATGCAGGAAGGCAGGCCTGGAAAAAATATTGTTGTGCTTCCGACCATGAAAATTATCTTGATCAAATGCCTCAAGCACCAAATGATATCTTTTACACTATTATAGCTAAACAATAGTACATTTAGTGGTTTGGAGCAAGCATAATATCAAATTTAATTACCACATTAAATTGTGATGTGTAACAAAAAAAAATTTAAAAAAACAAACAAAATTGTTTTTTTCCTAAAATGCCTCCGGGGTAAAGTCAATGCCTCCGACCGCTGGTCACGCGGATGTACATTTTTTTCAGCCCTGTGGGACAGTCCCACATTTCAAAGTGATTTTGGATGAAACACGCATTGTGTAGAAACACAAACGTGATCATGAATTTTTCATGCATTTAGCACAAGTCTATGCATGATAACGAATTAAAACAAATTCTGGGGGAAAGGTATTTAAAATTATAAGAATTGGGTTTTATTACAAATATAAAAATAGTCTGTAGTAGCTTGATTCATTAGAGAGCTTTCATTATCTCGTTCGAGAATCAATTCACCAAGGAAATTTCTCTTTCCCGACCAAAACAAACCAGCCAACCACACACTTCGTAGAATCTCATAAATCTGGTAGTCGCGTGCGGTCTTGCGCATTCATTGTAAAAACCGTTGATTGTGTGACTGGAACCCGGGCCCCCACTGGGGTTCCGCCCCCCCCCCCCCCCCCCACCAACTGGTGTAGTCTCGCATCTCTAAGGTTGGTAACTATTGAGAATGAAAGCTAATCATTACTTATATAATATATACAAAGTAAACAATTAAAATATTGAATTCTATTTTCTATGTTTTTTATCACAATATAATAAACATATTAAAAACTATTCTAACAATGAAGATGAACTTCTTATATTTAAGAGTCATTCTGAAATATTTTTGTACCACACATTTGAACCATGGAAGTATAAAATTATACCTGCATGTTTGAACATTAATTGGTGCAAAAATTAATAAATTAAATTGTTATTTCATAATAAAACGTGTAAGCACATTTTTGCATGTTAAATATATATTTCATCTGAATAAACATCCAATTATCTGAAAAACACACTAACAATTTTAATATGCAATGAAATCATATTAAAATGTAAACTGATCTGAATAAATAATGCAATTTTATTCTGATTCTATTTATTTATAAAAATGATTTAATTTCACCATGAGAATCATTACCCTCCTCCTAGTATTATATCATTGTACAGTATTAATATGTTGTGTGGGCCCACCCTGAAAAATTTTTCCACCCAGTCGAAAGCTAATTTCATGGCCATCCTTCACCCACTATAGTTACCAACCGTCTCGCATCATGCAGGAAGGCAGGCCTGGAAAAAATATTGTTGTGCTTCCGACCATGAAAATTATCTTGATCAAATGCCTCAAGCACCAAATGATATCTTTTACACTATTATAGCTAAACAATAGTACATTCAGTGGTTTGGAGCAAGCATAATATCAAATTTAATTACCACATTAAATTGTGATGTGTAACAAAAAAAAATTTTAAAAAACAAAAAAAATTGTTTTTTTCCTAAAATGCCTCCGGGGTAATGGTCAATGCCTCCGACCGCTGGTCACGCGGATGCGCATTTTTTCCAGCCCTGTGGGACAGTCCCACATTTCAAAGTGATTTTGGATGAAACACGCATTGTGTAGAAACACATACGTGATCATGAATTTTTCATGCATTTAGCACAAGTCTATGCATGATAACGAATTAAAACAGATTCTGGGGGAAAGGTATTTAAAATTATAAGAATTGGGTTTTATTACAAATATAAAAACAGTCTGTAGTAGCTTGATTCATTAGAGAGCTTTCATTATCTCGTTCGAGAATCAATTCACCAAGAAAATTTCTCTTTCCCGACCAAAAAAAACCAGCCAACCACACACTTAGTAGAATGTCATAAATCTGGTAGTCGCGTGCGGTCTTGCGCATTCATTGCTAAAGCCGTTGATTGTGGGACTGGAACCCGGGCCCCCACTGGGGTTCCGCCCCCCCCCCCCACCAACTGGTGTAGTCTCGCATCTCTAAGGTTGGTAACTATTGAGAATGAAAGCTAATCATTACTTATATAATACATACAAAGTAAACAATTAAAATATTGAATTCTATTTTCTATGTTTTTTATCACAATATAATAAACATATTAAAAACTATTCTAACAATGAAGATGTTTAAGAGTCATTCTGTAATATTTTTGTACCACACATTTGAACCATGGAAGTATAAAATTATACCTGCATGTTTGAACATTAATTGGTACAAAAATTATTAAATTAAATTGTTATTTCATAATAAAATGTGTAAGCACATTTTTGCATGTTAAATATATATTTCATCTGAATAAACATCCAATTATCTGGAAAACACACTAAAAATTTTAATATGCAATGAAATCATATTAAAATGTAAACTGATCTGAATAAATAATGCAATTTTATTCTGATTCTATTTATTTATAAAAATGATTTAATTTCACCATGAGAATCATTACCCTCCTCCTAGTATTATATCATTGTACAGTATTAATATATTGTGTTTCAATAATTTATCTTAATATATTTTACTGTACTGTTTGGAACATTTTAAAAGTATCAAGTATGTTTTTAACTATTTATGTTTTCATTTGATCACTTAGCTTCAAACACATTTCTGATTGATTGATCGATTGATTAATTGATTTATTTATTTTTTAATGATAGACTGAATGAAATAAATTGAACTGAATTGAAAAAACATTGAATATATTACAATAGCTTTATTAGCTCCTAGTCCATTAGTACTGTATTTTCTTAGCAACATGTTTGTTTATGTATGTTTCTGTCACTACATGGTTCTAATAATTGCTACTGGTTACATGCGGGTAGGAACATGTAACCACATCCAAGCGTTATTTATTGAGCTGGCTCACGCATTAACTTGGATTCACTGAATCACGACGACAGATGCATGCAGCCGTGGAAGCCCCCACAAGCGGCTTCTTTATGCCTACAGGTAGCCAAAGCCCCTATGACATCTTTATATTATCCTTGTTCCAAAGGTGTAAATCCCCTGATGACTTTATTGCCTAATATGGGTATCTACAATGATCATTTTTTTTTAGAAGAGGTCATACTGTTTACTTTTATCATTATATTTCTGTCGAGAAGATTATCCTGTCCCAATAAACAATCAAACAGGACATTTCTTTGGCATCAGAAAGTTACTGGATACCTGAAGGAATTCAGTGAATATTATTTTAGGAAACATTACATCCTCCTTAAAACATTAAGTCATGAAAACAATTTATTTTGTTGCCAGGTAACAATAAGCGAATTATCATTCAATTTGTATTAACAAAGTTGGAATAGCTAATTATAAAAAGAGATTTTATACTACGGAGCTATTGAATGGAACAAACTAAATTCAAACACAGACTTCAAATACTTTAAATTTAAGCATTTATAAAAATTTTCATATTCCTCAATTTATAAATGCACCTTATTTATGTTTTCTTGTTTTTTTTTGTGTAGTGTAAAATATAATATTGTTCATATAAATCATTTTGTATAATATAAGTTTCATATATTTTATTATATTGGGCAGCAACTCGAATCCCTATCTCATAGGTTCGGATTCAGAGATGGGTGAGCTGAATTTGGGGACTTTTTTTAAGCTGATTGGTTTTATATCAAGACGAATATTAATACCAAAAGAGACTGTAGTAAATAAGATAGATTAGAGGTAGATTTGATCTGATTAGATCTCTCTAAAAAACAATATAAATACATACAATTATAAAAAAATATCTCATTACCAAACCCCCGGTGATGGGGGGGGGGGGCTCACTTTTAAATATTTCTATTATTATTATAAAATCTGCATTTTTTAAAGTGATTTTAGATGAAACATGTACGCATTTTGCAGAAACACATGTGTGATCATAAATTTGTCATGCATTAGCACAAGTCTATGCGAATTATCACAAATTCAGGGGAAAATGTATTTAAAATTAGAAGAACGAGAAATTCCCTTTCCCGACCAAAACAACCCAGCCAACCACGCATTTAGAAGAATCTAGGAGGCACATGTGGTCTTGGGTATTCATTGTCACAACCAACCCGCGATTATGTGACTGAAACCCGGTCTCACACAGGGACTCCGCTCCTGGTGGCCCCCGTCCCCCAAGCCAACTGGTGTACGCATTTTAAATCTCTCAGGATGGTAACTATGGGACTTTCAGAACCCAAGTGAATATTTACATTAACGTGTTTTCCCATTCTGTTATCCATGCAGCACTGAAACTCAAAGATAATAACCAAAATGTTGACCTGAAGGGGTCACAGATCCACATGTCAACTATACATCAGACAACATGATAGAGGAACTTTTAAACATGTGAGGTCATTTTCTATAACAAGAAAAATCATTGTATTCTGTCCTGGGTATCATATTTTTGAAGTCAGGGACACACCTTCACAGGACTAATCAAATGGCTCTCCTGACAGCATTCAAAATAAGTAATACTATTGATGTAATTAGGCAGTTATTAAATATAAACAAAACATAATATACCCAGCATTAAACATACAATTAAAGTGAGTTTGACATATAAATTTGTTTGGGTTTTTTTGACCACATAACAAAACATTTTTAATACTGCATGTGTGTAAGAAAGATATATACAGATTGAGCGCTCTGCACAGTCCAGTGTTTGGGCGATTTCATTAATCAAAAAGAGTATATAAAAAATGCACTTTTTTAAACGATCAATCATCGGTGAAACACTATTAAAATACATTCCCAATTTATGCATAACACTCAGCCTGTAGAAATAGGATATGTCCACTATCAAGCATAATAATGGATTGTAAGGCCCAATAAAAAAAATTTATTAGTTTATCACCCCTGCGTGCATGTCTTTATGGTACTGAAAAAAAAAAAATTTTAATTTTAATTTTTTTTTTTTTTTGAAAATTTTTTAAAATTTATTTATTTTATTAAATAGTTAGTAGATATTGTTTGCATTATCTAAATCATGTTTTACTTTGAATATCAATGCACCAGCAAACAACCCAAGGGTGATATTTGGCTTTAGCAAAATAAAAAATTTAAAAAAAAAGCCTCCCTCCCTCATCACTTTTCCTACCCAGATAGGGTGATAAATTAATAATATCTTTTATAGGGCCTAACAAGTCTTTGAAACAGTACCATATTTTCTTCAGTTCAGAAAATGGAACAAGCCAATCCCCTACGATGGCTGTGAGCCCGGGAAGTTTTTCTTCCTGAAAGCCTTTGATAGAATTAAAAAGCGACGGAAGAAGATTTTATTCAATAAGATTAATTTTTATTTATAAATGACCATAAGAAAATTTGCCTTCGTTGCCGCTTCAACCAAAGCGATTGGATTAGTGTATAGGCAAAGTTATGATGTAACTCCTCATAAGCCAGCACAAATCCAGCTGAAACACATTAATATCGCCTATATTTTCGTAATTCAACCTAAATTCAAAATTCGGACAGGGCGAAATATTTGAAAAAAATTATTTTGCAAATTGTTAGCAATAGCTATGTTTATAATGTTGTATAAAGCATTTCAACCAAATTTATCCACCTCTAGTTTTTGAGTTACAGTTTTTGTAGTAAAAACAGTCAATGTTTTTGAAGAAGTGCTATGGTTAAGAGATAGGGTGATTTTCAAGTCAGCGCATTTGCAGTAAAGTGGACCAAACAAATTGCTCATAAAGCAGTGTGGTCTTCAAGCCACAAAGGGGTGGGGCACCAGTTTGGCATCCAGTATAGAATTGGAAGTGATGAATTTTTTACATAACAATAGCCAAAAAATCGTACAAATTACTAAATTAATTAAATTATAATGTACTCACAATCGAAAAAAACCCAGCTGTCTGTTTTGGTAATTAAAAAGGAATTAGAACATTTTAAAGAAATTAATATGAGCCCACTTAGTGGCTCTGCCAATTTTTTTAGGCCTACATCATCAGTAGCATCGCCATGCATATAGTAGGCCTAAGCATCCCCAGCAGGCCCGGGCCTTTCATATTTATTATATAAGCCTCGTTCTTATTATTACTTTCCCACACAGCTCTACTACTTACCGGGATTCGAATGGGTATCTCAGCCAAAGCCGACAGGTATTGAGATGATCCACGTTTCTTTCGTTCTGAAGTTGATGTTAGTTCTTCCAAAAGACTTATATCTAAGAATACCATCACGACCGAATCTGAGGCCGAAGGATCGCTGCCACCTGACAGTGTATCGACTTCGCCAGGATGAATTGGTCCGCTACGATAATGAGCTTTGGCCTTTCCATCGATGCCACCGTCTTCAGATTGGTGTAAACATAAACAATTTTCTGAAGCCTTCTTCAACGCCTGTATTTGAAAGTACGTAAATAAGAATCCGGCGATTGTTGTAGAACAAATAAGGAATAAAATAATAGTAAGGCGAAGCTGGCTTGGAATAACAACTGAACTTTTATTCAAAGACATTTTCACAGTCGAAAAGAGTCATACTGCCCAATCACCAACTGACTTACTTCACTCCAGGCCTGCTTCACTCTGTTTGAGCGTCAGGTCTTTGAACTTTCGCTGACGGTAGTGGTATCGTATTCACTTTCAACCAATCACAGAGGGGGCGCAACAGCAATTTGAATACAATTATCTTGTCCCTCAAATTCGTTATGTACTTCAGTAACACTTCAGGATTGATGGGATTAATTTTTAAAGACCATATAGGCCTATCCCCGCTAATGTTTGCTTACTATTTCGATTGAAAATTGGTTGTGGCTTTACAATAACTTCTCCCCATCCCAAATTACTGTCGGAACAAAATTAATGGAAGTAGACCTAAACACAATTCTCATAGTAGTAGGCCTATCACTTCACACGTTTTACATGTGATTCTAGTAGAGCAAATTGCTAACATAGACAAAAATAGTGCTGCTCTATATTTCATGTGAAGCGAAGGGGTGTTTAATTGAGTAAGGCTGGCCTATATCGTATCCAAACACGACCGTCCAAAAATAACTCTCTTGTCGTGTGTGCTGTCACTGATATAGAGTAAAAATATTAAATAAATTATAATATAATACTAATTTACGGTCCACCCACGATTGAAAACGTACCGTTGTGAAATTCGAAAATTCGGGTACAAAAATTAATTTGGCATGGTTTCCTTTAAATCATTTTTCTAATAAAATAATACGAGCCAATTTTAAGAGCGGATCAATGTAAAATCGTATAGGAACGTTATTTAACTTAATAAAATATAAAAAGTAAGCATCTCTAAAAGATTGAATTTTATTTATTTTTTCTGACTAAAAAACCACTTTTAATTGTGTCAATTTTTATTTGTTTGGTATTACTATTATAATTATGATTTATGTCTAGTTCAACTCAGCTTTTTCGATGACGTGGCTCGGTGCTGTTGTTTCCAAACAGTGTGAATACAAGTTGGTGGTGCCCTTGCACTCGTTTTGACCAATCGGGTCTCGCCATTTAGTAGTGTCTCGGCAGTGTCTCTTTCTTTTCTCTAAATACACATCCTCAGCACACACAAGGTAAGTTACACAAAATAGATAGAATACAATTCTGTCTAAATTTAAACGCTTTAGAAACAGTTTCTCATCAAATGTTAACAAATTTAAGGTATGTTACATTATATATGATTAGGAATATGTGGAAAGTGAATATATTGCTCTAAATGACCGGTTAATATGGTAAGGTGGTCGCCGGCTAGGCCTAGCCTTAGCCTACACAGACAGGGATCCTAAGGCGAAACGTGTTTTGTTTGGGTCGACGGTGTCGTCCACTCTTGTCGTGGGATAGGCCTAGGGCCTAGCTGGAGTAGGCTTAAATGAAGTGTATGCTCCAGTGCATACAATAACAAATGCATTATATTTAAGCCTTCCTCAAAATTTATTTTGACACTTTTTGCATATTAATTGTATATATTTTGTCCCAACTGGAATACTAATAAATTTAATAATAAAAATTTTATTTAGAGTTCGGCAGATAATACATCAGACCAAAATCTTGCTTAAATTTGTACGGAAAATCGCCATGAAAATAGATGCGCAGAATTGCAATTACTGCATAATAACATTGGTTTATATATAAAGAGATAGGCCAAGGCCATTTTTTTGGCAAAATATGCATGGAAATTGCTCCTTATTTTTCGATTTCTAGGCCAAATTGTTTGTGCAGGCCTTACTTTACAGACAGGTATTGCGTTAGTGGCAAAGTATAGATTTATTTTATTTAATTGCAGTAATACTAATAATATTGTTCTATTTCATGTTTTGCTCAGATGAGGATCATTGCATTGATTGGTATCTGCCTGCTAGGGGTAGCTGTAGCTGATGATGGAGCTAAATTGCTAGCAGCTAAGAATGTACTAAATCAGCACATTGTAGAAGGAAAAGATTTGACAGTGACTTATACAATCTATAATGTTGGCTCTAGGTAAAGTACAAATACTTATACAACTGCTTGAACAATGAAAATAATAGGGTTTGCACAATTATATTCAACTGTTATTATATCATCTCTGATAGGCCAGTCAAACGAATGTCTACTTATAGTTATAGATGTTACCTTTAACAGAATCAAGGAAAAGAAAAAAGGCAACACAGAATAAGAGTCAAAATTTGAATCCAGGCACTTATACTGTACAATAATTTAAAGATATATTTGAAGTTGGTAAGACTGCCCATTGGCTACTCAAGAGACTCACAGGTACAGAATACTGTGTCAAACATGGAAAATTTCTTATGGAATTGAAGCTTACTACCATACACAATTATCAACTATTACCGTACTTTGCTAATTAAAGTAACAATTAAAAATGTTTAAATTCTTTAGTTTATTTATTATTTTGATGACAACGTCCCTTATATTAAAGTACAGCATATACAGTAACATAAATATTTATAGGCTTTCAAATTAATTTAGTAGAATTTTGAAAAAGAAACCACCATCATCAACATCATACTATAACATTAGTAACTGAAAATGTTTTGCACTAAGGGCTCTGAAACCAAAGGATGGATTTCAATGACTCTGCACACATACACGGATCATTATAAATATCAATCTCCGATGAAGCTGAGATAAAAGCAAAAAATAATTATTTCAAACCTAATTATGATGTCACAGTTCAAAAATGCCAAATATGGAAAATTTCTTATGAAATGAAGCTTATATACTACCATACATGGTTACCATCTATTAGGCAAGACTTTTTTATTCATTGTTTCGCATACTAATTTTTATAAAGATCTTTGGAGGAGGGCGGAATTAAAATAAAAATAAAATTTTGTTTTCTTATTTAGCAAATATTTTGGAGAAAATGAAAATAAAATTTTATTGGTGAATGTAAAATGGGATGGGTAAATGCTTCAAATTTTTATAATTAGGAAGACATATACATATCTTATCTTTGGAGATTTCAAGACAGCCGAGGGCGTAATAAAAATAAAGAAAAAATTTTATTTTTTTCTCAAATTTCCATTATTTTGTGGCAGTGGGTGTGCTGACTGGCCAAAAATAGAATTAAAATTATCAAGGTATAAACTAAGTCTCACCTTTCTCTGTTTTTCTCTTTTCTTTACAGTGTTGCATTGAAAGTAATCTTATCTGATGACAGCTTTCCCTCGTCTCAGTTCATAACAATCAGTGGTAGCAAGGAGATCCACTGGGACCGTATTGCTCCAGGCAGTAACGTCACCCACACTCTAATTTTAGAACCAAAAATCAGTGGTCCATTTAATTTCACTGCTGCTAGTATTACCTATGTGGTAGTTGAGGGAGAGGAAGAACCACCGCAGGTTAGGCAATTGTTATGATTAGGTATTGAATTTATTAGGGGCATGCCTATGTCATTATTGTGGAAATTTAAGTTATTTAATTTTGAGTGTGAATGAGTAGCCATCCAGGCATGGGGTCATTACAGTGAAAATGTAATCAATTATACTTTTACTGTAATTGATTACATTTCTAATGTAATTGATTACATCTTTACATTTTTGCATTAGGCAAAAAGTTGATGAGGGAGACATCTTTAGCAGAATCAAATATTTAATTTAATCCTGAGCTTTTGTTCACTGAAGTAGTTTGATGTATGTGGATCCATGATTAAAAAACAAGAAGGTAGTGGTTAATGAACTGCTACAAACATCTTAACGAGTAATACATGAAGAATATGCCAAACAAAAACAAATTTATTATTTATACTTATAAAATATAACAAAAATATTCATTATAGAATCACTTGCAACACTATGTGCAGTGTTCTTAAACTAATAGTTAAAGAAATATTTAATTTAGAAGTTTCTAATAAGTTTGTTATTCTCAATGAGAAATGGATTGAAACAATGCAGTTTTTTCTAATTTATATATTTTTTTATTATCTATATCTACAAAAGTATTCCCAGCATATTTCAATATATATATATGAAGAATAATGAAAATAGTTATTATGTTATCTAGCATCCTTTAATTGGCCAATAAATCATTTTTAAAACTAATTTGACAGCTGAACCTACAAATTCTGGATTTTGTTGTTTTGGGTTTTTTAGCCTAATACGATATCTATAATTTATTATGTCTTTCTCTTTACAATTACTTCTGATACTGTAGATGTGTATCGAGTATGTGACATATTGTAATTAGATAGCTCAGTAAATAGAAAGTACTGTGTACTAGATATTCATTCATTTTTTTTTTGTCTTTTTCTCCCAATTAGTTTGGATACACAAGTGCTCCAGGAGAAGGTTATATTAATGCATTCAAGGATTTTGATAGAAAATATGCTCCTCATTATGTAAGTGAATTGGTATAATTTAATCCTCTCTTTCTTTCTCTTTTCTTCTGACTTAATTCTGGTCATCATTTCATTCCATTTCATTTATTTATCCAACCAAAAAAACAATACAAGAATTTAGAACATACAATAAAACAAATGGTGGGGAAAAACTAAAGCGACAAAAGTCACTATGACTCATGACTCAGAAGTCAGTAATTCCAACATAAAATAAATCTATATATTATATACAAGACATAAAATAAAAATAAAATAAGGAACAACAATAAGACTTCAAAACGGATAACAGTAATTAAAATAAAAGTTAAAATTTAAAAATTTAAATTTTAAAATTAAGTGGGAAAATTAAGTAATAAAATACTTTAAATAAGAAATTGACACATTGCCATAATTGTTTAAAAAAAGTTAAAGAATGCAATACATTTGATGGTGATGTTGATAATAATAATAATAATAATAATAATAAAGTACTTTTGACCCCAAAACCCTAATTGCAATTAAGTGATTTCTTGAAGTTAGAAATAAAAGTATTAAAGGAACAAGGGACAGCAAGATCTTTAATATATAAAGGAAGTGAAGTCCAAAGAATATGGAACTGGTGAACTGGGGTGAATTGAAGAGCCACTGTCTGTGCGAAAGGATGTCTAAAAGAGATAAATTCAGTATGATGCGGATTAAAGGAGAGATTAGAAGTTATACTAGTACAATTATTATAGCCATATAAACAACGAAAGACAAAAGAAACTAGAATTAATTTACGTCTATTCTCAAGAGAAATCCAACCAATTGTTGTTAATAATTTCAGTGTTAACTTTCTTTTTACAAATTGATTTGAATTAAATAGGTATTATGTAATAAATTATTATGTAAATAAATTCAATATTCCAAATATTCTCTAACCTATAATATTTATTAATTTTACAGATGGACTGGGGTGCGTTTGCCATAATGACACTGCCCTCTATCGTCATACCATTTCTTTTATGGTACAGAAGCAAGACAAAATATGATGCACTGAGCAATAAGAGCAAGAAAAACTAAGTCTCTACAGTACTCAACATCTTCTCTTCCAGCTAACTTCTCAAATGTATCTGCATATAAATATGTGCATTCAAATGAATTATATAGATGAATATTTTTATCATCTTTAAATCTTATTTTAATGCTCATATTTTATTTTTTAAACATAATTTTATTTCACACATTAAATTTCAGTTTGGGTGTAATGTGAAATTTGGTTTAATTTGGACTCAGTTAATAAAATAATATGTCAATCATAGAATATGAATGTTGTAACTACTGTATCAAACTTCAATGAAACTAAATATTCACTTTGGGGAACAGATCATGTACAAGAACAAGCAGTTGTTAAAATTGTCAATAAAAGGAACACAATTATCTGTACTTTTGTATGTTTACATTATTATTATTATTCAAAGTTTACTTCACAATACAGTATTGCAGTCCACTGCAAAAATCCAGTCTAAACTTGCTGGTACGGTCTAGTATGAAAATCCTTCCGTCCTATTTAAGGGTCAACAATACAATAGGGAGTGGTACATTACATCTGTTAATAATATTTAACTTAAGTAACAATTAAAATTTTGGAATTCTTCAGATTATATTTATTATTTTTATAACAACATTTGAAATTCCTTTATAAAGTACAGCATACTGTACATACATAATATATTTAGGCTTTCAAATTAATATAATAGAATTTTGAAAAAGAAACCAATAATAACTCTTCATCAACATCATACTATAACATTAGTACTGAAAGTGTTTGCATTGAAAGGCTGTGAAACCAAAGAATGATTGCACACATACACAGATTATTCTAAATAACGCTTTCCGGAGATGCAGAGATAAAAGCAAAATAATTCAAACCTAATTATTACGTCACAAAAACAACTGGTACTCGTCGCGTTGGCATTCTTAGGCTGATGCAGCATCTTTGTTAATGACTGATTAGCATATTTAGCTTACACGTCGTCATTGTATAATAAAATTCCTGATTCAATCAACGTTGCATCTTAGCCTCAATTTATACATTATTCTTTGTAGATCGTACTGTATATGAAAACTGGTGGTCAAGTACAGTAATGTGACAATAGTATAATATTGCTGCCCTCTCTCGGCTGTTGCACAGCACGTTTTGACTAGACACACTATCACTTAAATATTTTTAATTTATTTTTGTATATTTCAATATTTTATCAGCTTTCAATTAATAATTAAGAACAAGAGAAAAGAAAGCGACATTGTCAATCAACGTTTTGTAAATATTTAATTTACCATCCCTATGATCTACTCATGCTCATGTTTTTTTGTCAGCAAAATTAGTGATTTTCGTAGTAAACGTCTGTTACTGGACTTTAAGCCAGGCTCTAAGACATTGATTGGTGTTTGACGAAATATCAGTTGTATAACATATGCATTTTTTTCTGAGCCTATATATATATATATATATATATATATATATATATATATATATATATATATATATATACTGCCAAATTAATTATTTTTGTGGTACGTCTGTTTAGAACTGAAAAAATGAAAGGAAAAGAATAGAAAGATTAAGAAGGAAAAATAAAAGGGAAAGAAAGAAAGAAACCGAAATGGTTAAGAAAGGAAAAGAAAAAGTAAGAGAAAAAGTAAGAAAAAGGAAAAGGTAATCAAATGATAAGAAAGAAAACGAAAGGGTAAAGAAAGGAAAAGAAAAAAACGCAAGAGTAAAGAAAGAAAATGAAAAGGTAAATAAAGAAAAAAAAAGAAAGAAAACGAGGAGGTTTAAGAAAAAAAAAAGAAAGGAAATGGCACAGAAAGAGAAAGGAAAGAATAAGATGTGTGGAAGTGAAAGGAAAGGAAAATATAATGTAAGAAAAGCTAGAGGAAAGGAAAAACATGAAAAGAGGTAGAAAAATGAAAAATGTAATGAGGAATAGGGGGTAGGGGAAGAAAAGGTAACGAAAGAAATTACAGGGAAGTAAAGGAAAAGAGAGACGGGTCGTAAGTATGAAAGAAAATAAAGGAAAAAAAGAAATGGAAAAAAGAGTTAAAGGTAAGGAAATACGACTAAGGAAATAAATATTTAACAATTATTTTTAAAAAAAGGAAATAAAATTCTGTATTTTCAAATTATTTATTTATTAACATTATATATTTATTTTTTATTGCTGTTATTCATTATTGTTCTCATTTTTTTTTTGTTAGGTGAAACTTTTAATAATTTTTACCACGCCATGCTGTAAAGCGCATAGAGGTATTTACGTTATGCACTATATAAATTGACAATTATTATTATTGTTAACGTATATTCACGATTAATCTTTCAAACGCTGTGATAACGTATAATAATAATAATAATAATAATAATAATAATAATAATAATAATAATAATAATAATAATAATAATAATAATAATAATAATAATAATAACATTGCATTGCATTGTTCGTAAAAATGTTTGTCACTGGTGCTGGGAACGTCACAAAAGTGAGGGTGGGGGTTGGGTGGGTAGGCCCGCACAGTAGAAAAGTGGGTGGGCCAATGGGCCCCCGCTTCAGTTAAGTTAATTGACTAGGTTTTTCTTGATTTTGGCAGGCATACTGTACATCCATGCAAAGACCAAGTCCGTGGTACATTCAAACGTTGGATAACGTCATTTTCTGATACTTTAACGTTCAAGGACGCATAACGTGTTGTTTTTTTCCAGTATACTCTACTGGTGTTTGCTGGGCTCTTCATAAAACTGAAAAAAAAGAAGAAGTTTCTTCGTCAATTATGGACGGTTAGTTAAATAAATACGGCAATGCCTTTCCTGTATTCTTTTGCATAGGAAGACCCTTGAATTGGTAATCATTTTAAGGATTTCGTGGTTATTCTGTAAACAGCGAAAAATATTTTTTCCCAGATTTTTTTCTATTCTAATTAAATGAGTTATTCTAAATTGATACAGTAATTAAAGATTTGTGAATCATTTGCGCAAAAGTGTCATACTATTTTATTGATAACATTAAAATTATTGTAATTAATAAAGCCTACGTCATATTCGATCCTAATCATCAATTGATCATTATCGATTAGCAAATTTGGAATTTGCTGCTTGTGGGCTGTATGCGGTCCTGCTCGACATCAGTTCGTCGCGATCTTTACATTTCATTTTTTTTTTCAGTAAACATAACAAAACATACGCCCCTGCGGTGGTTTTTAACTCCAATATGGCGTAGAATTGACTGGCGTCGCTCAACACACCTCGATAATTCATTTTCCGCTTTTAATTTCCTCTTGTCCTAGCCTAGCCACAGTATGTCAAAAGGCCGTTTCAAATCATATGTGAATTGTGGTGAACCTAGTATTAGTAAACATGCTCCTAGAAATGTGAGTTTGTTTACTTCTTTGATCCATCATTACTTTAGCCTAAGTAGGCCTAGGCCTAGCTAATAATATATTAAGCTAGGCCTAGGCCTACTACTACTAGCCCAAGCAGGCGGGCTGGTACAGTGTTATAGCCTAGCCTATTGAGCAGGGTAGGCTAGGCCTGCGGGGGCTAGCCCACTATTCTCCTTCGCCAGGCAGGCGTAAGCTAGGCAGGGCCTATGGTATTACTCCTTAAATTGATTCAATAAGAGTATTATTATGGTAGGGGTGAAGACCAACCTGTGTTCTGATCACTTACCTGTTATATGACATCGTTGAAATGTATTATTGAATGTCAGATAGGGACTAAGCCTGCCGTAAGTCTAGTAGGCCTAGCTCTCTAAGCTGATATATAACATAACACCGTATAGGATTTCTTGAACAAAAGGAAAATATAATGTCCTGCTAGTATTAAATATTACATTCTTTATTATCACCTGTTTATTATATTTTTTTTTCTCTGAATATTTTTATCATAGCCTACAAACAACTAATCTTTTAACAATAACATGTTTAATTTCAGTACTTATTATTTTAATTATTGTCATAATTATATTTTATTATTGTTTAGTGTAATATGTAATTATGTGAAGTATTTAAGAAAAAGGATGAGAATAGGCCTATTTATACTCTATGTACGACTTTTCCACGAATCAGTAGACATCTTGAAGTGATGACAAACAACCCAAGTCAGTGGTGCGTACCACTGGGCCTAGGCATTACAGTGCAGTAGTACTATTACAGTAGTACTCTAGACTAGCACTGTTTTAGTTACTATAATGAGAGTTGCCTATGTTAAAAACATGATATACTATACTTTTCTATAAAACATAACATGTACTTTATTATAATAAGAGAAATCTGTATGTTATCGGTACCTGGATCAGTAACAATATGAAAGTACTATGGTAACTGCACTGCAATGCATAGACCTATTTTAATACACTACTTAGATAGGCTTTTCTTTTTCCATCTTGATTTCAGAGGTCAAAAACATTTTTCCATTTTTTTTTCAATCATATATTGGTGTAGAATAGTTTTTAAAGAACATTTTCCAGAAAAAAAGTAATGTGATACGACTATCCGTTATGGAGTTGTGAATTTTTAGATAAAATGAGGACAAGAATTCAGCCTCAATGCTTATCTTATTTCTGTTGGTTACGCACCACTGACTTGGGTTGTTTGTCATCACCTCAAGATGTCTACCGATTCGTGAAAAAGGCGTAATCGGTCGAATAAATAAATGAAATGAAAACATAATGATTTAGTTCGGTTGGTGTAATTTTTACATTATTTCCCTGTTTCTCCATGGTACTGTTGTACTGTATAGTTGATCAGTCATTATTTGGACATGGGACTGTTTGTTCATCTTTAAATTAAAAAATATTTGAAACCATTGAATATCAATCAGTATTTATTTTTGTGAAATGTATTGCAGTGTATGTCTATAGAGCATTCTATATTTCCATGGGAACAAGGCAGCACAGTGAGACAGTGCTGTGTGCTGGGTTGATTGTAGCCTTCACTTTTCTATATATTAATAATTAAATATAAAATATAAAGAATAGATACAGTAGGCCCCTACTCAATAAAATGTTTCGTAGAGTAATAATCCAGCCAAATGTGGATGATTGGTAGACCTGTGCCAAGAAAAACCCCTTTTCACATGTAGGGGGATCATAGAGTAGCTTATAACTACAGTTTGCTATAATTTTAGTATACTTCCACATCCAGCCCAAACTGAAGCTGTATGTCTAACAACTCCCTGGTCTGGCCGTCTGGTATACTTTTTTTTTTTTTATTGAGGAGCAGGCAGAGAATATGAGTATCATATATAAAAAATGTGGAAAATTGTGAGCTATTCTACTCATTAAATATATTGGTTAAAATTTTAATTATTATTATTTTTTTTTTTTTTATAGAATTTACAACAACGTCAAGAACCTCACAGGACATCTCACCCTGAACCCAGGCTTATTGAAGGTACTCTAGTTAAAAATAATTAGCTTATATCTTTCATTTTTGTTTGTCTATATTTAAAGTACACTGGATTCTCCATACTGTACAACCATATAGTATACTTTATTACTAATGGCTAATGCTCTAACAACCATTATGAAAGCGAGGAAGTTTAGGAATGCAAGGCTTCTTTCTCTCCGAAAAGAAGTTTGAATCCAAATGGAAATTTTCTGTCAATCAATTAGAAATGATATCATATTACCACCATGAAGCTTCCTTTTCCCGTCAGGTTCTCTATTATTATCCCCTAGATAACAACTGGAAAGAGAATTGACTGATTTAAAATAGGGCGAGTGTATTAAATAAACTTTTGATAGCACATCATCATCAGGTATAAATAGAGATAAATTAAATATTAAAGTTATTAATAACACAAGTTTAATTAATTATGACTGAGTATAATTTTGTTCTTGATTTATAATTTACTACATTTATAAAATGATAACAGTGTTTGATAATTGCTATAATGGAATTACCAGTTTGGCTAAATGTTAACCTTGATTTTTTTTGTATGCAATCATGAATATGTATGTTATGACTAGATTTAAAAATTTTTATAATAATCTATTATAAATAATATTCCATTGAGGGCAGTATTTGGAAGGATATGAATTGTGTCATGTTGTACATAGTATCCAGTTAGCATTGAGTGTTAATTTGACAGTGTAGCGTAACTACATAGAGGAAGTTGTCCTAATTATTGAGTGCCTAAGGGAGGAAACTGTGTGGAAGCTAATTTGGAAGAGCCCCAACGATGATATCATTCCCCACACTTGTTCTTTAGCCTCACATGACAGGTTAGCCACGCCAAAGGTTGCAAAAGTCTCTTTATACTGCCTTAAAGTAATTGCAATTTTGACACAAAACTATGTTGCTGTGTGTTCATTTACTGCTGTTCTTATCTGCATACAGTATAATTTGAGTTTATACTACTAGGGACTTGAGAAAGTGTCCCATTTGTTTGGATGTTTATGGTCTTGTGTCTTTGTTTTTTTTCTTGAACATTGGAATTATACCCAAGGATTTTACTTATGTATTCTCTTATGAGACCAACTAGTTTGGAAGTGTGTCTATTTCCAGGTAATCATATTAAATATTCACCACTTCTAGATCACTTCATTTAATATTGAAAGTATTGCAGTATGATGACTGACTTGACATATTACTGTAGCTAAGAGTTTTCAGAGTTGAGGAGGTAGTCACATTGTGTCTGCCATGACTAGCAAAATTCTAATGTATATACGTAATCCCTAGTTTATTGTGTGTTTTGCACTGAAAAATGATTTCATTGTTGTATTTTTTGTTATTGTATGTAGTGGTTATCAGTGTCATAATCTTTGATATCAATGGTACTGTTAATAGTGGTAGTAGCCACGTTTTAATGTATTTTATTAGCACAGGAATGTTTCAATCATTAACTAATACTTGGCAGAAAGTAACTAGGAAAATAGGTCTGCAGACTACGGTACATTAAATGTATATTGAGACATTGGCAAAGGCCTAAGGTTTGCGTTGAAGTCAGATATGTTTTTTTGAAATGTTGGGATAAATTTCTTGGCCTAAATTTTTGCCCAGGGATTATTCTTCAAACAGGCCCTATTTTATAGATTGAATGAATGATTGATTCGTGGCTTAATTGATTAAATGTTTTAATTGACTAGAAGTTAATGTAAAAGTTTATCATTAATAACATATTGGTCAAATGATTCTGATCCCAGAAGTTATTGCTCAAATTTTCATCGTTTTTTTTTTTTTACAGGTGAACTGGTTATCGGTCAAGCCCACAATGTTCTGAAGTTTGACGCATTCAGTGGGCTCAACAGTGGCATCTCGGGTTCTCTTTATTGTACAAATTTCAAAATCAGTTTCTCAACAGCTACCAAGCCATCCCACGACCTGGTCAGTAAAAACAACTCTCATCTCATTGCTTATGTACTATAGCTGCAACCAGAAACACAAGATTGATCAAAACTAGCCTAATTTGCTATGTTCTCCTATACTGGAAATTTAGCACACATCCAATTAAGTGCCTCTAAGTTAGTGTACAGTAGGCTATGGTTACCATCGTAAAAAACCAATAGCCCTCAAAATTCTGAAGTATTTATTTGAAAAGAGCGTAAAAATTAAGTGGTTGATAACACATCCATAACTTTAAGAATCGATACCCTTTATTGTTGTACTCCAAACATGTGAAATATTAAATTAAATTCTTGATGCTGATAAAGATGTAGTAGCACTAGAAAATGAAAAAAAACCCCCCAAAATATATACATTTTTCTAAAACTTAACTACTGTATACAATATCAATAATGGCATCATACACTAAAAAATGTTGGTTGCCATGTTTTTTCAAGTCCTAGTGGATTAATTTGTTTTGAATTTTAGACTTCACACTGTGCATGTTAGCAAAGAGTATAAATAGAACAAGAGAGCCAACAACGCTCATTGGGAGCGTAAAAAACGATACGCTCTACGCAGCTAGTGTAGAACGCCAACTAACGCTTGTATATGTTTTATTACCCAGTACTGCACCGCGCACTGTAGGTTTGTCTGTTTATCTGTTCTCCACAAGATACGAACGGGACTTTGCTCTCTTGTTCTATTTATACTCTTTGATGTTAGTTAAAAGCCATCTGATGTTATTATTCTTGTAGTGTTGCCAGATGCCAAATAGATAAATATATTTGATCTCTGCTCACAAAGATTTATATGTGATTTCCTTGGCCTAATGCTAGAGTTTATGGCTGTCACTCACCTCATGCATTTGGACTGATAAAATTCTAAACATTAGTTTTCCTACTTATCATTATCTTCATCATCATCATCATCCTCATCCGGTGATCATCATCATCATTATCATCAACAACATCACCATCACCACTAACATCTTCAACATCATCATTACTTTTGTCTTTATCATCATTATATTCATCATCATCTTCTTAATCATTATCGTCCTTATCACACAAGGTATTTAGAGGGCAAATAAATAGAAGTTAGAAACAACTGAATTCATTAATTTTTGCTTTTATGGGCTGGAGACACCCACGTCAATATCCTCTGGAGTCAGGCCAATAAGATGAGACCTTTCAGAATTAGGGATGATGTGATTTGATTGCATCCTTCCTGCTTCCATGAATGAATGACTACCCTGAGACTATATTTGGCTGAGATAGCATTAGTATTGCTTTGTGTATTGATGTCTTTATTTGGACATTAAAGCCTTCAACATAATTTAAGTAGTAACAGGTTGAATTACAATGCATATATAGTAATGAAATATATACAGTATTATAAGAAGAAAATATAATACAACAAATTTATTTATCTTAAATTTGTGAGTGCATTTGAAATGGCATTTAGGAGAGGGGAAGCTTTGATAATGCTTTTAAACGACCCCAAAAACAAATTCATGAAAAATTATAATGACCAGAGATTCTCATATGGTTTGTTCTTTTGGTATTTTATAGGTCGAGCTTGATCATAAAAACCTTCTGTATAAAGAAAATGACATTCCGTTGACAAGTGTAGAGGCTGTTTATCAAGGTGAGATAATATAAACAAGCAATTTCCTCCTCATATTCGATAGAAATGTGTGTAACTCCAGTTCATAATCCAGCATCGCCATACTCATTATTATTATTTTTATTAGCTTTATTTTTGTAAGCTTAAAAAAAGCTTTCTGATCATTGAATTAGTTATTAATAGGAAAAAATGTAAATAAGTAGTCTACATAATCCTAATTTAATTACATTTGAATTGATGTAGAAACAAAAACAAACATTGTTGCTAATAGTTTCTTATAACCATTGTTTCATACAGTTTTGTATTGAATGATAACAGCCATTTTTCTATTGTATATTAACACAAGTTGGAATAGAGAATTCCTGGTACTTTTTGTCAATGGTGTTCTCTTTAAAAAAAAAAAGGTTAAAATTTATAAAAAATTTGTAAATATTAAATTTCATGTTTGAACCTTAGCCAATATGGGATGATATATGATAATATATTGCCAAAAGCAATCACTTATGAACAACTACTATATACATAACTTGAAATTCTGTATAATTATACAGTTTTATAAACCCAGTATGCCACTAACCATTGCTTTCTGATTGTCTGTATATGGAAATGTAAACACTTCTTAAGTCATATAGTTTTTTTAAAGTCTGTATTAAGTGAATTTAAAGAAATTCTACTCATTTAGTTTCCTAATCCTTTCAAGTACCCATGTGTCATATACATTAAAAAAGGAATATTAATAACGCCTTTTGATGATTTTGATCAGTTTCCCAGATCTAACCTAATCGTACAAAATTTTGTTCTGAATGATAAATCTATGTGAAGGACAAGCCAATTGTTGCCTGTATACTGTATGTGTTTTTTTATGACTTGTTTATGTCTAATCTACATTTTTAATGTTATACTGGATGTAAAGTAATCATAAAACATTAAATATTTGAACATTAAACATTGTCTTATTGTATTGTTCTAATGTTATATACTTCCGTAATACAATACTAGTTACTTGTGCACTTAAAAAATGTAATGATGAAATACATTATTAAATATTGTGTATTTTTCTTATATTTTTGTAGTATCTTCAAACAGACGAAGACTGTTGTCCCCAAATAGTACTGTTAGCAATGGAATTAAAGTGCTTGAAATCAGATGTAAAAACTTCAAAGTTCATACATTTAGTTTCAAGTTCACTCTTAAAAAAGAAAACAAAACTGTAAGTCTGTAAATTAATTTTAAATAATATTTGTTCACTATTGAATTATAAAAAAACCAAGTTTTTATGTAAATGGTAAGAAGATATGTGTTTCATGTAGTGTACTTGTCCCTTTTTGGATAGAGGTTATGATTTTTCTCCACCTCTATTGCAAGGCAGAGAAGAGGATGTTTTGTATGAAGAAGGTCTGAACTTTAATCTGAGAAGGAAGGAACTTAACTTTGCATTTACTCCCAAGATAGTTTGCCAAATATGACTATAAGAGCTCCTTAATTGGAGTTGTGTATCCAAGTGTGTTGAAAAGTATTACAAACTAGATATAGTGTACTTATATTTAGGATTGTTGTTTCGCTTCAATAATGAAGATGCATTTTCTTTGAATGAAGTGTTGTATAAATATACAGTAATTGTTTTTTTTATGTTGACATACAATAAATTGATGAATAATTGAATATTTGTGTCAATAATAATTGTTAATATGATAATGATATTGTATAGCTGAAAGAGGGAAATAACAAATTGAGGTCATATATCCACATAAGTATAATCATGAAGAAGCAAAAGGATAAGGAAACAATAATTTTTCTTGCTAAACTAGCATAAAAAAATTTAAAATATAAATTATATAATTTTTATATAAAAATATAAAATAATATAAATTATAAAAATATAATGATGTAGATAGTGATTCTGATAATTTAACATTTTTGTTAAGAATTTATAATTAAAAATATTTTTCTACTTATTTTATATTTTAATTGAAAGACAATAGTTGATAATATTGACCACATATTTTTTTTACATACAGATTGTGAACACAATTCTTCATCATGCATTTCCAAAAAAACTTGAGCTTCTTTTTGCATTCTCCTTTCAACTGCCAAATTCTCAAGCTTTGACCCCCACTGTTACCAATCCAGAGAAAAATCACAGCAAATCGAATGGCCGATCGATTAATCTGACCAAGTTCTTTCGCACTACTTCCCCTACGGTGCCCCCATCACCAACTCCATCGCTGAGCGAGGAGCGTCCGTCACGGACGCCTCAGTATCGTAAAGTGTCCGACTGGGAAGCGGAGATAAAGCGCACCAATGGCTTGAACCTTAGGGTGACATTGGCCAATCAGGCCTTCAAGATCTGTGACAGGTATGACGACCTATTTGAAGTGTCTCATTACTGCACATCATAAATATTATTGAGCCCACATTAGTTTTTCCATGCCTTGAAAATGTAAAGATCCTGTATTCTTTCCTTGATTGGATCTGATGCAGTAATGATAATGAAGGTGATGGATGACAACCGAAAATTGTCACAATTACAATGACAGTGATGATAAAGAATGATGATATAATGAATGATAAAGAAAAAAGTGATGATGAAGATGATGATATAATAGATCATAATATAGATAATGATATTAACAATAATTGTTTTTTTTAGTCTTCCTGAATACTTTGTTATTCCAATGGGATCTAAGGCTAAAGGCAGGGATTCCTTATTGGATGGTGACCTCCACACAGCGGCTACCCATTTTGAAGGTGGTAGAGTCCCAGTAAGTATTTTTTTTTATTGGTGTAGCATTTAGCAGTCCCGATGTTGCCATCATTAATGACGAGAGACGCCACAATATTTATTTTATTTATAAGCCATTATTTATTCAACAGCCTCTAGAGTGGGTGGCACAGCAGAGCTGACTTAATCATAACATCATTACAATCCATATTGTGTATACTGTAGTGCATCTAACCTTGTAAAAATAACACAATAATATTATTTACGCAGTTGGTGACACGCAAACACCACAATACTTCAAGCCACATACTCGACTATATTACAGACTAGGTAGACTCTCTTCTACCAAGTTTTAGGGCCAACTTCACGTCTTAAGACTTTGATCCGAGCCAAGCACACACACTGCATCTTATAACCGTCAGCCGACGAATCCATCTCCACTCTCTGTCAGTGCTTTATGATACAACGCCATCTGCTGATTTTTTGTGGCAGTCGGAGTGGATCGTTATTAAAAAAAATTAATTGTGCGCATCATTGCATTCCGTTATCTATGGAATTGTATCGTCGATGACTATTATTGTTTAATTAATTAATTAAATGTTATTGTTATTTATTATGGTTATTATTATTATTAATAAAGAACTAAATTCTTTTACATATGTTAGTTTTGGTCTTGGAGCCATTCAAATGGTAGCATGTTGATTCGTATGTCTCCACTTCGTGTAGATTCCCCTCACCTTGATCAAGAAACAAGGTAAAGTGTTAATGCATTATTTTGGTATGATTATTTGATATGTTTATGTGATGAAGAACATTTAATTGATTTTTAATGTTTGTATTCTGCTTTTTGGGATGTCCCTATAACAGTAAAAGGGAATTTAAGGGGCAATCTAAAATGTCAATATAAAATTTTCCCCTACCCACTGAAAATTTGCTAAGAAAAAAAAAGTATGATCAATTAGTTAAGAATTACCACATATCACATTATTTTGTCAACAAAACTCCCTCACTCATTCATCAAGTTCCCCCCTCCCCCCTGAACAAATTACTAAGTATTTATCAGGATTTGAAAACAGACAACTTTATGAATTAATTTTAATTTTTTTTTAGAATGTTGAAGATAATTCAAGCCTGTCATCCATATGACAAATACCCTTTGACTCTTGACCTTAATGCGACCTGTCCGTCAGTCAAGGATATCCAGTCAAGTTTTCAAAAGATCAGGGAATTGTGTGTCCCAGGTAAGAAGCATTTAACTATGAAAACTTCAAAATTCATTTCACCCATAAAGCACATTTATATTAATGTCTGAGACTTTACATTGAATTACATATTTTTTCTATTTTAACTTGAAAATTTTGGGGGCTGCGCAGGCACAGTGCAGCGCTAGTACGACTTATATTGGATACATTAATTATCTCTATTCCCGCCTATTTCCCACGTGAGAGTTCATTCAATGAGTTGACTAAGCAGATTCAATAAAGATACAGAATGATTTTAACAAGCTATGTGTCTAAGTTAAAAGAGGTGAACATTTTTGTTTGGTTTTATGTGTCTTTCAGAAACATACAATTCATCATAATTATTTTCATAAACATGGGAATATCAATTTTATTTGAATAGTCTATTCAACTTTCGTTCATGGTTTTGTTTTACTATTTTTCTTATAGGTTCAAAAAGTAAGTTTATGTAAAATTTTGTAATTTGCATGAATTATTGTCACTCATGCTCAATTTTGAAAACAATTCCTTGGAGAATGCATCTATAATTTTTTTCTAATTTAATTTGAGCACTAATTTTAAAGTAGAGTTGTCCTTAATTCAGTATCTTAGTGAAAACAGTTTATTATTTAGTATTTTGTGGTGTTTATGTGATCAGTTGTATTAGAAGTTGTATCCCCCTCCTTTCTATTTTATCATACCTTTAATAAATCACAATTAAGTGTATAAACTAGGTTTTTTAATAAGATATATATTTAATGTAATGAATAACAGGGTAAAAATATTCAAAACTATTTAGTACATTAGTAAAAAGGTTGTACTAAATTGTACTATTACAGGTCAGTGTAATGTAGGTTGCAGTATATTAAACTATATAAAAACATCTGTTTTCTTTTATTGATAGGCTACCAGTTTAGAGATATGGACTAACATTAACCTATTGTTATATTTTTGTTAATATATTATTGTATTTGTTAATACAGTATCACTATTATTACTATGATCATCATCATATTCATCAGCATCATTATTATAAGTAATATTATAATTTTATTTTGTAAACAAATGCTTACTACTTATTTATCTATTTGAATAATATTTTATGAGGGTGTTCCATCCATTCAGAGCTGATCAATTAGGCCCCTGCTTAAAGCACCATCTACCATACCATACCCTACCATGTACAATGTTACTTAAAATATGATTCTAAAGGCCTGTTTACACTATGACGATAACGATCAACATTAAAAAGCAATTGTTCATATAGAAAGCAAAAGAAATATGAGAAGTTTTCACACTAGCACGATTCGATAACGATTTATCGTGTATACGATAAAAAAAAAACTAATTTCACAAATTAAATTAAATGACGTCATAATCATGGGAAAACGAAAAAAATTGTTTTTGCTACTACGATTTTGTCATTTTCCCACGATTATGATGTATTATGATTATGTTATTTGTAAAAATAATTTTTTATCTTATGGACAATAAATCGTTATCAAATTGTGCTAGTTTGAAAACTGCTCATATCTTTTATTTTCTATATCAACAATTGATTTTAGCTTTTTGCCTTTGATCGTTATCTTCATATTGTAAATTGGCCTTTCAAAGTATATGTTTATCTAACTAGAAATTGCAAGTGAAGTACTGCGAAGTACAACTGCATATAAATGTTCTTCGAACAAAATTATTTATGCGAGTCAAGTGAAAATAATGAATAATAAAAATATAACAAATAATATGAGACACGACCCATTGTCTAGCTCATTGGGTAACAATGTCGTAATTTTTCATTTTTGTCAAAAAGTGTCTATAGTGGTGAATTATGGTTTAGGTTTTTTTCATAGACTGCATGGTCTAGGAAGTGTACGGTACATTTTTTTTATGGGGCAAGTTTCCAAGGCCGGGTTTTCTAGGGGCGAGTTGACTGCCAAAGAGTGTTGCCAAAGTGCGAGCCAGCGTGTTATTTGATCAGAAGTGCGAGACATCGCAAGTGTGAGCCAGCGAGCCATGACGTCACGACAATAGATACGAGACGTTACTTGAGTTGTGCGAGGTATCGGCTGAGATTTGTGGAGTACAAATAAAAAAACAACTATAGGTCTAATAATGAATTATTGTGATGTTAAATAGACATTTTAGCTATCAAGGAGCGACGTTGTTTTTCATTGGGACCTTCATTCCTTCATGGCTATAGGCCTATACCATCCTAGCTAGTCTAGGCCTAGAGTAAGATAAGGCTAGCGCGAAATGCGGACGTTGGTAAGGGTTGGTTAGTCTACAAACGTCGCCTAAAGTAATTGATTTTACCCGGCAGAACGAAAGAAGGAAACTCTGCTTTTCAGTCGTCTTAAGCCCTTGTTTTTTGACAAATAATGACCTTTCAGAGGTCAAATTGCTGTCAAGAATATGAATTGGCTGCTTCGCAGCAATAAATAAACAAATGCATAATCAGTTTGTACAATCAGTCAGAGAAATTTAAATCTTTTTAAAGATTTGTTTTGCTTCACTTTCATATTTTTATTTGCATTCAAGTAACAGTAACATGAGTCTTTCACTTCAGAATCATATGAAGGTTAATAGAAGGATATTCTAAATTGAATAATACTTATGTGGAAATGCCTTGACATGCCAAGGACAGCTTGATTCAGGATACTTTCATGTGTTAAATAGAATATGCACTAAGAATTTATTGTTGTAACAACATGAATACTACATGTATGGGTTTTTAAAAAAATTATTATTTTAGTAAACTTGCCTAATTTATTGGTTTTCCCAAGTGTTAGAAACTTTTGGAGAGCACCACCAGCATCTGGTTATGTCAAGAAACTTTTTATGTTGTTGAATTTGGATCGCAGACATCCCAGAAAAATTATAGTATAGAACACCATGCAAATAAGTAATATGGAACGCCATTAGTGCAAAAATCAATTTATTCTTAATAATTCTTAATAGTTTTTACTGATTAATACAAAATTTAGGGACTGGAACCTAGTCTATTATTTTATTTAGGTACATGAACCACAAATTGCTAATAGCAAACCAGTACATTTAGGAATATCCTTCACAAGTCAAACATACATACACACCCACACACACCCACAGGATGCTCTACGTTAAGTTTTGTTATGAGGATTATGGAGTGGAGTTGTTATTTACAAGAACTGAACCCAGGATTCTAAAATTAAAATGCAAAGATCTTAACCAGCACGCTAGAACTTCATATTTCAATATTTTCATTCATTGTATAATATAACAAGTATTTATTCCAATATTATTTTATTTAGTGTATACTTAAATCTTCATTTTGATCCAATAGGATGTAAGTTTCCACTTTTATGATGGTATTACATAATATAGATAATTATAATGAAACATCCTATAATTTATGATTTACCATATCATCACAGTTCAATCTCATGTATATAATTTGACACAAATAAGCTTGTAAATATGTATGAGCTTAATTCATGCATCTGTCTCTTCAATCTGTCAATTCAAATGTTCTTTTTCGGAGTCACGTATATGATGATGATGTTGACAAGGTTTGCAAATACATATATCTAGCAGTCTCCTTTAACTTTTCACAACAGAGGCAGGTCCAAAAAAGTCCAATAGCCTTTTAAGAAGGAAGAGCTTGGACCCCAATAAAAGTAGCCCAGCTAAACAGATCGCTGAGCTTCGGAAGGGTTTGTACTTTACTGTTTGTAAAATCAGTATTATTTAATAAAGAGTAACAAAAACATTGACAATTTTTTAATTTGTTTTGGTAGATAGAAAAGGTGATGGTTTTGATTAATTGCTGCTTTTCAGAAGTTTATATAAGGCTTGTTTTTATTGGTCGTTTGTTGAAGCATGCGACCTGTTAACCTAGTTTAATTGTTTTTTGAAATATGATGGAAGGAAACCAGGTGTCAAAGTGAAGTAAAGAGTGAATAGTGATTAACAGGTGTTAGATATATTAAAGCAGGTGGCTGGATTAATTAACTTACCAAGCTAATTGCAGGTGTGTAATGAAATAATTAATCAGATTCGAGAAAACTCTTGTGGAAATGACTTTACTAATATTGATGTTTCCACAAGAGCTAATTTTAAACAAATCATTCCGGAATATAAGAAGAGGAGAGTAGCATTACATTTTTGTCTATATCAGGTCTTTAATGAATAATGCTTTAATTGCTGAAGAAACATGTCTGTAAAATGCTTCTTCCTAGATTCCATTGCTTATTATAACAAAAAAAATAATCTTCATCGCATTCTGTGAATTTTAGGATGCTGTTGCAATAAGTTGAAAGGCTTACTACTTTTGTCTGTTGATTTTTGTTGGATGTAAATTAACATTTTGGACCTATTTATTTTGCATATATTTATTTTTAAAGCAAATGATACAGTTTTTGTTGTTATGTAGTCTAATTTTCAGAAAATTATGTGAACTTGCTTGTGTACCTTATTAGTTAATGTTTTCAAACTGGTTGCTATGGTATTGGATTTTGATTGACAGCTCTCTATTTTAAGGGGCATGGCCTCTTCTTTTTACGATTTAAATTTGTCTGAACATCTGAATGTTGGGAAAATCTTACCAATTCACCCATATCCGTATCATTTATTTTTGCACCCATTTTTGTAACTCATACTTTCTTTACTTAACAAATTCCAGACAAATTTAACATCACTCCTAAATCACCAACTCTTAAATACTCTCTTTCTTATATGAATACTCTCAATGTAAAATATAAATATAATGTTTTTAGCAACCTGTGAAAATTCTGTTCACAGAAACATTAAAAGAATTCTGGAACACAGATGCAAGATGGCTGTCAAGTGTAGAGGCAACAAAATGGCTTCAATATATCAGGTAAATCCATTATCAGCTCAGGCCACTAAATAATTAGGGAAGGGAACTTACCTCACATTTTAAGGTCTAGAAAAATTAACCTAAATCATCATACAAAATGACAATTTCGCCTGGTAGCCTTGTTAAATTATTTTCTGAATTATAACATATTGAATGCAAATTTAATACAAATACTATAAATATATACGTAATCTTAAAGGTTAGATTGGAATACATTAATAAGATTACAACTATACTTGATTGTGGTGCATGGTTAATATAATGGTAGATTTGAAAATTAATGAATATCCTTATAAATAGTTTTCTTTCAAATTCATTTTTCCAGAGCTTGTCTTTCAACTGCTGCATATGTAGCGACAACAATCGCTCATGAGCAGAAGTCGGTAGTTCTTAAAGGTAGATTCTATAAATCAATAAAATAGAATAAGCAATTTATGATTATCATTTATCTATTCTTATTTTATTGGTATTGGTTTTTTGATTGTATTTCTTTTATTGTATTTTTATTGTTTTATTTTTAAGAAAATCATCGACAATGTTGTGTATTTTTCTTTGTAAATAATGATATTAGTAATATTAATAGTAAGAATAATTTATTGTATATATTTTAGGTCAAAATAAAATGTAATTTTATTGTTTATTTCGACATTTGATATTTTACCTATTTTCCATTAAAAAAAAAAATTATTCCAGTTTAAAAATGTGGTCACATTAAGGAGATAAATATAATATTGTGAATAATATATTCATTCTATTTTCCAGAATTTACTGGCCGAGACTTTTCATGTGTCGTCTCTTCTCTAGTACAACTAATGCTAGATCCATATGCAAGAACTCAGATGGGTTTTCAAAGTTTAGTTCAACGTGAATGGGTCATCGCAGGTCATCCATTCCTTACCAGATGTGGACACATCATTCCGTCAGATGGTCAAGAGGTCAGTAGAACTTACCCACATGGTGCAGTACATTTCATTGACCAATGGGCATATCCAGTCAGTTTCAGGCACAGGATGGAGAAATAACATTTAGAGCTCATGCTCAACCTGTGATTGAAATTAATATTGAGCGTAGCCAATTCTTTTTTTTTTACGAGTGCCCACACTCTAACTATTTTTATTAAAGTGCATTTATATGGCACTCTACAATGAAAACACTACCTAAAAATTTGTTCACATTTTGACCAATAACAATCATAAAATATGATCTCTAGTACATTAATTGGTATAATGCTTCACCTAGGGTAGTAACCATTAATTGATATAATGCTTCACCTAGGGTAGTAAACTAATAAAAATGTCTGTTTTTTCAACAGTCGCCGATATTTTTACTTTTTCTGGATTGTGTCTTCCAACTAATGGAACAGTTTCCCGACGTATTTGAGTTCACGGATACATACCTCATCACGCTGTGGGATAGTACGCACATTGGAGTCTTTGGCACTTTTATATTCAACAACGAGAAACAAAGAGTGCAAACATGCATGCGTGGGGAAGATGGCAAAACAATTAAGTTACCGACGGTTTGGGCATGGACGCTTCAATATAAGATGGAGGATCTTGCTTTGTTTAACAACCCGTTGTACGTTGCAAAGCATGATGTGGGCGAAAATTTCTTGGCGACATCTTTAAACAACTCAATTGGATTTGAGGACAGCATGCAGCTTGGGTGCAATCCCGGTGTTTATCGCAACTCTATGCATTTATCCGAGCAAACAGCGTCCATGTTTGAGGACTATGCAAAAATGAAACGGACTTTCAGTCTGCAACCGGGTAGAAATAAACGCACTGGTAACGGAGCACATTCATCTGGTGCAACATTTGAACTACCAGAGACAGAGATTGATTTAATCGTGCCACGTATAAGTGGACCGTACATTAAATTATGGATGCGATCGTATCTCAGGTGGATCCCGAGTATACACATTGTCGGGGGCGGTGCACCAACACAGTACCAACAACAATGCAAGGTGGTTGACGAAATCCAGCAATTACGGGACCAAGTTGATCAGCTCCAAGCTGTATCACCGTCAAGAGTGGTAAAACGCAGAAGCCAGTTTTTCTTTGCTTGCGATGCTGATCGTGATGGAATGCATGGAGCAGACGTAGTTAGCTCTGCCTTTCCATTTACGACCAGTGATCTATCTTTCATTGGTGGCGACCGTAGATCTTTCATTGGCACACCATTAGCATTGTTTTTAAGGGGTCAAAGTTTATTGGACACAGACACAAGTGCACTTGAAGATCTAGAAGATTAATTTATCAGTGCTAAAGATATACTGCCTGTCAAAAAATTAAAAATACAGGAAAGGTTTTATTTATATGCCCATTAAGTGACATGTAAATACCTTTTTTTTAACATGTCAATTAAGTGACAGTTAAATTTTCTTCTCATTCAGATTTATAATTTTAAGTTAATAACTTATATAGATGTACAAATTAAGGAATTGAAATTTTTAATTACTTTAGATCATGGTAGACAGTATATCTTGAAGGATTTATAATTAACCTGGTAGAGAAACTATTTAGATTTCATTGATTCTAAATATCTGTTCAATATTATGATTTAAATATTTATCATATTCTTGATGTTTTAAGTACATTCTATTAAAATATTTGTTAAGTATAATTTCTATTTATCTTAACTTTCTATCTTGAAATTTCAATATTATTTAACTTATTAATATGAAAACAAAGTTGATCCTCGTGTAAATAAATAAAGGGATTATGTAAAATAGTAATATAATTGCAGTTTATATCATTACATGTACGGAATCATGTATTTTCATATAGATTGAATTATGGTACTGTACTTACAGATTTTTATACTAATTTTTGTGGTAATAGGATATATTCTATGAAAATATTAATGTTAGAGAACTAGAAACATTTTAACAAAGGATTTCTTTTATTAATATTATTAAGGTTGAATATATTCTTAATCAAATTATTGTATTAAAGTCAATAAAGAAATATAATTTACTTAAAAGTACTCTATTTAAAAGTTGTTTGTGTATGTTAGATTGAACCAGTTCTTTCAGAATTATTTTTACTTTATAAACTGTGTTTTATTTTTCTTTTATATTGTAAGGGTTTTTTTTTTTTAATGATTTTAATGTAAATAATTTGTACGAAATTGTGCATTTCTATTCAGATGCATGACTTGAGAAACCTTGCCAATAATAATAATTGAAGTAAAACATTACATGGGAGATTCACACATAGGTATTCTTAACTGTATACATGAAAATAACTGATTTTTGGGGCAGTTCAAGGGTCACAAGACTCCCACACAAGCAAGCAAATTGTAAATTGATGGTATTTGTATTTTTTTTACTACTGTATTATCAATAGTCTCCTGGGGATTGGTTAGCGATGGGCATAACCACGCACAGCAGAATGATGTGTTCAGAAAGCTCATTTATCAGATGTCCTGGAAGTAGTTTCTTCTAACTTGGGACTCCAGGGCAATTGCGCATACACAACTTTAAAAGTGAGCAAGTTCTTCTATCTAAATTACAGGATGTTTATATTGTGACAAGCATGTAGATGAATGCTGCTTTAAGCAATATTAACACATACATAAGTTCCTTTAATCCTCATACCAGCATACTGTAGCCAATTGTAAAACTCAGTAACTTTGGCATTAGTAAGTCTTTTCCAGTAAGTGACCCATCATTTTAAAGCTTACAATGTGGAAAATAAGAATAAAATATCAGTCATTTTTTATTTTAGTCACTGATGCTGGATTTGGGATGGCTAGCCACATATGTATTGTATATGCTTGATTATGGTAACTAGATTATGTCAATTAAATTATGGAATATACAATTTTCTGAAATTAATAGTAGAACTGTTTTATTTCATTAAATCACTCAAGACCAAGATGGTTAACATTTCTGTGTTTTTTTATTAACATTTCAAAAATAAAATAACATATTTCTATTCCATACAATGTTTAGATTTTATAAACATTTTTGGTATCAACAAAAAAATCAACATGTAACTGGATGGAAGGAAGACCATGTATAACCTTGTTGACATTTGAACATTAATGGCCTCTCATGATGCTCAGTTCAACCAACCATGAATCAAGATCTACTTGAAGATTGTCCAATTAAGATATATGTGACTGGCCGACTGTGGCAAAACAAGCCGTTTGTAGATACTGCATGAATTATTCTTTAAAACACTTGTTTATTTAATGGCAATTGGATGATTAGTTATCAATATTTACTTCATTTGATATCAGCGGTGTAGGTTTAAAAAATAAAAGCTTCTAATATTCAAAAATCAAGAGTTTATTATTAAGATTTGTATTTTAAAAATAATTTTAATATACTTTTCAGCTAGATTTTGTGATTGATATTTTGCAGAAATAATGTTCTATAAAATGCAAAAACATGAATATGTTAAAAATTCTGATTCTCAAAAGTTTTGTGTACTTGTGGGAAATTAGGAATTGCAACAATTTGCGGGTTTTGCCAGAGCCAGTTACATATTTGAAAAACAAAAAAACTCTTTGGTCGACTTTGGTTTCCTTTTGATGCCCACCTCCTATTTATTGTTCTTATTCTCATTGAAACCACCTCAGAAAAAAGGAGCCCATCCAATGTACATTTGGCATAGATTTAATTCATCAGTTGCTTCTTGTATCAAATGATGAACATGCCCTTGTATTGATAAAGGGAGACCATGTTTCTTCTTCTTGTTCTTTAGTATTCCCTGCAACCTCAATTCAATGTCAGTGACATGAGTCACAGCCTACAGAAAGAAACACGAATATGCAAATAAACACTATTTGATAAGGTTGAAGGTTATACATTAGCCAATGAGGGGAGCAGTATTGTAAGAGTAAATTTGGAAAGTATTTTAGACCTGAATGTGAAATTGCAGTCAATTTACAAATTAAAAAGTGGCATTTTTAAAGGAAACTGAGGATCATAGTGTGGGAAAGTTAGAAATTACTGGTACACTATGACATTATTAATCTAACTTATGTCCAGTGATTAATAAAGGAGAAAGTGATAATTTGTGTTTTACTTGACTAGAAGTATCTCAGGCACAATTTACATTAAGTTGATGGGGATTAAATGCTAATAGTATTAGTATCTTACCTTTTCATTATTAATTTCTCCGGTTTCATTATGTGTTGCAACACGTCCACGACTTGGCTTACTCCATTCTACTAAGGGGTCATAAATGAATGCCTTCAAGACACTAGAAACAAAAAATCGTTATAAAATGGATGGATGTTTTGTTTATAGACTATATATCCTGTTACTTTAATACTCAGCCTGTGTATTGGTGACCAACTCTACCTTTAGGTTTTTTAAAGCATCATGGGATATGATTTGCATGGTATGTGCTATCTATGTACGATCATTTTATGCTAATTATCTAGCTTTTGAAAAGCATCCTAGAATATACAGTATTATACTTTGAGAACAGCTAAGCAAATAGTAAATCATAATAATATAGCAACTTATACAGCGCCTTTTGCCAAAGGATGCAAGGCGCTTAAAAATACAACACTAGTGTCTATTTCGTGAATACTAACCTGGATGAACAGACTAATTGCCTTTGTTCCCGAAACGGAAACTTAAAAATAGGAAAGTCCGACCCAGGGTGCCACGTATGAACCGTCTCACTAACAATAATCCTAATTTTCTATTTGACGTGTTGCGAATAAGGAACTCCCATTCTGTGCTTTTGTACTTGTGCTGCTATGCATATATGTATAGAAGACTGTATCTTGGATTTAATTATTTATTTTATACAAGAAGATTGGTTTACTATCGGATTATTCTAGAGTTTGGAACAACATATTCTTGTATGAGTAGTCTAGGATATCGTTCGCTATGTCTGCTTTGGAAGTAGTGGTCTGCATGTGGGGACCCAAACCAAGTGTGAAGTTGAACAAGCACTTGGAGTGCCCTTCTTGCAGCAAGCGAGCTTTACTCACGCTGGCCCCCTACGAAATTTGCAGCAGCCCTTGATTGGGCATCCCAGGCTGCTCCTCATTCAATTTATGTAATCTAGGCTGATAGACAATAAATTCAAATCATATTACAGTATATAATACAATTTTACCACCTGAATATAAATAACCCTGATAAGTTGCTTACCTCATAAGGGGATCCCTCTGGTCCCTCATCACTTGCATGGTAGCTTCACATGCTTTTCGGAATACACCCTCATACCCCATTGGACCCATAGCATCCACCATATTGTGGGTCAGACGGAAAGGCACAAGCTCTGGACAATCAAATGTTTCACCCTGAAACAAAAATCATGTGTACATCTAAGCAAGTCATAACAGAAACTTGAGTAAACTGGATAATATGTTTTGGGTGGCCAAAACCACTAATCCCCTGTCTATCAAACCCCAGCAATGCTGTTATTTGATGGCACATCATAATTCTTAGAGTATGGAGGGTTTGCCCTAAAATATCCATGTTTTTGAATTGAACTTACCAAACAATGAAAGGTAACCTCAGAATTACCATAATTCTATCACAAGTAATCACTTAAAATTAAGAAGTAAATTGTTTTGTTAAGTAAGATAGAAGGGTGATTCCTTACTTTGTTGAAGAGGCAGTTAAAGTCTACATGAACACAGTCGCCTGTTGTGGAGTCAAGTAGAATGTTCTCTCCATGGCGATCACCTAGGCCTAGGATATAGCCCACCATTGACATAGTAGCACAAGTCCTGGAGTAGGCCAGCCTTGCTACATACCTACAATGTGAAAACAAAATATAATAATTAGCTACCCTAGTCCTTTAAATCAATAGTAGAAAAAGATACAGTATAGACACCTGTAAGGACAGTGTCAAGAAATTAAATATCATTTGATATCTGATATTTTAGTTTAAATCTTATCTATTTAAAAAAATTCTAAAATATATTACCATGAAGTCGGATCTGGGAAAGTCCTTAGGAACCAATCCCGGAAGACAGGAGGGTGTCGTGGTAACAGTTTCTGACGGAATACATTCAGCTTAATCCTGTAAAAACAATAACACTATGAAATGACCTGCATTAGCAAAATCAACATCAACACAATAATGTGTATGATAATCACTGCTGAGCCTACATAGTTCAAATAAGAGAAAGGAAATACTAATAATCTGACTTACTCTATTGGTGAGTTTTGTGGCACTATCATGGACCGGATTTCTTTCCCACTGGTGGACATATTTTTCTCCCTGGAGAAAATTGAAAGTCAATATATCAACAAAAAGTTTGACTGTTCATCCCATAGAGCTATTAAACAACTAGAGTGCTGAAAAGATGGCGAAGCAATGCAGAATTATGTATGTGTACCCTCCAACATAGCCGTCGTAGTAAAGCGCCACCTTCAGGCTTAGTATATATGTTATTACAATAAATAAGCCTTCTGACTATTATTTCATTAATGATAATGAGTAATGGTAATAACAAATTATTAAACTATCGTAGCCAAAACGAGGCCAAGTGGAGCATCTCATTCAAAAATAAAGTACCAAGGAATGAAAATTAAAATCGTGTACATTACACCCACAACGCTCGAGTTTCAAACATACGGGTAACTGGCTGTACTAAACTTTCTGTGTAAATTGAGGGCGCAATTGCAAATGATGGTGCTTAGGCGAAATTTGATTGGCTAAATCTATGGCAGCCATCTTGAATGGTACACACACACACACACAGCTCTGCATATTTCGAACATCGAATACATTGCAGTTAGCGCTCTAGTATTCTTATTATATCTCTATGGTTCATCCTCAAAACAAACTTATTCAGCATGATTAATAATCCCTTACAGAAATGTCCTTTACTTGAGTTTAACATTTACTTTTTACAAATTCGACCAACAAACTCATATATAAATAAATTAAATAATAATATAGGAATTTATATTATGTTTTTTGCCAAAACCTATAGGTAAAAAAAACACCAAGTGTGCATAGTATGTGGGGCTATTACACTAATGAAAGATTGCAAATCATTCCCACCAAAAACATTCATGTTTTAAATAGTTTACAGCATTAAAAATGATGTGCCTAATCTACCTGTATATTTTGTTAAGGATGTGTCTAAGTCCAGTAGTGTTTGATATCCATTCAATAAGGCCACACTCTTCATTCAAAGGAACAACAGCCTGATTTAAAAATGAAACTCTCAATTAATTAATTAATCAATTATAAAACAGAAAGAAGAATAATATAACTTATACATAATTATTGATTAAAAGCAAAAATAAAATAAAATTAGTCAGATTTTATAATCAATTCTTAGCTAAATTTTAAAACTTTTAGTTTTATACAGTGTGTAATTTGGTTAGGCATCATATTGAACACTAATTTAACATGGCCATTGATCCTGGTATTGTAAGGTACAAACATTAACAATATCTACAGTAATTAGTATAGATAACATTACACAGTTCAGTCAGTTTCATTGTAATAGCAATGAACAATGTTAACTTACGTATGTCCTAATATGGAGTTGCCTTCGCCGTGACTCTGCATCTTTGTGGAGACACTTGTTTACAATCGCATTGAACTCCATCAATCGGCAATCCTTTCGAAGATCATCCTTAAGAAAAATGATGTTTGAAGGTTAAAATAAATATATTATCTTTAACAACAAAATACATGCGCATCTGTATAAGCAATCCCAACAATGATGTACACTTTCCCATTATTTTCTTATTTGTAGAACAAAGAATGATTATAATTCCACATTTGGTTTGCACAAAACGAGGTATATATATCCAATAATACTTCATCAATCAATAATACCTTTGGTTTAATACACTTCTACTGTACACTACTACCCTAGCAATCCAACCATACCTTTGGTTTGCACATCATGAGGTAGAATCTCCCATCACTCCCCTTGATTGCTATCTTCTTAGGTTTCATCAAGGATGGTAAAACTTCAACCTGAGTGGGAAAAAACAATGACTGACTGAATGATGAATGGATTCAAGGGAAATACATTTTGATTTTAAAAAGTCTTGGTGTTTGTTGTCATGGTTACTTGTAATATAACCAGTGGCCTAAACTCATCATAAGCTAGAATTTTATTTCTATGGATACATATCTTATCCAATAAACAAAAGGAGTAAAGTATAAAGACATCAGGAATATATAACAATCTTACCACATCATCAAATCCATTGATGTAAATCTGTGACCCAGGGAAGGGGTCATGGTGTTGATATGCCCCTGGACTACTTGGCAAGGTCACATTCATAGCAGCCTGTAGAGGGATGATGATATTGCTGAAATTGGGATCGTCCACAAGTCGCTTCAGGGAGCGGAACTCTGAATTGATGCTCATTGTCATGGAGCGGTCTGTCGGCTGCTTGTTACATAACTCAAGCAGACGATCAGACAACTTTGTGGCATCCTTATAAAATAAAAGATTTGAATTAAAATACACTGTATTGGTTTTATTTTAAATTGACATAAAGAAAATTATATTGGTATGGTGAAACATAAAACAATAAGAAATTATATTAAAACACTATTAGAACAGGTCTATTAAGGGGAAAAAGTTCATTCAATCAGTCTTTCATCTATGATTCTACAATCCCTTCCTAAATTGTTTCAAAACATAGCAAAGGAAAATAAACTTTGTCTCAAAGCTCAACTGCTAAATCGACCAAACAGTCATCAGAGGGTCTTGGGTTCGAATCCCAAAGTGGAATACTTTTTTACAAATGTGTATTTAATCTGCTAAGGAGCATGCAACTTACTGAGATGAATTTCTTCATGTGTTTGTTAAGACTTCTAGCTCGTTCAAAAATCTCTTGGCATCTTTGTTGCCTGACTGGATGAGTTGACTGGGAAAGATGAAAGAAAAATGGCAGCAAGTTCAAAGAACAACATATAGAATGCATATGTAAAATATTGTCAATTTTAAGTAATTTTTTGCTTATAATTTTGTCACAGAATCACAAATTATATCATACACAATCATATTTCAGTATTTTATATTTTATACTTAATAGCTCAGCTTTTGTGTCATAGCTATACTTTTGACTTTAATAATTCACCTTTCAACTGAATATCTTACCTTTGACACTGCCATTGACATCCAAACTGCCTGCTGAGGGTATGCTACTAAAACCTTTGCAATTATCTCCTACAAAAAACAATGAAAAAATACAGTTAGAGTTATTAAGTGTTGCAGGTAAGAATTTTTAATCAAGACACTGATTACATTGTCCATTTTCATAGATATAAATTGGAGCATGGTAAGATATGAAACTTAATGTTCAATTAGAAACCTCTTGCTAGTTGACATAAATATGTAAATACAGTTATGTGGCACATCAAAGCCACTAAAGGAAACATAGTTCAGGATACTGAAATTTGCAACTGAAACTGAAAGATGAATGTTGGCTCAAAAATTAATGTTGAAAAAAAGGATGTACGAGAGTAAGCAATTGATAGCCCTACTTGTGTATATTGCTCTGTAGATTATAGCCTGGCAATTACTCTGCAATATTTATGTTAGCATTTGGGCAATCAATTGTAGAGCCTATTACAGTAATATTATACTTAAGGTCAACTCACTTTCAGACGCTGGAAGACATCCGGATGAGAGTGACAGATACGCGAGATGAGCTGGGAAAATGCCGTCAGGAATTGATATGGCTTCAACACACCTGTCAAGTCAGATATAATCTGAAGCCAACAAGATATACAATTTAAGTCAATACAGCAATGCAGTCTCTCTATATATAATCTTATAGGTATCGTATGGAATAATACATGCATCTTATCAAAATTTTATAGGTTTCTTGAAATCTTAAGTATAGGATTCCATAACAGAAAGGCACTTCAGTTCAGTGGTATTCATTGTGCTTTTTAACCTTAAGGTTGGGGGCTTCAAGTACACAATGAATATTTTTAGCCAACCATCTAATGCATTACTGATACTGTAGGCTAAATTGGCTAACATTGTTTTAGTCTTAAGTGCAAGAATTTTGTTGAGTAAAGTAAAGAAAGTAATGCTATATCTAGTAGTTTCTTGGGGAATATTAGGATGAAAGCAAATATAATTGTTAACACATAGGAATTCTATACACTCAATCAAAATTATTATTATCATTATTGTTATTAGAACATGATATAATCTGTATAGTTGTTACCCCATTGAGTTTGCCAAGGATAACTTTGAGTGTTTTATTTCGCTCTTGTTCAGCAGTCGATGCACCATAGTTCAACCATAAGGTTAGCAGACGAGGCATTGATTGATAGATGTACTGGTTATCATAACGTAGTGACTGACCAAAGTAATTGACAACTTGCAGGATAAACTCACTAAAAACAAAATCAAACAAACTATTAGCTGTAGCAATATTTGATAAAAATTTAAATAAAATTTCAAATACAATATATGTCTAGTGTGAGATAACATACTTATTATAACAGACTATAGGAAAATTCCCGCCGATTAATATATTTTAAATGAATGGTGCTGGGTGTATCTATTTTTATAGAAGTCTTATGAAGATAAGCCTATCTGAGAGTTACTCTAGATTGACTGAGATCAGGATATACCTCCAACTTTAAATTGAACAAAGATTGAAATAATATGTTAACTATAGACACAATGTGTACATAGACCAGCCTAAAATTGAAAAAATGTTTTAATTTAAAAATATGCTTAATGAATGTAAAACATAAGGACAATCTCACTTTATACAAAAAACAAACAATTGTTGGTGGTCATTGTGGTACTGGTTAGATATACGGAAACATCTAATAAGCTTAAAACCAACAAAAAATTGTCATCAATTAACAAGTAAAGTATTAATTTAATATTAAAGGGGGTTTTTTCCTCAATTTTTTTTGGGTGGAATATCTTTAAGCATGAGAAAATATCACACAATGACTTGATATATTTATTCTATGATTTATGATGACTTATGATTTGTATTCATCTCATGAAAATTCCAAGTCTATCTTACCCAGCCCTTTCTGGTCTGTCTGTCACACTCAGCATGAGTCTGTCGTAGTATTTAGCGAGGTAGAAGTGACTATCCTCCCATTCTGGGTTCACCTCGACCACATCTTTATATTGCTTCATCACTGAGTTGCTCTCAAAATTTGCTGTGTCCTCCATGAGGCGTCCAACCATTAACAATGCCTGAAAAACATTAAGAAAGAAAATACTTTATTTGTAGGCTCATATCAAACTATTAATGGAAATCTAAGCCTAGAAAACACTGCAAATGAAAAATCTGTACTTATTGATTTTTTAAAATTATTCTACTTATAGCAGTAATGCTCAAAATTGCAAGATTCCTAAACAGAAATATTGTTAAGATACGAAAAAAACACAGTATAAAATTGATTTAAATGCATTGAGGAAAATGCATTTGAAAGTTAAAGTAGCAATAATATAATACTTTTACTTTACCTTAGCATGTGCTAATCTTTTTGATGCAGCTTCTTCCCGGGGTAGACTGTCATATCTACTATTGGAGAAATGCTCTGACACACCCTTCTGGAGACTTATCAGTGCTTCGTGGCTATCACCCTAAGAAAGTGACAGAACTTCATTCTGGAGTATTTTTTTCCCATGCAGTTTTATATTTTATGTACACATATACATATGTACAGTACATGTCTTATTTTACAACTAGTACCTCACTAATATTACTTAAATGGCAAGCCTTCTGTTTTAGAATGTATGAAATAAACATTTTTAAGTAAATCATATAATAATTTCAAAAAGACGATAAAAGGAGTTCTTATTACATATTGATAGAATAATATATTATGGAACTGCCTTTAATACAAATGTAAAGTGATATGTCAAAAATTCATAATAAGCACATGCATTTATTATATAAATTCTTGTAATTCTAAAACAGTATGCATTAAATATCAATACTGTAATGCTCACCTTACTCCAAAGCCACTTGGCCTTCTCAATACACAGCTCCGGTATTGAAAACAGGTTGACATTTAGAAGAGAGTTGAATGCAGTTTGCAAATGTCCAGCCCTGCAAATAACCAAAATGCACATTTAACATGTTCGTTATCTATCTACACAAATCTTCTAGTGGTTAAAAATTACCACAAGCCAAAAATAACACATTCGGGACATACAATTTTGTAAAAGGCAATTTTAAGAGCAGAAAGTGGAAATCTGACTTACTTTCTCGCAACCTTAGCACTTTGCAACCAGCAGTGCCCAACAACTTTGTTCTTACTGGGATCTTGTCCACTGGAAGAGAAAAAATAACAAATGATGATTTTTAAGAAATACTAAACATAACAATGGCGGTGGTTTGAAAATGGAAGCTTTAATTGGTTGCTCACTCACTCATAGGTCAAGTTATGGAGAACACGCCTCAGACAAAGAATCGGCTCCTGAGTTCTGAATGAGGGCTGAGTCATCTTCAGACGGTTTTCCCAATCGCTGAGGAGCTCATTTTTATACTTCAAGGTGCTGTTTGAGGAATTGGTAGCCTGAAAACCCATCAATGCTCGCGCACACTGCTCAACTTCAGACAACATGTGCAGGCTGTGAAAAAAAGCATAATTTGTCATTGAAATTACACACATCAATCAGATGCAGAATACGACTTGCGAGTGGACATAGCGAACTATATCCTATACTACAAATAAAAGATAAAGGATATGTCGTTTCAAATTCTTCTTCAATAACAATAATCTAAGAAAATCTTTAGGTAGAAAAAAAACTTTTTGATATATATTCCAAAAAGATAATCTTAAAAATGCATGTGGCGTAGATAGTACAACCTTTTAGCACAAAAGAGGAGCTCCTTATTCACAAAACGTTGAATAAGAAATGAGGACTAATGTTAGGAAGACATTTCGTACATGGGGCCCTGGGAACAGACTGTTCTAGTTTATTCATTATAGGGTGTTTCATTTTGGGTACAAAGGCAATTGGTTGGTTATCCAGCTAAGTATTCATAAAATAGACTTAAATTTTACATTGACAGGTTATACCAGTTTTTATGACAATGTCTACTATCTACTCAAGGATATGGATAATGTCATAATTAACTGTGACTGAAAGACAGTGACCTGCCAGTCTTCTCATAAACAAAATATCAGAAGACAAACATCATAATCAGCACAATTTTCAGTGATTTAGCCAATCAACCGATCATAATTTGGCTTAGAAAATGAATAATATTCCATAATATATTATAACTATATTAAGATGTGTTTACTCACCGTACGATGTATTCATAGCCCCTGGTGTAGGATCCTTGTTCCATGCTGGCAGCTGACAAAGGACCCATCTGCTCACTACGTACAATCTGTAACTGCTTGAAAAACCCCTCTTGATCCTAAAGACAGGTTAATACAAAATTAATTCAGTGAAAGAACACTTGGATGCCCACAAAAGCACAAGACCTCCAGTGGGTCCAAATTGACCACTTGATCCTCAGAACAGTGATTTTGTTTAGAAACAATTTCATAATTAAAACTTGATATTTACCAGTTTCTTAGCAGCTAAGAGAACTCTTCCAAGTCCAACTTTCCAATCAATAGATTTTTCACTCTCATTCTGCAAGTGGCTTTCTAGTGTGTCCCACTTTGCAAGTTTCCAACAAGCATCAATGCGATACGAACCAAGTTGAGATTTCCATTCAGGTCTATTAATGAATATCAAAAAGTTTGTTTAGAGTGTTTTAAGATGAATGTACTATACGTGTTGGATTGTAATTATCATTGGACTCACCTCTCTTCTAAAATGCTGTTGACAAGATAGAGGGCGATATTTAGTTGGCCAACATCCATCATCGTGCGGATTGATCCTTTATGATGAGACACATCATCAGGCTCAAGTTGTATAGCTCGTTCATAGCAAGCAGAAGCATCACGCAGCTGGCCTGCAAAATGATAAAAAAACACAGAAAAAATGAATAATAATGTAGAAAAAAGAATAAACATCATTAAACCTTCAGACTGCAAAGGCCATATAATGTAACATTCTAATGAAAACATTTCTAGCAGAAATGGGCTTTGGTAGATGTCTGGCAGGCAGCATAACAGTATAAGATTTAACTTTAGAATACATGTTTGGATCATTACTCAGCCAGCCACTGCTGATCTTGCTTGGATCATTGCAGTGGCGTATCTAGGGGGGTGCACACCCCTCCAAAAATTACTAGCGTTGCCCTAGCCCTCCCAGAGACAAAAATCACTTGCAGGTAGTTAAAAATCACCTAAAATTAACGTATTTTGAGAATTAGCACAAATCATCTACTTCACCTTTGTGCTCCCTATCAGCACCCCCATTTCAAGACTTCTAGATACACCACTGGATCCATGGGATATTTTACTACAATAAACAATGGATGTTTAATAAGCAACTACACTAATTGAACTGCACTAATCAACTCCTGTTAAAGTCTGTGTAGGTGTTATGTAGCTGATATTTTAAGTTTGTAAAAATAATTGCCACTTACATAAGACTGGTATGCTATTGGCAATTCTTATCTTGCTTAATTATTCTACAAATCAAGTCATAACAAATTTAAGCTCACCTATGCTTTCATGATCAAAGATCTGTTCACGTAGGCTTGGCTCCCCTTTGCGAACTGCCGAAACTCCAGTCACTCCGTCAGGCTCATCCATTGCTATGTAAATTTTCTATATAAAAGGAAAAAATAGTTAGGATTTTACTCAATGTTTAAATGTACTCATTTACATGTTGCACATGATTTTTGAGATGAGCTACTAGGACAAGAGCCTCCAACAATGAAGTTTACTCCCACTCTCAGAGAAAAATAATGTTAAAATCTACTGAAGAATAAAAATATAATGTAAAATGTAATTTGAGAGAAAAAAAAATAGTGTGATAAATTTAGTCTACTGACTTTTTTTTGCTATCAGCATCATGAAAAGAGGAAAGACAATTGTATCATTAAAAATATTTAATAAAATATCACTGATATCAAATTGTTGATTTTCTACATGATTTGAACCCAGAACCATAGAATTGGAAGGCAACCAACTTAACCACCAATCCATGGCTCCAATCAACTACTTTAATAATATAAATTATACTCACTTGCAAGAACCCTAAATGAGGCTCAATATCCTGCTTATGTATGAAGGACTCAAGGTGCATCAGAGCTCTTGTGTATGCTCTGCAGTGGAAGGATGCCTTAGCCAGCACACTCTGAGGGATCTGCTCTAAGAACTGACTGATGCATCTGTATTCATCATCGACTTCCTGTAGTGCTCCTTTAGAATAAAAAAAACCCCCAAAATCTCAAAAGAATTATTCTTCAATTCAAATCAAATTAATATAAAGAAAAATGGTTGACTTATAGAGCGCATATTGTTGTGACCTGTATGCCCTTAACATGAAAACAAAAAAAACTTTACCACTTTGAGCCATTCTGTGATTTCTGGACATAGTCAGCATGTGAATTTTATGTCCTTGCCATTGTGTAAGATGATCAAGAACGGAGAAGATAGTCTGCGCACTCATCTGGCAAAAGTCGTTGATGTGCTGGTCGTCCATTTTCTCAGCATGTGCCAGTACTGCTTGAATCTCAGCACAAATCTAAAATTGGAAATCAAAATAATTGGGTCAATAGCACTCTGAAGAGAAGGCTAGGCCTGGCAAGTCTGTCCTATGACCCTGGCTGGGACCACCTGGTTTCTAGCCTGCATTAAGTCAATTCAAGCACTTATGCCATTACATGCATAGGAATATCTGCCACTGAGACTACATTTTAGTTAAATTTCTTGAACTGTGGCAGCTATTACAAATGTTAGCTTACTACATTAATGTTGTCAAAGACATAAGATTATATGTTACATGTGAACAACAGTTACCTCCTCTCTATCCTGATCATGAACACTCAGCAATGCATGCAGAAGAATATGAGGAAGGAGAAACAGAGCACATTTGATATCGTGTTTGATGATCATACTACAAGAACGAAACACCTTGGAAGGTTTATCTTGTTTCACCTATATGAAAAAACAGGAAAACTATATATTTAATCAATGTTACATACAGTGCATCTTGGCATACCTACAAACAAGCTGTTTAGACAGAGTACCTCATGAGGACAGATGGAAAATACTAAAGGTGTATTTTACACAACAGTGGTGAAATATACTGATTCATTGGTTGATTTATACATGTTTAAGCAGACTAATGAATTAATATCATACCTTGCTCACTAGATATCCAGTCCATGTACAAACCCATTCCTTGTAGGTCTTGCCTCTCCTACTGCGGTAGATGGGTTTAGTGAGGCTAGCCCATGTAGACTGACGAGAAGGCACATACTTGGTGTGCAGCAATGGGAGCAAGATCTCTTGGATGTGCTCAGGAAACATTTTCCATAGCTTACCTCCAGGGCTAGGGAAACAAAATTATTAAACAAGATTACAAAAAACTTGACAAGCAAGCTATCACTGTTCATAAGACAAGAAATTATAGCAGCCCATTAGAAACTATTAATGGTAGAGCTATCTTCTGCCTTACATATCTTCCCTCTCCTCTCCCTTCCCCTTAAAACAACAATATTTAAAGCTCATCATCTTTACTTGTCTATCTTTGACTCATGGCAATTGTAGATCTGAAGAAGCTCCTGAATAGCATAGGCTGAGCAGTCTTGGGCCCTTGTATCCTCTGCTGCAAGGAAGGCTCTAGCTAGCTCACTTATCAGCTTGAATGCAAAGTTGTTGTCATTGACATCAGCCTAGGAATAGAAATTGATATAATTTAAGAATTTCATATCTTGGATATAAATTTGAACTTCCATAGAGTATAGGCATATTATTTCTAGATAGATAAAAGAATTGCAAGTGCATTAATGGAAGAATATGTACCTCAAACTTTGAACTCCTTCCCTTTTTCCTATCAATATTAAGATCCAATCGACCAGGATCAATTGCACCAAGTTCCCCAAGACATTCTCCGTACAGACTACGAGTGGTTTTGTCTGAATCCCGACACCCTGACAACATCTGAACAAAAGAATATATTTCAGGTATAAGATCCTCACTTTTAAAGTACAATATTTTTGCTCTACTATACCAAATAAAGTTTAATTTATTGTTATAATTTTAAGATCATAATGGAAAACTTACTACAGATACTAGTTCGGAAACAATTGGGTCTACTGTTTCCCTCCCCATTACAAACTCATGAAAAGCAGCCTGAAAACAATCACAAAAGTTAATTAAAAATTACAATCTAAGTTTGTAAGTAAACCATACAACAAAGAATATTTCATAAACTTCTTGAAATCAACACAAATTCGTAATCCAAGGAATAGAAAATATAAATTGAAGCTTTTTCTTCTAAACTTCTTCCAAGAAAGTAACAATTTCTTGATAAAAAATTTTTAATCCTTTATTAGTCACAAAGGGGAGCTCTAATGTCAAACACAGTCGAATAGGGAATGAGGACAATTGTTAAGGAGATAGTTCATACGTGGCACCCTGTGTGGGACTGATCTATTTTTAAATTTTTTTTTCGAAGGGGTGTTCCGTTTTCGGGAACAATGGAAATTAGTTGGTTTATTCAGGTAAGTATTTCAAAAAAATTTAAGTTTGCAAGTAAAATATATTGCATTTGAATCTGTAATTTAGTCTTTTACAAAATGGAATGTTAAGCAACTTCAGAATATAAATTTAGTTATTAAAAAATAAGATATACTAAAAATGATAGTCTGATCAACTGTAGTAACAAAACAAAATTGCACCTGATTGTCATGCAGCAAATCTCGAAGTTTAGAAAGAGCATGCACCCGGACATCTATACTCTCATGAGTGATGCCTTTGATGGAGCGACTCAGCTGGGTCCTCAAGTCTGTCTGACTTTTAGGATCATCGGTGTGTTCCTGGAGAACTTTTTGAACTTCCTGAAGCTCAGAAATTTCTGGCATGAAGTAGAGCTCATAAAAATGGCAGCTCAGAACTTGTCTAAGGGTCAAAAACAGAAAGATGTTAACAATTATAAAGCAATGAAATTATATATAATTTTCCTACCTAACATAAAGAATTAATACCTATGATCTATCCAGTCAGATGTTGGAAATATTCCTAGTTATGCATGTAATGAGCACTACTAATTTCATTCCAAATTATTCACCTCCTACCAGATACCTGATACCCATTTTTACTCCTGGGTGAAGCAAGGCAAATGTAGATAAAATGTATTGCCCAAGAACATAAGCAGTGTGACAGGCATCAGTCTCGACTTCCGACGTACTGATTGAAAGTGCAACGCCTTACATGCTTCGCCACAGGCTTCTACAACTATGAGCTTTAGTGGGTTGGATATAAATAATATTAAATACATAAACATTTGGTTCTACAGTACAGGAATTAGAAAAATGGTTTTTTACCTGTTTTCGACAATAAGATAATGGTAGATACTCGCAACCTGCTCTGGAAGTTGATGTAACAGAGGGAGTAATGTAATGACAATTTGGCTCAACATCTGGCCTAGCGATGACAGATCAACACTGGGGAAAAATGTTAAATAACAATTATATTCTAAAATGAGTTTGAATAATATCTAAAACAAAGATAATAAAGAAGATAGATCGTAGTTGAACAAAATAAGTGTTAAAATTACCCTTACCTTCTCACAAAGCAATCCCAGGCTCTGCAACTTAGTACGGGAAACCCCTGTTCTTTAAATTGTAGGCTGATCTTTAGGGTAGTCATTACCTTAACCCTCACTGTTGTTATGTGCTTTGCCCCCATTAGCTTCATAATAGAAACAAGACTTTCTAAGGCCTAGTGAGACAGAAAATAAAACCAGTACAGATTTAGCTTAAAATTTTAACTACTGTTATTGGGGTAATATATAATCGGTAATTCTGTTTAAAAAAGCACACAATTTTAAGAACAACTTACCAGTTTCTTATCTTCAAGAGCGATGCTGTTAGTCAAAAGCTGTGAATCAAAGAATGCTAGAATTCCAAGTAATCGTGGTTGCAAAAAGTCAGCCATATTTTCAGCCTCAGTGATAGGCTTAGGCCCTCTGTAGTTTTCATCCTTAGAGGCTAGCATGACCAAGCCATTAAAGACCTGCAAGAAGTTCTGACCAAGGTACAAGAGAAGCTGGTTGTGCAGGCTCTGGTAATCCATGCGTATCAACCGGCCTAGTTCTACATCTGTCTCACTCTGTAAAATAATATGTCAACTGTTTGGCAGATATTCAAAAAGAAATGGGTATAATATTAAATATAAATAACCATATGTAGTGGGTGAACCAAGTGGTATTTTAGGATTGGGGAATTAATTAATCAGAAAGAATTTCTTGGTTAACAGTGATTTAATACCTCAATGTAGCGAAGAGATGTCTCCAATTCAGCTTTGATGCACGTCCTTACAAGAAATGAAAATATGTACTTGAAATTTTCAACCAACATTTCCCTGTGTCTCTGAAGATGTCAAACATATGAGAAGATTATAAGAGGAATAATGGGGTGATAATGGAAGACTGGAATAAATGAAGTAGCTAGGCTGCTTAAGAAAAGTTAATAAGGCATACAGCAAGTAAATATTTAGTCTGATTTGATTCAAATAGATCTGGCAAACAATGCATCAGCATTATTCATACAGAAAAAATAAATATATAAAAGGAGTAGAACAGGAGAATTCTTAAAACTGATTAAAGGAGAAAGTAATGAAAGACTGGGTAAGCTACACTATCTCAAGAAATGGATAGCTGAGGGAAGAGCAAAGAAAGTCATTGGCCTAGAATGAATAAGCAAGAATAGACAAAAGGCTACATCCCTTTTATGTAAGCTAAAGGCAAGATACCAAGAAACATATAGGGGTATTAGATTATCTGATATTCACCTTTTTCAGTGTCTTTGCAATTAATCGCAGTACAGAGGAAGCTGCTGGTGTGGCCTTGCTTACAATATGTGGCAATGTGAACTTCAACGAGCTCTGAAAATAAACAATCATTTCTATACTATTTCTACCGAAATTATTCTATAAAAAATTATAGTATATATCATATATACTGGATCTATAAAGAATTAACACACATCTACTTCGTAATGCACATCTCTGCCTACTCAGGTTAAAAAAATTTTCTCACTCACTGTAGTTAACCTCATTATCTCAGTAATCTCATTTCAGTTGCAAACAATATATTACAGTACTGTTCATTCATATTAGTATCAATGAAATTATACAGTATTTATATAATAATTATATTTAAATATATAGAAAAATGGACTCTTACCTCCAGAAAGAAATTGACATCCTTGAACTGGAACACCCTGGAGACTTCTGAGATTATGGAGAGGTTGTCTTTCTGACTGTCATTGATTGAATGCGCCTCATGCAATGCTTCAATCAGGAACTTACACACGGAATGCTTAAACTTTACGTACAAAGCTGCCATTGTCAAACCCTTTGCTTTTGCTAACTCTTCAAGCTGTGAAAAAATGTTTTCTCTTTCAATTACCTAATCTTTCATTATTTGACTACATTTTGGTACTCTATAAACACACAAAGAATTGCAGTGTTGCTTATCCCACTTTGGAGGTGTTAGTGCAGCATCTTTTCAAGAGAGGTGCTCATTTGAGAGTGGCAATTATTACAATTTTGTATTAAAATGGTGTCAATATTATATAGGCATATTTGACTTCTTTGAACAAATGTGCCACATTATTTCAAAATCATGAAGCTATATCAATAGTGAAATTACTTGATTGCAGCAAATTAACAAACATGAAACAAAACACAGTGGAAATTGATTTAGGTATAAAGTACCTGGATGAAAGCTGTAGCTTTGACGAGTGGAGCAGACGATAACAGGCTTTCAAGAAGACTAAAAACAGCAACCAATAAAAGCTCACCTTCTGCCACTCTACAAAAAAAATTCATATCAAATTCACAAAATAACTTTTGAAATGAAAATACATAATATAATATATTTCTATGATTTATTGATTAATTCCAACAAATTATTTTGTTGTCTGTACCTTCCAAGATGGCCGATTGTTAGTACAACTGTCTCTTGTTTTCTACTGTTCCCTGATGACTTAGCTGATAAGAATGCCGTCTTAAGCTTTGTTACGATAGATTTGATGTTTTCTTTGTTGATGGAGCCATTGTCATCAACAAGGCACTGTACAGTTTTACTGTAAAAGGACAGGCAAAAAATAATAATAATAATCATAATAATAATAATAATAATAATAAATGTGGTATACGGTTGAAAATTTCACGGTAAGGAAATTTGTTTGTGTTGTGATCAAAAGTTTAAACTTTTATTACATTCGAACACCAACACAGATGAGCTATTTTTCGAAGAATGATAATAATAATAATAATAATTATATTATAACCATTAAACAAAATAACATTATATTTTTCATTTGCTGTAAAGAGCAAGTGACAAACTATAACTGGTGCTATAAAAATTTTAAAATCTCTCTATCTATCTATCTATCTATATATTATTAATGTATAATCCACTAAACACTTGCACATTGGGCTGAATTGTAGCATGAACCACTTCCAATCCTGCCAAAAGTGCAAGCTGTGGTATCTAAGCATGACTGGCCGAGGATCTTTGGCATGTGGTTCGAAATCCTGAACACGATGTTAAAAATCTGAATGAAAGATGCTGTTCAAAATCGCCTTCCTGGACTCAATCAATCAATGTGATAATTGCAAAATTCATAAACAACACCTGAAGGCAAGCCTAACGTTGTAGTTGGTATTCTCAATGAGATCAAAGCATGCATTCAGCATATTGGACACTACTGTATTCTTGGTCTGTAGATTCAAATGCCGAAAGATTTTATCAATGTTGTCGATGAAAGCTGGAAGAGAAAGAATTAAAGTTCTATAAAAACTTTCATCAGGTATTTGGGTATTAAAATAATGTAAAAATTTAAAGGACCGTTCATTTTATTTCATTATTTTATTGATAGAAATGTGTACCTAGCTGTACATCTGTACTACCCTCAATCAATTGTAGAAAAGGAAAGATGTAGTCTGGTTCAATGGTTGCTGCCTTCAAAGTAGAGTTTTTCTGTTTGGTGGCCATCTTGGGGCACACGTCACATTGTAAATATATGTGCATATACAAGTGCTCATCAAAGCTTGCACCTGGTTTCCTGAAGCATAGAATAAAGTGCAATTAATCTTGGTTATAAAATAAAATTGTAACAATCTCAAAAAAACTAGAAATATAACTCACGCAGATGGACTTATACTGTGAAAATTTGTTTTTTACTATTATAACAGTCTATTCTTTACGCTGTTGTTATTACACTATTTATCAAAATGATTAACAATGTTCAAAATATCTGTGTTTCACTGTATTACCTTTTCTGTCTTGTTTGCCGTGCCAAAGTACAGACAAGGTTTCCGATTGATGTTGCCAACTCCTCTTTGACTTTTAGAGATGTATCTTTAACCATTATGCTGTGAATACAAAGAGATTAACCCTAAATAACTTATTCCTGCAGATTCCACAGAGGAGAAGTACAAAAAATGTGAAATACTTCAAAAATAAGATGTAATGCAGTATGATTACAACAATTTTCAACAACTTACTGAAGAAGATCCAAGACAAGGTGTCCCGAGTTAGGCCCCAAGCTGTACAGCAACCAAGGAAAGAATTTCACTCCTGCCTGTCGAACATCTTCATTATCACTAGCCTAGACAATTTGAATTTTAAAAAAAGTATGAAAAATAATCTATTAAGCAATATAATGTATTGTGTAAACAATGATGGGTTAGCATTTTCCGGTTCAAAATTAGTTGTGTTCTTAAAACCCAATTAGCTTGTCATTAGGTTAATAGTCCTACATGCATATTCATTTTTGTAGGAAAGGGTATACAGTATATTACACTATTTTGAATAGAGTAGGAATAGTTTCTCAATGTGCTGGCAAATTATCTCTCATGTCCAGACTCATGTAAATATCTGTGAAGCTTTAATGAAAGGGATTGCAACTTACATGCAAGAAAGTTATATATTTGCAATGCCAATGTCATTCTTTGAACCGTTTGTCAAAATAAATTAATGAAGCACAAGTATAGGAAAAAAATTAGGCTTCCTGGTAATGGAATTTAAAGAGTATTTCATCAGAATTTAGTTCTTAACACAAAGGATTTTCCTGCACATTTCATGTTTCAAGTATTTTCTTGGCCTTAATGTAGGTAACTTGAACTACTGGTATATATTTGTGTTGTGAAATGGCTATCTATCATGTTCTTTGTGTGGCCTTTACCAATGAATTCCTGAAGATGTGAGTCCTCCATTTGCTAGCTATCTCTCTAGGGAGCAAACTCAATCCTTGAATACATAGACATCTGTTCTGCACACCTTAAAACAAATATATAATAGCATACTTTAAATAATTCTTATCTCTTATTCTCTAATGATAAATCATATATCATAATTTATATTTTTTTATAAAATTTATTTTCATATTAGATTAGTAGACAAAATTCAGGTTAGTAATAATATGTAAAACTTCAACATACTAGTCTTCTCTGCCAGACTGGAACTCATTTCTCCAATTCCTTTGGTAGTGATCATAGCATCCTGGATCTTCAAGTCTAGCCAACTTGACTCCATCTAAGATATAATTGCAAGAAGAAAAATATAACTAAATAGTTTCTTCCACTTTCACCACTATCACAACCACCACCATTCATAATGAACATCATAATCTTCAAAATTTAAGTAGATAACAAGGGAAATACAGCCTTTTGTTAAATACCATCAAGCTACTCTAAACGTCTTCCAATAAATATCTTACCGCAAGCCAAGGTAGGGATAGAAGCCAAGCAAACTTGTATTGAATGGACGGAGAAACACACCAACAGTCTATCAAAAATAACCATATTATAAACAAAGATTGTGCAACATTTTTCACAGTCAACTGCTGATAATTACCAAAAATCATGTTTTTAAAATGTACTAACTTACCAATGATTGATAGGAGACATGTGATACTCTGAACTATGACCTTAAAGCACATTTGAATCCTGACATGGTCCTTTTCAAATGAGATTAGACTCTGCATAGTTGATTGCCATTTTTGAAAAATACGACCAAGATCACCATCTGATAACCATGTGTTAAGCCAATTTTTTCGCTGAGTTTTGTGGCTTGATAACTTTGAGAGTTTAGATGGCGTGGTCCTATTGCCTTGAAAACCAGTTTGGGTTATTCCGGTAACAGATGATGCACAACAAATGCTAGCAATTTCAATGATGCTACGAATACCCTCTAAAACCTCTTCAACCTATTGCAGGAATAAACAACAAGAATTTGTCATCAAAATCATATGTTTATTTTGGTGTGACGATAAAAATTATGGTGATGATGATGAGAATGATTAAAACATATACAAAATAAGTACTGTACTCTAATTAAACTGATATCCATGGGATATATAAGACAATTATTAATCAACATACCATTAGTCCGTCATTCTTCTCAAGTAATACTGTTAGATGTGATGAAATTTCATGAAAGACTGGCGAACAATCTTTGGCAGATATAACAAGGTTGTCCATTTGCCTTAAAAAATTAAAATTTACAAAAATATATATCATTACACCAAAAATATACAAAACCATAATGACAAAATGCCTATTTTCATATAGAACAAATGTACAAACCGTTTTTTTGGTAGTTTTTTCGGTGTATGTCCAAGAAGCCTTTCCTTGATCCTTTCATATCTTTCATCTCCACTACTGGAGCTAACATCTGTTGTCGCCGTAGTTGAGCCATCACTCTCAGAAGCAGACGTAGAAGAATGATTGAATTGAATGCTGCCACCATGGTCTTGCTTGATGGCACTAACAAGAGGTGGCACCAAAAACTGAAATGAGAAAAAATGGGATGAAGAATGTTAATCTTAAAAAAAAAAAAAATTAAGTATTTTCATGAAATGAATATTTTGAATACAGGAATTTGTTGTTTTTCCAAAAAAATTGTATTTAGCAACTGTTTGTGTTGTTTTGAGTGAAACAGTTGTATTTCATATTTTGTTACAAAGTGTATATTAAGACATGATATATCTTCTCTGATTGGCTGAATAATTGGTCTAGAGTGATGGAAGAGTTTTGTTCAAATGGGTGAGAATGATCATTGGCTAATAACAGAACTGGGTTCACATTTATTTGTTTCATGTTATTTTCTTGCTTGTTTTCTAAAAGCACAAACTTGTGAGCTGATGTAAGGAACATATACATGCTTAAAAATACAATATATCTGAAAAAATTCACAAACCTGAGTCGCTTTGGCACAGCCTATCTGCTGAATGAGGGCGCTGTTTAAGTCTTTCCTTCGTTGCTGTCTGATGTCATGAGTAGATTCGTACCCAGAAGGAACACAGGAATATACATAGTGGAGGATATGACAAACACTGTGTTTCAGTACATCTGAAATGGAAAATCACATACATCAGCAAATCATTTATTTAAAATATAACTGGTAGGAAACTAACTCTCAAGTGACAGAGTTAGACTTGCCACAAGTCTTTAATTTATTGATTTTTCCTGGTGTTAGATACTTTTGGAGAGCGCCACCACAGCTACTTATGTCGAGCTGAACTTTGATCGCAGGTAAACCCAGAAAAAGTACAGTAAGGAACATTACTGGTGCAAAGAAGTAATATGGAACGCCATTGATGCCAAAATCAATTTATTTTTTATAGTTTTCATTAAGACAAAATTTGGGACTGGAATCCAGTCTAGCAAAACATATACGTTTGAATTAAGATTAATCACACTCTTCTTTTGATGAGAAAGGCAGTTTATGTACATTATATCTGTAAAAAAAATGTCTACACCAGGCTCATGGCATTGCAGTTTCCTTGATAATCATGGTATGAACACCTAAACTAGTAATAAAGCAACCACCTAAACGAGTATAAAAGCAAGTCAAGACAAAAAAAACAAAAAAAAACTTTAAAACAAATATTGTAAAATATCATATCTGTACTGTCTCCACTCATGCTTTTAAAATGTTGGATATTGCATATAACTGTCTAAAATAATAAAAAGAACAATATGGCTGTAACATTAAATTCCATAGAGTTATAATAAGAAAACTAGCGTGCTAACTCCAATGCATTCGATGTTCTAAATATGCAGAGCTATGTGTGTGTACACAACAAGATGGTTGCCATAGATCCTGCCAATCAAAATACGCCTAAGCATCGATGGTGCCCTCAATTTACACATGAAAGTTTTGAGTACAGCTGCTGTTGAAGCTCAAGCGCTGCAGCAATGAAGCGTAGCGCGCTCAATTTCGATTTTTATTCCTCAGTACATTATTTTTAAAATCAGATACTCTACTTGGCTTCTTTTTGGCTAGGCTAGTGTAATAATTTATTAATATGATTAATAATAATGATTAATAAAATAAAATTTAGTCAGCGGTTTTTATCTATGGTTGTAATATGTATACTAAGTCTGAAGGTGGCCAATTCCTATGGCGGCCATCTTGTTTGGTACACATACACAACTCCGCCTAGTCAGCACTCTAGTTGTTTAATAGCTATAAGGTAAATTCTTACCTGTTTCACTCCTGAAAAGAGCACCCTCTACCAAGCATTCTATCAATGTTTGCATCATGAGGTCAATATTTGCTGGTGATAGACACAAGCGAGGAATATCACCTGCAACACAGAACACCTGTAGAAGACACTTGCCTAACATCTCCTCCAACTTGTTTTTATCGCTAACAAAGAAAACATAACGTAAATATCCAGAAAACCAAATGTTTATATTCATCCTTTTAACATAATTTATGTAGGCATACATCAGAAGGGTTGTAGCTATAGCAACCTGAGAGTGGGTGGTAGACATTTTAAGAGTGGGTGGGTGATAACATTGGTAAAATCTAAATAATTAGAGTGGTTGTCAAGTATGGAAAAGGGAGGTAATAAAAGTGGGTGAGGGCCATGAAATATAGCTTTAGACTGGGTGGATACCTTCAAAGCTGGGTACCAAAGCCTACCATAACTACATCCATGATCAGATCTATTTTATCTTAAGGAGGTAAACATTTCATGATATATGCCAAATCAAACTATGTAGCCATAGTTATGTGAGAGGCCTAAGAGCATACACTGTATGTGTATTTTCAGAAGAAACTATCAAAAGGGCTGAACTAAAAAGAAATTATACAGGAACAAATTCTCTTCTTCAGCTCTCTTACTCAATTTTCATGAAATTGAGCATACCTTAATTCAATCATGTCATCATGGTTGTTGCTAAGATAGCGAAGCAGACTGGCAAACAGCTCAAAAAGGTAGTCTGTCATCTCTTGCGAGTCAAGCCCAGAGGTTGCAATAAGCTTGGTGATCACTTCTAGGGAAATCTGGTAAGCACAAACAACGAGGGTGCTGTTAAAACACATTACATGAGTAAACCAATCTATTAGGGTAATATAAAAATTAAAACAGAATATATAAACTATGTTACTCCAATTGCAGTAAGCAAAAGTGTACAATACAAGAGGCAATCCTCTGCTATTTTCTAAAGGTTTTTGCATTTTTAAACCTTCATATAGGGTCATATTGCACGTTTGACCAACAGTTAAACATCTTATCCAAAACACAGTGCAGATTTGAAACTTGCAATGTAGTCCTCAGCTGAAATGCAAGGAAAGAAACGATGGAACCAATATCTCTGCAATTTAACGCAAACTAAGTTCATACCACCAGTTTAGCCAACTGAGCTAAATGCTGTTAAATGGTGATACTGGCCACTTGGCATTTTGTTGGTACAACTTATTGGTTAGTTTTGGTTTTCCAGGTAACTTTTATGCTTTTGCTGTTTTCTTTTTATCTCAATCCCTTGAGAATTTCTTTGAAATAAATTTGAGCACGAAAAAAATTTATCATCATCATCATCATTACTATTATTATGATTGCTTAATTCTTTGGCCTACGGCTTTTTAAAGCAATGGTTAAAACTTACTATTTTTACTGGTATCTGCCCTTCATCAATTTGATGGGCAAAGGTCATCCACAGAAGAGGGACCTTCAGGACACATATATGGTAAATGTCACCAACCAACTCTCGAAATATGTTGCTGTATATAAAAAATAGTCTTTATAAGCACAAATTCCAAAGAAAGGAATTGTAATTTGTTTTGCTTATGCAATAATGAAAAACAAATATTATTATGAAATATATCAGATAAATATTTGACCCAAAAAAAGTAGTGAGACACAACAAAACAAATTTACCCTTAAGGCTCTAAAGGTATGTTAATATAATAATGCTCTTACATTATACAAAAGATTACTAGGCATTGTAAGTGCTACTCATATATTTGCAAGTCATAGCATGTATTGCTTTGGTGAATTCATGAGAAATTCTGTTTTTTTTTTTGGTTTTTTTTTACACAGGATATTAATCAGTTAAAATGAACTGATTTAAAGTATTGTTCAGTACTTTTTATTTTTTTGCTTTTAATTTTTTAATTTGGTCTAATCAGATTTGCCTCTCCATTGTGTGGCCACTGCATTTTTTTAAATAATATACAAGGACTAGTTTCCGAAATAAAGTTGATTAATTGATAAAGTAATCAGACAAACCTCAAATAAAGCTGTATATAATAACAACTATAATAATACTCAATGACAAGTGGCTGGGCTTCGGCCAAAAGAACACTAAATTCTTCTTCAGCATCCTGCCAAAATAAAGTAACAAATTGATGCATAGTACCTAAGCTTGAAATATAATATTCATGAAAAATGTTATCCTTGAATGTCAAGATTATTAATTTTTTTCACACTCAACAGCCAATTAGTTTATAAACTAAGATTCTTTGTAAGTGAGTACATTGGTTTTTTTTTAGTCATTAGGAAAAAAAACAGGTACTCTGGGATTGAAAGGTAGGCACCTTAACCACCAAGTCATTAAGCTCCACTCTATTCTGCATTTTAGAAACTGCAATAAATACTGAATAAATTATATATTCAAGTCAACTTTGATTGAAGATAGACTTTTCATGTTACTGTTCTAATCCAATCCACATATGCAATACAGCATCCAATCATGAATTTGTTTAAAATTGGTGTAACAATAGCCACTGTGTTTTATAAATACAGTTAGCACTGCCAGAAAGTCTGTTTTTTCCCTTTCAATTTGAATAATTCACAAGTAACATTTAATCATTTAACTAGTTGAAAAGGTTTATCGATTCTAGTACCTCGTATTTCAGAAGATCTGTTGCATCAACTTGGAAATGCTGGAATTTTAAGCCATCTTCTAGAAATCTGATGTTTCCTCCTTGAAATTTATGGTCATGAATTTCACTCATTTCTACATATAAAAATATATAATTAATCAATATTATTATCTGTTAACCAGCATTTTTTTTATTTTAATGCAAATATCAGCAGACAAATCCACCTCTTGGTGATGCAATGCCACATGATGATTATTGGTAGCATTTTGAGTAAATTGTCATTAAAAATTATCTGTCATGGATGGGTGATTTGTCACGCTGCGTTGTCCATGGAATTGTGTCGGCTGACGACAAATGGTGCAGTGTGTACACGCCTTAAGTTTTAAGATTGTCTAGTACCACCTCATACCAAGTCCTCTGTGGCTAAACCTACCTAGATATCAAAATCTATCTATCTATCTATATCGCCTCAGAATAGTTTGCTAGATAGATGGCGCATTATAAATGCTGTTTTATTATTATTATTTTTATTAAAAACAAATTAATAAATACTAACAAAATATAGTACTCTATTAAACAAATGGCATATATAAAATAAGTCAGTAATATATCAAAACCAGTCACCTGTAAGAAGGTCAATAAATTCAGAGGTCAGCTCATAGAACAATCGCTGACATTTCAATCCAAAATTCTGAAGAAGAATGCAGATGATTTCTTGAACTTGTTGGTGAATAGCCTCACAATCATACTCACTAAGAATGCGAACTAACTTCAGTAAAATCCAACAACTCAAGTCTGCAGGAATACAAAGATTGATAAACATAATAAGACTAGTTTAAATTATAACAGTTAATAGCTCAAAATTTAGTCAACACAGTGGCCTTACCCCATATGTAGTCTCCTGATTAAGTCCACTGCGTGAACAAAAGCTAGAGCTAATATATTTTATAGCTGTTGTCATTCCTTATGACTTAAATGTCATTTCATACAAATATTATACTGAATATTATAAACATCTCTAGTTTACATTGCATACATAAAAACTGAATACACACCAATGTTCTTACTTTTGCATAAGTGATACTCTGGATCAGATGCTTGTTCACTTGTTTTTTCGCCCACTTCATGGGCACTGTCAGATGATGGCACCCAGTTACAACAAAATATTTGTGGAAATTGCTGAATGCAAAATTTCAAAAAAGTCAGGATCACGACGCTCTCTGGTGTGCCTTTTTTAGACAATTCTCTAGAAACTGGAATTAAAAGAAAAGGATCCGGATTCTACAAACCGTTAGCTGCCGTGCGTCCATGCATCCGATTCGGATACTAGGGCTCTCGTGAGAACCAGGCTTAAGACTTTTAAGATTGTGAATAGACTTTGATATGTGTATTTTGAAACATTTATTACTCTACAAACATGGAGAATAAAATAGATTAATAAAGCATTTCACATGAAAGAGAACTGTCATTGCTTAATTTTCAGTTTGAAATCTGCTTGTGAGAAAAAGATATATCTATCATGTGCAATATTTTTGGCCTCGTCTGATCAAATATTTCATGCTGTGTGCACATACTTGAGAAAACAGCTAAGCTTGCAAACTAAGGAGGATGGAGTTAAAATTCATTATGTACACTATGGCTATGTTCTCACACGGCAGCTAACGGTTAGCAGGATCCGGATTCTACTAACCGTTAGCTGCCGTGCGTCCATGCATCCGATTCGGATACTAGGCTCTCGTGAGAACCAGGCTTAAGACTTTTAAGATTGTGAATAGACTTTGATATGTGTATTTTGAAACATTTATTACTCTACAAACATGGAGAATAAAATAGATTAATAAAGCATTTCACATGAAAGAGAACTGTCATTGCTTAATTTTCAGTTTGAAATCTGCTTGTGAGAAACAGATATATCTATCATGTGCAATATTTTTGGCCTCGTCTGATCAAATATTTCATGCTGTGTGCACATACTTGAGAAAACAGCTAAGCTTGCAAACTATGTAATATTCTTTGCTTTTTCTTTCTTTGTTATTTAGATTAATGTGACAATGTAAACAGTCCTTTTCCCCATTTATCAGACCTGAATTTCTATCTAGGTTCCGCCAATGCAATCTCTGAACACCTGGTCATCTGTGACTGGGCAAACCAATTAAGGTACTAGTAATCTAAAATAAGTATATTAATATTAAATATATATATATATATATATATATATATATATATATTATATATCAAATATAAGCACAAAAGACAATTAGCTACCCTATATTATATTATTATTTCTCACCTTTGCTAATGTTAGTAAGATGGTCCTCAACGAGCTGACATAGTATTCTACGGACAGTTCGTAGCTTGGCCCTCTCTCTTGGTTGTGTGCACATCCTATGTTAATATACAAACAATGAATGATTAACTAGTAATTACTGTATATAAAAAATGATATATTAACAAAAATGATAATTATTATGTATTATTATCATTATTATTCAATTTGAAAATTATTTTTATTATTTATTATATAATCTATTACATTTCAATCATTGCAAAGTAACAGGATTTAAATGGTACCAAAATTGCATTTACTGTGTAAAATCGTTTGATTATTAGCCAATTTAAGGCCTACATAAAAAAAGTTTAAATACTATATTTTATTTATAAAATGCTTTAGCTCAACAGACAGTAAACATTTAAGATGAGCAATTCAATGATTTACTCTAAATAAAATTTTGAGGACTAGTTGGATTTTAGCATGAATGAACAGTATCTTTCAAGGCGTGACATTTTTTATACCTTTTGTTTCATGAACTTATTTATTTAAAGATCGTCAGAAGAATTTAGTAAATGGTTTTGCCAAAATAATTTTGACAGAGGAGAAAAATAAAAATAAAATGTTATTGGTGAATGTAAACACTGCAATGAAATGGTTAAATGCTTTAAATTTATATAATTAGGAACAAATATACACTTCTTCTTCTTCTTCTTCCAGATTAGTGCAAACTTCAGTTTTGAAGGCTATAGCACTTTGGTGGTAAGTGGTGGTGCGAGTGAGATTAATTTTTGCCAAGGGCCCCTTAAAAATGTCAATAGTTGGTGCTTTGGACAGTAGATTCTGCAATTATGTTCCATTCCCTAGATGTCCGAGGAAAGAATGACATCTTGTGATAGTCCCGACTTGAGTGAGGAGTACTATATGCCTGGCTGTTTTCTGTGCGAGATGGAGCTGTATAATTTTTTGAGATTAAGTATTTGCTCATATCAATTGCAACAAGATTATTGTGGATTTTATAGAACATTGCTAATCTTGCAAGTTGGCGCCTTTCAGCCAGAGTTTTCCATGATAGTTCGTGGATCATGGCATTCTTACTTGTGGAGATTTCAAGACAACGGTGGGCGTAATAAAAATAAGGAAATAATTTCCACTTTTTTTTTCTTGCAGCAGGTGCACTAATTGGCCTAAAATAAAATATTTTTTATTTGAAATCATCATTATTGGGCGGGTGGCGGGTTCGCTGAACAAGGTATAAAAAAGTGTTGCCTTAAAAAAAAATGATGGTGATTGAAAGGCAACATTTTGTTTTAAACCTCTGTAGTTTGTCATACTTACGTTTCTGTATGAAGCGCATTCAGGGAGGCTCTGAGGTCGGCCAAGGAGGCATGCACGCTGCTGCACCGGCCAGGACCCGGGCTTTCCGTCATGATGCTGAATGTGCAGAGTACCAATGAGATGTGTAGGTCTAGGTTCTCTCTAGGGGCTGTGCAACAACAATGTCTTTTTTTTTTTATCTTGCCTTAGCTTTCAGCTAACAAAAATAGAAAATATACATGCCACCAATCAAGACCAAAATGTTGTATTAGGGGCCTAGGCCTAGATGTCTAGCAGACATTAATGATTAGTCTAATCAATATTTAGGATATATCTAGCACATTTTGCCTCCTACGAGCTACCTTAAAGCCTTAGGCTAAGGCGTTAAATGCAAGGCAGTAGCAGTACTTCTAGGCCTAGCCTATGTTATAAGTAAAGAGATGCAGGACCTTCCTGGTCTTGGCTAAGTAAGTAAGGCCCTTCTCTCTCAGCTTGCTTCAATTCCATCTAGGCCTAGGCTAAGCAGGCCTTGATATTGCAGACAATACTTAGGGCCTAGCATATTTTTTTCTTTTGTTTTTTATTCAATCAAATTATTAATTATACAAGCCGGTTACGACAACATCAATTTTCACCAAAAATACCTGGTTTGATCAAATCAGACTAAGCCTAGGCCTAGCCTACACGCAAGCCTCGACACGACGATCACTTCGCGCGACATGGTTTGTTTTCGTTGAAGAAATGTCAAAGGTAAAATGGGCAAAACCATTTTCACACAGTTAAAAAGAGAGATAACTACAGTATATTTATAATATAATAATATTAATGTAGAATTTATATAACAGTGACGATTCCAAGTAATTATAAATAATATAAATAATAGTAGCAGTTACGGATGACTACATTTTTGATGATAAAAATGTACGATCAGAACCGCCCAGTTAGGCCAATTTGGTATGTTCCTATGCGTGTATTTATAAGTACTTTACCATTCATTGATCAGTTTGTGTTGTACTTTTCTCAAGAAACGATACTTTTAAAATCCCTATTATACGGTTCTTTTCTTGTTTTTCTAATCATTTGGCACTATCAAATCACTCTTCTATATCAAAACCGATTAAAGTCCCGTACTTGAAAGTTATGATAAAAATTATATCTCACTTCAAATTCATATACAGGATTTGAAAAAAAGTACAGTATGTGTTAATTAATTTATTTGAAGGGCCAAATCATTTTTAGAGTTGATCTCACAGGCCAAAAAGATAACCTCAGCTGAGTTGAAAGTAATCGTTATACATCTGGATGAAACTCTTTCCGCTAAGATAGGTTTATTTGAAAGTTTTTTTTTGTTTAAATTATAGGGGCCTACACAAGCGGTCACGGAAAATTTATGGCCTATACCATCTTGCTCATTTTGAAAACCACTCCGTGCACATTGCCCAGGGATTGCATTTTTGTTTTTACTTTATCAAAAGTGAGCTTTTATTATATTTTTAATATTTTTTTATTATTTCGTTTTTCTTCATAGACAAAATTTAATTGCTTGCAAGCCAAATTTGGCCCGGGGGCTACTTATTAAGAACTAGCGGTATATACAGTGCTTCCGTTTTTGTTGTCTAATATTTGTAAAGTTTGATACGCCTACAATTGTCAATACAGACATTTGTCCTAAAGTGTTTGTCAAAAATCTAAGGCCCCTAAACAATAATAGATAAAGTTTCTTAAATTTTTAATAAGGCATCCTCTTCCTACAATAAACCTTTTCTAAGCGCCTTGTATCCTTTGGCAAAAGGCGCTATATAAATTTCTATATTATTATTATTATTATTATCCTGACTCCACTAAAATCTGAAGCACGAATTTAATATCTTGAAGTTGAGTTAAAATGCATAGAAACTCATAAGTACACCCACCATATTTGCCTCATTGTCATAAGGGAAGACTATTTTTTATACAGTACCTTGTTTAGCAAACCCTCTGACTGCCAAAAATGTGATTTTTGTATTTTTTTAAATGTTATTTTTGGCCAGTTAGCGCACCCTCTGCCAAAACAAAAATTTCATAAGAAAATAAACTGTTGTATTTATTTCTATTACACATTCTGCTCCCCTAAAATCTCCAAATATAAGACAAATATATTTCTTCCTTAATTATATAGCACAACTACACTGTTTAATCCATTAATAACACATTATTATTTTTACATTTTTAAACCATTAATAAAATATTATTTCTATTTTCTCGTCTGCCTAGATGATTTTGGCAAAATCATTTTGCTGAGAAAACAAAATTTTTTCTCTGAAGACCTTTAAAAAAATAAGTTTGTGAAAAAAGTCTTGTCTAAACAGGTGGTAGCCAATTGATTTGTTATGCATCACGTGGTATCGATAAACTGGGACGGATGGTTCTATTTTTTCTTGGGTGTTCAATAACATGAAACAATGACAATTCACGAAATATACACAGCAAGAACAAAATCTAAAGAAGATTCTTGAATATATTTATTTTCGAATGAAAGAACTGAAAACACAATAGACTATAAAAATCTTTGGTGAGAAAAGGTGGAAACCCAGGGGAACAGTATCTCCCCTGAGATGAAAGGCACGGTTATATAGACATTGTTAACACTGAAGCCCTCGCGTATCACACAATTTAACAACCTTATTAACAAGCCGGGTTGAATAATGAATTTAGAAGGAATAAACTCTATGAACAAATAACAATATGAAATTCTAGGGATAAGAAATGGAAAGTAATTACTAGATACTGAAGTCGACTGTTTACATACATAAGCCTATGTGTGTACATATATATATAAAGTAACATCTAGATGTGTATAAGAGACAGCTTTTCTCAAGAAACGATACTTTTAAAATCCCTATTATACGGTTCTTTTCTTGTTTTTCTAATCATTTGGCACTATCAAATCAATCTTCTATATCAAAACATATATACCTTCAACAGTATGAATGTATAATTATCGAATTTAAGTTTCTCCAATCTAGCAATTAAGTCAAACGCTTACAGCAGGTGTGGAATTGAAAATAATTATAATTTGTACAAAACAGTAATACACAAGCCAGGTTGATTTAAAATTGCTCCCATAGACTATATGAATGAATTATTGGTATAATGATAAATTAAGTATTCAATATTGATGTTAACAGTTACTCAATTCGTATTCAATGTCATCAAATCAGAAACTCAAATTGCAAACATTTGCAAATTTATCTTCTCTCATCTTAACAGAATATACTGATAATGAAATCAATAACTTCTTCAATACAGCATACTATTTACCTAAATTAAATAAAATACATTATTGAGCGCCTAATAAGAATAAATAGCAATGCTACATAATGCAAATTATGCAATTTATTAATGTATAAATATAAATAAACAAGGCCTTTTGATACACACACCCTATGTTGTATATTATAATATATCAGATAATATGTTTCACATAAGTAGTAGCAAAGCCAACTGCATATATTATATGGATATGCATAATAAATTAGCCTTAATTAATATATAATCTCTTGCGACCATTTTCATAATTAGCCTTAATTATTATATTATAATCTTTTGCCACCATTTTCATAATTAGCCTTAATTATTATATTATAATCTTTTGCCACCATTTTCATTTATTTCTCAAAAAGCACATTTTTTGTGGTGCCAGCACAGGGTCTAGGGGCCATAAGACACTGATCTGCGAAGTCTACACACCCCCACCCCACCTCCTACGACTCCACCATCTAAAAAGCCAATAATTTTTTGTTGGGAAACCCTGCACTATAAAAGCATTCTTACAGTGTATGAGTGTCATTTCCTGGCATTAACGGTGCTTATCCTAACAATTTGCTCCAAACAGGGTAGGGTTAAGGTGAATCTTGCACCCCTTGTCAGAATTTTTACGAATAAAACCCTCATTTCATGTAGCTTCAATTATATTGAAGGTTCTATTACTTAACTTTGGTCAAGTATTGAATATCAAATATCTTAAAGACATAATTATCATTAATGAAATTAGATGATATAGAGCCTCCATGGTGAATTTTTTGAATAATATATAGTTATAATATCATTGGCACATATATAATAGTGTCTTTCATTAAAGTTCCAATCACTATAAACTATTTTATGCGCACACTTCTCTGTTTTCTGGAGAGTTATGCAGCAAATTTAACACCAGAGAAATTTCATTTCAATTCTAAGAACTTCCTACAATTACCATATATAAATTTACACACCTGGACACAAGCAATGTAACAGGCATATAGTCCTGAATTCAACCATGTGGTGGAAGGCACCAAGCCTTACCCCTGTACTGTACGCTTCAAAAATATATATAAATACATTATTTTATATATATATACACAATATTAACGACATAAAAATATGCTGTAAATATACACAATTTTAAAACTGTTCGAGGTGAATATGATAAAAATTTACATAGAATTTACTTAGCTTATTAGCAAGTGTCAAAAGCTCTTGATTTTAAATTAAATATTAATCAAAGATGAAAGGGACATTACTGTCACTTGGATTCACCAACACCTTCATGGTAAAATTGTCAGGATGTTCGCTACTGGTATGTATGCGAAAGGTTCCCCTATAGAGTTCCGGCGGAGGTTGAATTTTTTTTCTTTCTTTCTCAGATTAATCTTCTGTTATGTTCAAATTAATATATATTCATTGCATTATTCTTCTTGCTGTTTCCAAGTTCTTCCTGCATTCCTGATATCTATATTTGTTACTTTATATTCATTAAAATCTCAACATGTTGACTAAAGTAACATGATACTAATGACAATTGTTACTGTAGATAACTGATGTGGTTTTAGAAACATTTTGTGAATAAATCAGAAAATATCTTTTTTAACAGTATAATTTCCTTACTGAAAATCAAGCAAAATACAGGCTCAGTAGTATAATTAACATTTTTTCATTAATTTAACAACCATTAATTTGAATAGATTCACGATATCTTTAATTGCACTTACACTAAACCAACAAAACATGAAGTTATCAAATCATTATAAGTAAAGAATGTATAAAAATAAAAGAAAGTAAAAGACCATTTAGTCATAAAATATGAAACAATCAAATCAATACAAAGAGTATACAATGAAATTGTTAGATTTTATCATAATCGACAAAATTATACACAAAATGTGGAATGCATTATTAGTCTTAAAGACTTGTCTTTTGATTTATCCAAAACATACATCACACAAAAAAATCACACAGCAAAATTTAATATTCATATTTTTAAGTATCTAATCTATAAATTTTTGAAAGAATATTTGCAATAATTCAATAAGATATATATCATATTTAAAGAAAAACTATCAATTATATACACATAATTGATAAAATAATTCACAAATAAAAATTACTTTATATGAATATACACTCTCAAATCAAATTTTATGTTTTAAACTTATGTATTAATATTTCATCCAAAAAATATAAACTATACTTATCAACAAAATAGGATAAGAAAAAAAAAATCAGGGTGTCATTTTTAATTCACCCGAAGCCAGATTTACAGACAATAGACCAGAATGAAAATGCAAAATTCATTAATTCCAAAATAGAGACCTGGAAACTGATTAAATATGCCCCACTAACAGCAGTGACAATAATTGCCAGAGCTTGATGGAAAGAGAACCCCCTCCTTAACACCTCCCCTCCGGTGTTACCCATCTTGATTGGTGCTAGTAAAATAATATTTTTATTGGCAGAACATTTATTGATGACTCCTTAGACAAAAATGATTAAAGATAGCTTAAATTACAAAACATTTTATGTTTTTAAATAGCATCAAATGAATTCTGTGGGAGTACTATATCTAGGCTTCCAAAAGAATAGCAAGGAATGCCAAAGAAGGAAGAACTTTACTGGGATTAAACTTAAAACAAAAAAGCATTAAACATTAATGCATATGATATACATATATTACTGTTAATAATATATATAATTTAATACATGTTTAAGGTGATAAGTATGAAAGACACTTATAAAAAGAATATATCAGAATTACAGTTTAGAAGCAACAATGTATTCTTACAAATATATGGAGAAATTCATTAATAGGTAGTCTAGCAATGATTTCATTTTATATACACATTTATATATTATTATATTGATATAATTTATAAAATACTTACTCTAGTGCTCTGTATATGCTCAAATTTCATTTGAGTGAAAATCACTTTAAATTGTCTGATTTATGGAATAATAAAGGCACCATTTCATTAATATTTGGAGTACAGGATCACTCCTAATTTTGTTGATACTACCAGGGTTGTTCCCTGATACTACTCTGGTTATTTGCTCAGGCTATTCTCTTTATTACATCACTGAACCTACAGCAGATTTATTGTACATCAGCCATCATTATCAGCTCATCATGCTGAATCACTATACAGATAGCAACTCGATCACGATCAAAAGACTATCTCATATAGACAACATAAAAAAACATTATATTCTTTGAGTCTCCTTTCATTGGTTAATGTAAACTACTGGAGGGGCAGCAACAGTTAACAGAACAGCCGTCATGTATTTCATGGGTCATTGCTTTCAGACAGTAACAGGGTGTACCTTCAATCAGACTATGCCTGGTAGATACAGTACTATGAATGTATGATAGAATCCTACACTGTATGGGTGTAGAGTATTGATGTACAACAAGGGTTCGAATTTCCCAGAGCACCGACAGCAAATGGCCTTCCACTGTTGTTGTTAGTCCCAGGCTCAACAGCAAGCTTTTTGCTGTTGAGTCACCAGGCCTAGCAATGGATTACACAATTTCATTTATAGAATAGGCCTATTCTTAACAAATTTACGAAGCTTGTTGCTGTAAAAGAAGAATAAATTGCTCTAGTAAAGCCATAGCCTACAGCAACTATTTGCTGATGGAGCATTTTGAGAAAATTCGGACCCTGACAACATACTATAAATGCATAGTATGGATGCCTTATATGCAGCATTTATGTACTCTTGTATATGTGCATGTAATACAGGTCTCCCTCTAATGAAAGACCCTCCAATTAAAGACCACCTCTAAAGAAAGACCACTTTTTTGTGGTCCCAAATCAAGAAATATCTTTTGTTTTTATTATTCTAATTTAAGACCGAAGCTGCTCAAGACAATGAAAACCCCGTCACAAAAGTGGTCTTTAATTGGAGGGAGACCTGTATATGAATGCAATGTACAGAAGTATGCATTTTGTGTATAAATGCATGTATTATATGCATGCATCTAATCTATTGTATTCATTTTTGCACAGTATACTGTATTGAAAGCCCAATTACTACTTTTCACAATAAATAAAAAAACAATCTTATTACAAGGTGGGTCTTAAGTACAAACCATGACATGCATGTCATCGAACAAGTTTCAAGTTCCTTAAAAATTAATCTTAAGTTGAAAGCACTTTGAAAAATAATTCAAAATATAGTGGTCCACACTTGAGGTATCAAATGGTATACTGGCTTAAAAAAAAGTCCATGTTTAGCGATAAAACATTCCTGGATACATCACTACGCTAATAAACGCCAACCTGCGAGTGTTGTGGTAACTACAGCTATAGTTTCATGCAAGCGACAATACTGATGTAGAATTGTCAGACTAATCGTTCTTTGAATCAAAAGACAAGATCAATTGGAAATGTTTCTTGTAATTGAGAAATAACAAAAATCGACGATCACATAAAATCTACTGGGTAACCAACATCTACCCTGGTACTGGTAGAGCTTGTCTTGACTGAAGAGACATGGAAGCGTTTTTATTAAATCAAGGTGTTTAAATGGATGATAGGCAGGGAAGAAAACTGTCATAGCTCATCTGACTCAGGTTTTACTTTGGCTTCAGCAGTTTCTGTCTCTGATTGTGAGGTTGCAGTTTTGTGGAGGTATTGCAATGAGTCTTGTATCTAGATCAATAATATCGAAGACAAAAATTAATATACAGTAGTGTAAAAAATAATCTTCATCTTCATCAACATCATCATCATCATCATCATCATCATCATCATCATCATCATCATCATCATCATCATCATCATCATCATCATCAACATCATCCTCATAATCACCATCATCACCACCACCATCATCATCATCATCATCATCTTCAAATAATAATGAACAGTATCATCTTCATAATGATTTTCATCAACATCTTCATCATCATCATCATCAACATCTCATCAACAACATCTCATCAACATCATGTTCATCATCGTCATCATTAACACCATCACTGATCATCACCAACCCCACCATTATCTTCCCCATCGTTATCCACATCATCAATATAGTGTCATAATGAACAGTATCAACTTCATCATCATCTTTATCACCATCGACAGCTTCATCATCATCACCATCACCATCATCATCTTTTTGTCACGTTCTTAAAACATTTTAAATGATAACAACAAGCTTACCTTTGCTAACGACTTTAGGTGTTCTTCCAACAAAAGTCGTATTGACTGAATAGTTTTTGAGTGTTTTTCATGATTCCTCAGAAAACCATGGCTGTCAGAAAAAAAAACACACAAATAAACACTTAGTTGAATACATCATGAATACATCACTTCAAATTTTCTATTAAAGATATAGAGTCATTAGCCTAAGTTGAACTAATATTAAACATAAATAATAAACAGACAAAACAATAAAATTCATTATTTGACTAAGTTTTTAAATAAGTTATTGGCTATTAAATGCCAATCCTTTACTTAAAAATAACAATCATATACTTACAGATTTTGGTCATTGACATTTAGTGTAGGGTTGTTTTGGTCAGATGGTGGATTTAGCCTCCAAACTTTAAAACTAAGCAGCAATCCTGATATAAACAGGAGCACAATTCTGAGAATTGAGAAATGAGAAATGAAAGTCAAACAGTTAAATTGCTTTGATTTACTATTCCTTTCATCATCATAAGCATCAAGATCATGATCATCATGATTATCAAAATCATCATCACCATCAACATCATCCATCTGCTTCTTCTTCCAATTTAGGACTAACTTCAATGTTGAAAGGCTCCATATAAATTTGCATGTACTCTTGGGAAAGTTGTGGATTGGTTCAAATAATAACAACAAAAATCAGCACCATCGCAATTATCATTTTAATCATCATTTCAATACTTTCATTATCATAATCATTATTCAATTATGGGAGGAGTTTAGCTAAGTTGGCTAAATTGGCTATGGAGATAGCAACTTCGCCTATGTTGAACCATGGAGATTCTTTTTGGCCTTCGACTCCTGGTTCAGACCTCCTTGTGTTGCAGCTGGAGGGTTGAAATACAAATCAAAATATTGTAAAAATAAATAAATCAATAAATTATTTAGAAATTACAACTGAAGGATGTGGCCAACTTACAAGAGATAAGTGACAACAAGGAACAACTGTGAGTGGGGTACATTCCGGAGGGAGCTGCCAGTCCGCAAAATTGACTTAAAAACACTAATTGCACAAATCACTGTAAATAATCACAAGAATTAATCTAACAACCATATAAAAAAAATGACTGCCTGTTTTATGGATAAATGAATATAATACTGTTGCAAGTATTTTACCTTCTATACAAAAGCAATGATTTACTTTTTCCTTTGCTTGCCATACATGTTTTTGATTTTAAGTGGAAAAAAGACTTTTATTATAAGTCAAAGTATTAAAAGTTGAATTCTCAGAGTTGATGTGTTTATTTTAAATTGTAATAACTGCCTGGCTACTTACTTTCTTTCATTCGATGTCCAAAGGAAGATTTTGAGGGTACACCAATAGCTGGGTTTCTTTGGCTTTCGTTGGTAGTATTGATAGCATTGGAATTTGATTCTACAGTAAATGACGTCTCTTCCTCTTCTTTTGGATAACATCCATCCTTCCCTTCAAACTGAAAAGGTTACAATAAAAAGTATATATATATATATATATATACCTGATGAAACCTATGCATTTATCTCACTGAGGGCACAGACTCTAACACCTTTATATGCGGTGGATATTGAAAGTAATGCACTTACATTGGTTTCACTATCGGGAGTATCAAGTTCACTATCAATTACACTGGATTCTCTACTGGCTGAGGGTACTCCTTCCTAAATGTTAGAAGAAATACAGTATGTTTATCAAGTAAAACAAAAACACAGTAAATTCAACGTTTCAATCTATTTTGTCAAAGAACTGTGATAAGAAAACTCTATCCATATATATGGTATAAATTAAAAGCAGACCATTCATGTAAAAGTAAAATTAAAAATGTACAATTACAATGAGGAAATTAAGAAAGAGATGTTGATCAAAATCATAAAAAAAAAAAATCATCTTTCTTATCGCTTGTACTTCATCATTACCATTCTGATGAATATCAGTAACCCATTCCCAAACTGTTTCTCACTATTGCCACCCCTCCTTATCACCCCTTTATAACATTACCACCCCTCCAAAGCCTCTTCTTACGACCATCCCAGGCTATGAAAGTAACACATTATGAAAGAATCTCTAGGAATTGCTGTGTGGTTGAGTTGAATAAATCGTTATAATTACCAAAAAATTATTGTAATAATTATTAACAATCATCAAAATAATTGTTAAAATAAAACTCAAAAGTAGTGGATATAATTAATAGTGCATTTGTAAATTTGTTTACGGCTTATTTTTTTCTCTATTTAAGCCCCTCGAGGTTGTGACAACGTGAGGTGCTATATAAATCCAGAATTATTATTATTATTATTATTATAATAAAAGCCTCTACTCACATATTCTAAAATAATACCACACCTCAACAACATTCAGTACACCATTCCTTCTCATCATACCACTGCTCCTCATCACCTCTCAGATAAACCCCTCACCATCCATATTTAAGCCACTTCTGACAACTCCTACAACTCCTCATTACCACTTATTATCCTGTCTCAAGTCTCATGATCGTTCCTTCTCAACACTTCTACCGCTGCTACACCACCGTACAACAAATTTTCTGTCCTTAGCACCAACCCAACAAACACAAAATATTCTTACAACATTCGCTAACATTGTGGTTAGGTATGTCACAAAATAACATTCACACAATGTTGTAAGAACGTTCAAACGGTGAGAGGTTGTGAAATTAGGTTATAAGTACGTACATACAGTATGGTTCTTCAAAATAAAGTTTTATCACCAAACTGTAACGTTATTATAAGGTTCTTAAATCATAATATTGTTAGATGGGAATAGTCTCTCACCATCCTAAAAAAAAATAGTCTACCTTACTCCTACTTCTCAAACCACCATCATCATTAACACCATTTCACCATCAGTGTCATTGACATTTTTTTTCACTGAGAGCGATCAACAGCTTTTTCACATATTTAGCTGACAATGCGACTTCATGGGCAAATTGTGATTGATGGATGACCTTAGGGGCCCCTAAAGTAGACATCATCATCAAATGAGTTCTATAAATTTGTGCGAGCAAAATTACTTACCAAACCTTCTCCTTCCCTGTATTCCTGTAAGATTCGTGTAATCAATTTATATGTGGCTGCTCTCGACAAAAGGGAGCCAAAAACAAACTATAAATTAAAAAAAAAACAAAGAATAAAAAGTTCTAATATATTTATATTTATAATTAATTAAAATAATAATTAAATATTAGATATGATTGAACAATAATAGCTTTAAGAAATTACATTTTGTATGAAGAAAAAACAAAAAAAGAATAAGTGCTAATACATTTATATATATAATCAATCAAAATAATAATTAAATATTATATATAATAATTCAAAAATAAAAGCTGAAAGAAATTATATTTTGTATGAAGGAACTACCGTTAAAAAATATTACCTAGCCTATATATTATAACTTTAAATAGTAAAATAATGAATTATACTATTTAAATTAAATTATTATCGATGTAAGAACTTTAACCTAAAGCTGTGGTTAATCACAAAAAAAATGATAATGTAATAAGTATTTTAGTTTGTTTAGCTGCTAAATCCCATGTATTGTATGGGTAGATTTTGACCAATTACCTTTTCATTTTCTGTTTGAATTCCAATAGCATTTGGCACGATCAATGCAGTTCGCTCTCGTGTCAAGTCTTTGACTTCACCAATGGTGACTGAAACCTACCAATCAAAATTCATTACTTATATAAATTTTGCGTCAATTTTGCAGTCTATTCCAAATCTCACCACCGCTACCCACTGGTTAATCAATAAAACTCCTCATGAATAAATTAAACTGGCTTAAAGGTGTTATGACAACGATGAGAACATTTATTTCTGGAAAGAATCCTTTAACAATCATTCTAAGTCTTACAAGGTATACAGTAAAATAATTTATGACCATTTTTTACATCAATGCAATATAAAAGTGCTATTACATAAAAATTACCACTGTCTGATTATGAAAAAATGTTCAATTAGCTCACAAATAAAAATTAATTGTCTGAATTGCAAGCTATCAGCAATTGAAATTTTCTTATAATCTGATTCACATCCAAAGGTAATTCGGTTTGCTCATTACAGAATGGAAATGAACTATTAATGTAGAAATCAATGTTGTATATATTACGTTATTTAACGAGGTTTTGGGTGGAAAGGTGATTTTTATTTGACAATAATCCTTGCAACCAAGGACATTGCTGTCACGTATACATATGTGTATCAAGTCGATCGTTACTTACGTGAGTTTCAAATCCGAATATATTTGAATGAAAGCATAACCAGTTCTTGGAGACATACAGTCGACCTTGAAGTAATATGTCTTTGACGTAGGCACAAGAATATGCTGAAAATACAAACAAACTTGTTAGAGGCAGTGTTTCTGTTTTCATGTGAATAATTATTCCATTTGTTCTAAAGAACATTTTCAGAATGTACCTGTTTCAAGACACTGATCAGCTCTCACTTGATAGTCTGATTGCCTAGCAACATAATTATGCTCATGAATATTCAATAAATGTATCAAATTGTACTAAAAAATATTAGTTTCAAAAATGTTTCTATACAATGTGTTACATACAATATACTTTGTTAAAATCTCTCATTACTCACTCTAATGTTATAAACTGATTGCATTGCCTAGCAACAAATTAATATGCTCATAAATATTCAAAATAATTTATAGAATCTCATTTTTAAAAAGGTTGTTCTTGCTATCACTGACAGCGGTGCTGAGTCAATTATCCAATGGATGAATTCATGCAATTTTCATATCAAATAACAAGCATTCATCTAAAACCCACCAAGCATGTGAAATGAAAATGTGTATATATGGCATTCATCCGGAATAATAACATTTGACGTCCATTTTACCACATCATCATATGAGCTTGAAATGATCAAAGTCCTTCGATCGGATGTGTTGTGTCATGGTATTTTGTCAATAAGTGGATTAAATATATATCTGAGGTTATGTTATATTCTGAGTTCATGGAAGAGTGAATATAGGTTTATTTTCCTGTCATATTTCATTATTGCTTCCAGGCAAGCTAAAATACATATCATGATATAATCAGGCCCGCCAAGAACAGCCCTGGGACAGTGTAGCTAAGGGGTCTGTTGGCTGCCTAGTTGGATCAGCAGGATTGAGGAACAGAACACAGGTGTCTGTCTACAGATTAATTCCATAGAAATAAAATATGGTCCTTTAGGTATTTAGATATCAATTTTAAGTTATTATACAGTGGTAGACACTCAAAATGAATGAATTTTTTCCATATATATTATTACCTATTTTCCCCAACCTAGTGGCACAGCTCCCTATGAAGCATTTTACATATTCGAAAATCTGTGTCTTATTAGCCATTCCTGAATTATTTCTTCAAACACAAGATGCTTTGAAATCCCCATTAAACAATGCAAAATATTTCAAACAAGTCCTCTGCATGGATCGTGGTTCCTATGATTGTTTTATTTATACAAACTTTTCCATTTTAAATTCTGCACAACCAAAATTTTATATTTTACTCAGAGCATCTACGGAAACCATTAGCTCTAATGCAAAATCCCCTGTATTGATGTTTAATTATCAGGAGCATCGCTACAATAATCACCGTAGCTCTTTTCAAACATGCAATCGTATACCTGTTACGAGATTACTTGAGGTAATAAAACAAACTGATACTTACAATTAATAACAATCTCATCAGCAGGAATGTTTGGGAAGTGTTTGTGAAACTGTTTATTTCTCGCTTCTTGGCCCATTTCCTATAAATGATTGTAAACAATTTCGCTTTTGACAAAAGTATTTCTTATTGAAGTATTTTTTTTTCTTTATTTAATTTATTGCAACTTACAAACAGATAAAAAAAGGAAGCAAAAGGACAGGTTCCACAGACTCAAGGTCCAAACAAAGAGAAAACGCCCAAGACATAAAACATCAAGACATCAGAAATACATAAAAAAAACCATCATATATAAATACAATATTACTTTTTTTTGGAATAAAATAGACAAATTTGGAAAGGAGACATAAAAAAAACCCAAAAAAGAGCTGCAAAACCAAAAAAACAGGCCACAGTCAAGGGTATCACAGTGCACTACCAGCAAACACCAGAAAAATTTTCGATTGTTTTTACTTTTATGTTTTTAGTGTTTATATCATATTATATTATTTTGTTATTATCCTATTTATTTCAATTTATCGTATTTGCTTTTCTGATTTTGGCCAGTGGCCCCTGCTGCACCAGTCGCGACTCGAACTTTGTGGATGCAACATAACATCTGCTGGTGTAATGCCAACTCCATCAAGCCACATACTAACACGTTCAAACAGTGCGTAAAAACTGCCAAACGATATCGAGCTACGACCGGTGCAACAGTTATTACAAACAGGCTAATTCAATTCAATGAAGTTTATGACTTTGCAGAGTGAATATGGGGTAACAAACATTATTGCAAGTCTTTAACTTTCATTTTGAAATAAAAAAAATATTTAAAACCTTGGATTAACTGAAAAATTACAATAAGAACTACAGTACTCTGATGATGGTGACAATATGTATCAGGGCCAAAATACAGAACCTCCCATTACTGAATGAAGACAGTGTGAACACTGCAAGATAGCAATGTAGCTTACACACTATCACTCAGTGAAACTGATGATGATGTTGATGAAGATGATGATGATGATGATGATGATAATGACAACAATGACTGTAGTGAAGTAGAGATATAACCAGCATCATTGAATAAATATATATGATAGAATGATTATCACTAGAAAGCATTGTAATTCAACTAACATCATTAAATGAAGATGAAAATGATGTCGATGACAACACTAATTGTGTTATGAAGATAAAATGATGGATATAAGGAGGATGAGGATGGAGGAGAATCATGAAGAGGATCATGAGGAATGTGAAGATAATGACAAGGATGATGATTATTTAATGTCATACAAAAATGTTCATTAATTTGACAAAGGTGATAAGATGATTACAACAAAAAATATTAAATAATCAACGCACCTCAATCTTTGCAAAAGCCTCGGTGAAGACTTCAGAAACAGAATTACTGAACGATTTTGATCTGAAAAGAAATTAAATTAAGGTAAAGAAAAATATTCACATGATGAAAAGCAGAATGAAAAAAAAAAGCCTTTGATCTGAAACAAAATGTAGTAATGAAATAATAACTAATCTATAAATAATATGGTGAGAGTAAATAAAGCAAACCATCGACAACAAATCGCGTTGGTTTGTGTCGTATGACACTTTCTGAGTTGGCTTTAATCCGATTTTTAAACTTGCGAGTTAAAAAAAAAATATGCTGATCATTCCTGGCTGGCCATTTTTAGATACCCCAACTTGCATTTTGTTGATGGGCTGGTTCGTTCCAGTCGAGGTGCATGCATTTCATGCATCTGTGAACAACTGGCCTACTGGAATGGCCTGCATGTTGCTCAGTTTTGCATATATATAAAATGCTACTATAGTGTTTGCATGCATTAGTTTTTAATACATCTCAAGCTCAAGTAGTTACCATGGTTATGTTACTATGAGGATGTACAGCAAAGCAAAACAAATCATGTGACATTTTCTATTGACTATGTTACAGTACAGAAACTTAATATCAATAATAATTAATGTAGATTTAAATAACATGTACCACATAAATATCAATATACTGTAGCAGACAAAGTAGCTTTGAAAATTGAAACAGAAATAATAAACAGATGATGTTGATAGGTAATGAAGGGAAATAGAAGGGCTGCTGTGTTTAGGGGATGCTTAATAAAAAAAATGTACCCACAATTCCCATCTTTCATAAGGCTGAATAGCAAATGAGATGAGCTTGATTAAAAAAAAAATAAATAAATAAATAAAATGGCATATAATTTTGAAATGGTAAGGTTTATCGACTCTTCTAAAATACCATCTTCAGAAAAACAAACCTAGGGAATGCTCTTTGAAAATAAAGACGGTACCAACAGGAAATGGGTAATAGGTAATCATCTTCATTACCATTACCCCATACTATAATTGCATAAGTATTCCAATTTCCAGAAAGTTTTAAACTAGAAATCTTTTTTATTACACTACAAACCATGAAGATAACACAATTTAACAAGAATTATTCATTGCTTTTTGAATGCACAGACTAGCATTAATATGATAATGTTTTTATTAGTATGTCCTTGTGGTAATGGAATAATTTCATTGTGGTAATCAAAGCCTTAGCTAAATTTTAATCACTCATAAAATTTCCAACTACAGTGAAGTACTTAATCCATGTTTGCTTCATAAACAATGCTGGGTTAATTTACGCGAGTTGTAGTAATTAGAATTCTAATAACAAGACCCAGATAAAAAATTAGTGATATTTAAAGTCGCAAAGAGGTTTATAGATAAATATATGGAATTGATATAGTTGAAAATATACTAATTTACTAATGGAGGTTCCCCTGTTAACCACACTATTCATTTAACAACAGATTTTGTACATAGGTTATACATACTGTAGCTATATAATGGTTATTGCCTTCAGTAATATGAACATCATTAGAAGATTTCTGATAGCTCTTTAAGTTTTTGCCTCATTAATATATTTTTCAGGCATATCAATGTAAATATAAGGACACTACTATAAATACAATAGTATAAATAATATCTGCATTTGACATTTTTAGTTTCTATGTTGAGTTAAAATGTCCATGTTGATCAAAGCAGTGTGTACACTCTAATGTTTCCCAGTGTACTGTCCATTCATTCCTGGCGTAATACTATATGTAGGCCTACAGCAGTTTCCACTGTACCCCAGTTCAGATGTTTTGGTTACTCAAATATGATCCATCAGTTGTGTAATGAAGGGGGCCAGTGTGGCTCTTGGCCAGTTCTCCTTCTGGCCTAAGCTGTGGGCCACGAAGGCTCCTGCTAGTGTATAGGCCCCTGGTAGTGTATAGGCCCTGTCTGCTTAAAAATATTCTGACAGAATTTTACAAAATCTTCTCCTTATTGGTCCCCGCTTGGCCGATTTGGGACTGTGTTTGAAAGAGGACCTGTGGTCCAGCTAGCAAAAAGTGTCAATTTTCCCAGGGCACCTAGAAGTCTAGGACCCCGGTTTAATAACCCAATAAATACTCTGGTACTATACTACTTAGATGGACTGCTGTGGATAGCAAATTAGAGACTGCTGTGGATAGCAAATTAGAGTGTTGAGTTGCTGTATGTCATGATACAAATTCTGGTTCTGACAAGCATGAACCCAGAACCCTACAACCACTAGGCAAGCACCTTCTTTCATAACCACCAAGCTACAACTCTACATACTCAAGATAACAAATAATTAACAAACACCTACCCTGAATTAAAACAACATAATATAACATATATCATAAATATGCTTCTTCATTGTCAAACGTTAATATAGTTTTATCTACTACTGTACGCTCACATGTCCATGGTGTCATTGGACAGACCAGGATGTTACAACAAAAACACCTTGAAAAAGAATTAACCAGTAAATTCTTTGATTCTCAAAGAAATAAGACTAAAGAATAGATGTATTAACGACTGTACAATCAATTTGGTGCACATGTTATATTTCATAGAACTTATTAATAGAGTAATCCAACCTAAACAAAACTGCTGAAGTGTGAACTGCAAGTATGTAAGAGAAGAATAGGTGGCTTAGCTCAGTCGGCGAAACTGGTGGTAGCCACCGTGTGTGCGCTGAATCGTGGAGATCTCTTGGTCTCCGGTTCAATTCCCATCGCTGCCCTCCTAGTGTTTCAGCTGGAGGGCTGAAATGCAAGTTACAATAGCGCACCGTCTTTCGGATGAGACGTTTAAACCATTAGTCCTGAGTGAATTATGGCCCATGTGCATGTTAAAGAATGCAGTACACTCTTTGGAAAAGAGTAGGGAATTGTCTACCAGGGTACTACCCAATCACCACTAGAAGAACCCCACTGGAAGAACCCCAATGGAAACAAGTCTTTGGGTTATCCATGGTGTGATTCACACCAAAAATACTTCTATCATATCCTATGCCATATACAATTATCTCAATATTGAAAATCAAGTAAATTATGCAAAGAGTCATTACATCACTAAATAAAAAATAAAACCACAACTTTTTACATAGATTATTTAAAAAATATTAAATTCCAAGTTTACAATGTCAACACAAAAATGTCTTGTTTTCATAAAATATTTTAAGATCTATTAAAATGATAAATTCACAGCGCCAGTTAATGCACTTCAACAGAGACATAATTGGCACATCAGAAATTGCAAGCTTATATGTCTACATTTATAAACCTTTACACACATGTTCACTATTCACGCAAGTGACTGATATTTAAACGTAATTTGTCAGTGGAAGGCACAGTGATTACTTCTAAGGATTTCCTGGAAGTTAGCTAGAGAGGTTCTGGAAAGTCATCGTCACTGTGATTGAGTCATGAATTTAGAGTAGTAGTGGTAAGTAGTAAAACTTTATTTATTCACGAAGCACAAATCAACAAATACAATGCTGTTTTTCATAAATGGCCGTGAGATACCTTATTTACAATTAACAAAATTACACATAATGGTACTGTACATCATAAAAAGCAAAAGTTAAATGCAGGAATTAAATAATATAGATAAAAAAATATAATTATCCTATTTTAAGACTTCCACCCCCAAATATCAATGCTCGGACATCCATGCTTTGCATTGTGGGTCTAAATTATACCTAAATATTTGCAGTCACAGATGCTGATGGAGGTAATTGTCAGTGGGCTGTAAATTTTATTTACGGGTCTTTATGGAAGATGATAACAAGTGTGTATGGGGTTTTTTGGAAGATGATAAAACAAGTGTGTACAAAATATGTTGAATTTTTATGTATTTCTTGGTTGAAACTAAACAGAGTTCTGTATGCAGCAAATTAGTCAGCAATAATTGAGTTGGCACAAATAGCTGTGTACTGTACTGTAATCAATAAATATTGTTATTAATCCAGAACAAAAAGTGAGGAATGAAGGAATCAGACATTTCATTCTTGACTGATTTCAGCGTTTAAATATATAGCATTACGGTATATTGTATTATAGATCTAATGACCAGAGAAAAACAATCAATGTGTAGAAAATTGATTACTAGGACTTGTTTGAGATTAGTATTAGCAAAAACGTAATACAATAACAAATATGTGAGGTCTCACTACAAAATGAGTCTCATCGTTAGAAATTCAAAAAATGGGTTTATATTACATTTTGGTAGATCACTATATAAGCTTTAATTGGTCTCTGAATGGCTTCCTTAGGATAAATAGATCCAGAGATGTTAGCATTTAAAGTTTAGATGTATGAGAACCCGGTTTTGAGAAAATCGGCCTCAAAGATAAACTAACCTGTACAAATAATAGGACTAGAATTACAGAATATACGAAGAGAACACTGTTTTAGTAAGAAAATTAACTTAAAAAGTACACAATCATAAAATATAAGTATCAAGTTATTCAGAAACATTAAAATCAAAATTTTGTAAAAATGTTGCTTTTGACCTATTTTGGTCACTATGATTTCACCAACGATGCGTCTCATTTCGTGGTGAGACCTCACATACATCATTGGTAATAGTAATATATTTTAGTTTAATAACTACCTCAGTGGTAATTTATATATTCTATATTTCAAATATCAGCATAGGTAAACAAATGAAATACTATGTTGACGTATATATCGCGTATACATAAATATATTTGGAATGTACTATTCTAATATCTATATCAAATAATAGGATTAGAATTACAGAATATACGAAGAGAACACTGTTTTAGTAAGAAAATTAACTTAAAAAGTACACAATCATAAAATATAAGTATCAAGTTATTCAGAAACATTAAAATCAAAATTTTGTAAAAATGTTGCTTTTGACCTATTTTGGTCACTATGATTTCACCAACGATGCGTCTCATTTCGTGGTGAGACCTCACATACATCATTGGTAATAGTAATATATTTTAGTTTAATAACTACCTCAGTGGTAATTTATATATTCTATATTTCAAATATCAGCATAGGTAAACAAATGAAATAC